AAAGTATCGTTAAAGTACGTGAATAGTAACTATTTATAATAAAGAATATTCTTATATATACTCGAATTTATAATTAATACTAGTTAGTCTAGAGATAGAAGAAGAACTAGGAAGAACTATATTCGTAGATTAAATAGATCTCCCGATCTTTCGAAAAGTAGATAATCGACTTCGTTAGCCCTCTACCGACTATGCCCTACGGAAATCGTTAAATTCTAATAGCTATTAATTTCTCTATAGGCTAGTCGATAGTAAAGACTATAAAGAATACTATAGACGAAGTAGTCGTCGACTTTCTATTTAAAATCTACTACTAGTATAGAGTATTTTAAGAATTATTATTAAATAATAGCGCTAATCCAACCTCGAAGATCGTCGAGTACTATCTCGATCGCGTTAAGATAAAGTATTATACTATAATATCTTACTATCTCTAGACTAATAGAAAGATAGAAAAATTTAATAGAATACTAGGCGAAATCCTTACGAAGTAACTTATTAGATAATAAATCCTCTTATAAAACGAATACCTTTTATCGACGTTATTCGTAACTCGTATTAAGTTCTATATAGTAACTAGAATAAGTCTATATAAGCTTATTTATAGTCTCGAATCTCGATTAATAGACGATTAACGAGAATTCGATCTATTAAACCTTAATATTAACTTTACCTCGAGACTAGAATAGCTATATACTATATATTACGAAGTAAATTAGCTATTAGTCGAGAGAGAGCTATACTCCCGAAAACTACGATTAACGCGTTTAAAAACGCTATATCTTTTACTTAAAGAAGAAGATTTCGTCCTTCTAAATAATATCTCAAAGTAGAAATTCGAACCTAACTACTTCGGACTCTTTCGAATTCTAAAGAAGTTATAGTTTAGTACTTACGTACTAGAAACGATAGACTAAAAGATCTTACGTCTATTCGTCTATAGAAGCCGTCTAATATAATACTACTCGGTAGATTTAGATAAATAGACGATCCGATCGTTTATTAAAATATAGTAAATATAGCTCTAAATAGTTAGAGATAGTATAACGAAGCCTTCGGATAAAGTACTTTAGATACTTAGTAATAAGTCTAATCTCTTAATATACTACGAGCTATCGATAATATCGAAGTAATAATAGATATCGTAAGAATAATTAAGAGATAGTTTAAGTAAGATAGAGAAGAGCCGTAGAGCTAAAGTAACGCTAATAAATAGACGTCGGCGAAATAGAGAATAGAAGCTAATATTCTACGGCGCGACGTCGATAGAGAAGGCTACGACGGCCTACGAGAGATAAACTATAACCGGAGTAGCTCTCGCTTCTAATTCTCTAGAGTAGATTACTCCGCCTTTAGATAGATAATATCTTATCGCTAGAAAGAGTAATAAAGATATTAGTACTTTAAGAGTATCGAATAAAATAGTTAGAATAGAGTTTATCTCTCTATACGCCTAGAATAGATAAAAATAGAAGAGTAGTAATAGACTATTATCGTCTAACCCTCTCGATACGCGAAGAATAGAGAACGAAGGGACTTTTAGCCCTCTCGAAACCTCTTCGATATCCTAGAAAAGAACGAAAAATTATATTTAGAATAGATAAGGAATCTTAAGAAATAAGAGTAATTCTATCGAATCGTATAAAGACGCCGTTATATAAGATACTTCTATTCTATCCTATATCGAGCTACTCGAATCTATATCGATAGATATCGAGATCTATCCTATCGATATTATAGAGTATATAGATAATATAGTAGGCCTATTCTATATAAATTATATAGAGAATAGCTATAATAAGTTAGCTAAAGCTATCTCGAGTAAGAAGAAACTATACTCCGTTAATAGATTAAATTAATCTAAAGATATAAGGCTATAGAATCTTATAGACTAGGATATATCTACTTTATCCTTCTCGATACCTATCGATACTATAGAAAGTATATCTATAATATCTTCTAGTTCTACTAGAATAACTCTTCCGATACTCGAGAGGAATCTCGTCCCTTAAGAGTACTCGAAACCTCGTAAGAAGCGGAGACAAGATAATTTATTATCTTCGTTAGTAGTCTAAAATACTAATTATAATATAGCTAAGTCTTTAGTTCTTCGTCGACGATATATCGAAGGACGCTTATTAAGACCTAATTCTAGGCTAAAGATAGTACGGGATTAAATAATCTAATAATAATAGTATTCTTTATAGATAATCTATAGAAACTAGAGCGTAGACTAGGTCTCGACCCTTAGCTATATATTATCGGAACGTCCTACGAAGCGCTCTAGATATATTAAAAACCCAAAAATAACTAATAAATTATAGTAAATCGCCTTATATAGTAGACGTTAAAGAACCTCGCTCGCGCTCCTCTACTCGTCGTATCGTACTAGAAGACTTATTTACAAAATAGACTATTTATAGAGTATTGTCTACTACCGTAGTAGTATAAGAAAATAGTAATACTTCGCGGTCTTCTTACTATAATACCGTCGAAGCCGATCCTAGTAGTAGTATCCCTATCGACGCCGTCGTTTTATAGTAAGAATACCCTAAAAGGCCTAAACTAGAAATAGGGCCCGATTACTATATATAGGTAGATAGCGGACGAATATTATATATAGAATAAGTAGAAGCAGTAGGCTATCCGTACGCTAGATAATAAAAAGACGGACGTCCTAGTATCGAGTAAGTTAATATATAGCCTTATATAGACTATATCGATAAACCTATAGAAGACGAGACTAGTACGAATCGTTACTACGTTATAATCTAACTACGCTTAGGGTCGTATACTAGCTCGGGAGGTATAGGTACGTATTATATAGCCTCTTTAGTATAACGATATATTTCCGATATACGTCTAGACGAACTTTGTATCTATAATAATAGCTCGAGAGAAGAATCGATAGTATACTAATAATACCTTAGTAGTAGCTCGTTAGTTATATAGTCGTATTCTTTTAACTCCGGACTAGTCTCGATAACTTCTATTCTTACTAAAGATATAGATATTATAAAATAATAACTTTATCGTATTAATATTAGTAGAGAATATTACTCTATATGTATATCGGATTTATCGATTCTACGAATAACTTTAATAGTTTTCGGCGTATAGTATAGATCTAAAGCCTACTACGTTACCTTCTAGATAGTAATTAATACCTTTCGACGTCGATCTTCTATATCCGTCTATAGCGATAATACGAAGTCGAATCTATTCTCTAGATCTTTAATCTCGATAGCTATACGACTATTCGTCTCTCTGGCCTTATCGGCTATATATAGACTACTTATTCTCTCGCTAAAATATACCTTTCTTATATCTTCTACTAGATCTTCTTCCTATATTTTAGAAGATTAAGTACGACGTTTCTTAGTACTATATATTTAAATAGACGTTAATATCGACGTAGTAGATCGACGACGATTAGAAGCTTTATTACTTATACCTTTATTACTAGATAAGAAATAATCGACTTCGCGAATAGTATAAGTTATATATTTTCCGCCGAAAAAATATACTATATTCGTAGAAGTAGACGAATCTAAGATAGATATCGAAACGTACTTTAGGAATACCGGCTCTCGATAAGAATCTAGTTTAACCGTACGAAGATATATTTTGTAACGTAGATTATTTACGATATCTACTATATACTCTATAAGAGTATTTCTAACGTATATATTAGTAATATCTCTCTAACCGTAAAATTCGACGAGTTTCCGAAAAATACGGCTATATAGCTAAACCGATAAGCTATTATCGGGAGAAAAGAACTACTTCTAGTACTATTTCGCCTAGATAATAGAATTAATTACTATATCGCTAGACTTAATACTATAAATATTATCGTTAATCTAGAAACGAATTAGTAACTATATCTTTCGATATAGTACGGTATACTTATAAAAGAAGCCGTCTTCGCCGTCTTAATTACTAGTAAATCTTTAACTATCTTCTTAACTCGTCGATAGTACGAAGTATTTAGAACTTATAGCCTAGTCGGCGTTCTAACTTATCTAGGTAGTATAATAACTATAATAGTAGTTATAGAATATTTAGCTTTAATCGATAAAAGACTTAGAGCTTAGAAGTATAAACGACTAGAAAGAGATATAAAAGAAAGTAAGAAGAAAAGAAGTAAAAGACGTCTACTTATACTCCTTAAAACCCCGCCGGATTAATCCCGGATTAGCTTCGAAGAGTAACGGCGAGTACTATTACGTATATAGACTCTCTTTACTTATCGTCTTAACGACCTTAATTTACTCTCGATTTATTTAACTTTACTATTCTAGGCGTATATACTACTCTAATAGCTAATAATAAGAGATATATACTCGCTCTATATACCTCGATCGATATCGAAGATATAGATATTATAGATACTTATTCTAACGATAGGACTACTTAGAAAACGAAGTATTTAGAATATAGAAATACTATTTTATTCTCTACTATAAGGCTAATAAAGGTACTCGATATTCTTCGACGACGAATAAGACTATTCGACGGTCTAGATAGAGGAGAATATAATAAAATAGATACTCTACGTACTAAGTATTATAAAGATATCGAGGACCGTCTTTCGGTCTCGACTAGCGTCGTACGCTATCGTATAACCTCTAGAGAGTATATAGTCTGACGAGGCCCTAGGCCCCGTTGAAATAGGACAAGTCCTCCGTGAAATCACAGGGAAACTCGAAGCATTGAACAAGAACAACTCCAAGCACGAGAAACAGGACACCAAGCAAGATATGGCGCGGATCATGTTATTGCTGGGTCCAATCATGTTCAATTCAATGTCAAGTTCAACTCTAACACCGTGCAATGCCGCTCCCTGTTCATGATAATGTACAACAGACCAAACACCTCAAAGGTACTGTAACATTCAAGCGAGGGTATCGTCCAGAAGTCCAAATGCTCGCTGTTCAAACCATGCAAATCCTGTTTGACTTTGTTTTCTTTTTTCTTTTTTTCTTTTCTCGCGGTCCTTATATCCTCTTCCCAGTCCGCCCAGCCTGGGCAGCCTTTCGCTTTCTATACGCGTCTCTATATCTAATGCGCCCAAGGGTGCCGAACCCGTAGGCCAAGAAGAACAAAAGGGTCCAAGCACACGTGACAATCAATCCAGTAGGAAAGATCCCCAGCGTCACTCCTGGAAGCACAAACGGCGCGGCAGCAGTGATGGCCGCGGTCGCAACGGTCGGGCTGACAAGAGTATCTTTGAACTCGCCGCTAAAGGGGCCTACCACGAACCAAGCTCCATCGGCGGCGGTGACATTGGCAGTGAGTGGTGTCTGTGAAGGGTTGACGGCGTTGAGCTTGACATCAGGAAGCATCAATGACATGATTTGGGTGTCGTTGAGTTTTCCCATGTCCAGGTTCTTCTGGAAGGTGCCAAACAAAGTATACTGTTGTACCTCGGTCATGGTCGAGGATTGCCGCTCCACCACAATATCTCTCTTCTTCCTCTTTGTTATGGACTGGAACATCGTGCTGGAAGGATACGTGATGCCGATCATGATATCAGTCACAGCCAAGCCTTGGAAATCACCCGACGGTTCGAACAGCTGATAAAGTCGGAGATCCGCCTCAAAAAGCCCCTGCTGCGCATCGAACTGCATGATATTGTAGCAAGCGGCAAGGCCGGCGCTGTTTTCGACTGATGTGAGTTTGGTGAGAGCATCGACACATGCTGTGGAGATCGTCTGGTTGGTAGTGTTGTTTGTCGAAGCCACGGGCATCGCTGGAGCGGATTGCGGTTCTCGCCGAAGAATGCGGTCGGCGCTCTTGTGCATATCTTCCAAAAGGTGTCTCCTCCTCAGCGTGCTCGGCATATGTAGAATGGCTTTCGCGGAAATAACATTGGCCTCGGCCAACAGCAGCAAAGTCGATGCGACAATGGTAGAGAGATGCATCTTGAATGGTTCGCGCTCAAACGCGGGGATTGCGGTTCAGGTGAATGGTTAGACAGGAGGTCGTCGAGACCGGTAGTGAGCTCAAGCACAGCTTGCGCGCGAAGTAAGGAATGTCGGCACGACCAGCGATTGCCAAAGGAAGTGATGCGATGCGCGCAGAGGAGAGGGGCCTGTCCACGGGCAAGAAGAGGAAAAGAGAGAGGATGATGCTACGAGTAAGAGTGAGAGATGTAGAGGTAGACACGCCAGATGCAGGACTGGTCTGTGCAAAGGAATGGACGTGGTCTGAGAGCTGGATAGAGTGAAGCTCGTGGTCCGTGGGGCATTGGAGCAGCCTCGGGCTCTTTGTATGTCAGACACTTACCGTAGCAGAGGCCCCATAGCCAAGGAACGGTTCGACACTGACACCAGACGCGATCTCTGTGGTGTTGATGGGCCGTCAAGCCGGGCATCCAACCCAAGGGGTGGATTTCTCCCTGAAACAATTCAAAAGGTCAAAAGGTCTCATAATGGCACGAAACCGCCATGTGGGATGCCCACTGAATCCAAAACTGTCGCACATTATTTGCCAGACCCAGCAACAAAGGAGATGGGAAGAGGTGGAGAGGAAGCGAATCGCTGACCGTGGTTCGAGAGTGGAGAGAAGAGGGACACCACCGATACCGATGCTAAAAAGAGAAGCGCACGGGGTCGATCCGACATGCCGATGGCTAAGGTATGTACAGCCACGATAGGATAGGACTGTCATAGTCAAGGGAGTCTCGAGTTTCAATGCATGCGTTCATATCCCTTGAGCGTCCCGTGGTCTTCATTGTGTTTTTTACTACCTTCCTCTTCGTCTCTGGCTTCCTGCACACGCGGGAGCCCTTCGTATCGAGGTGCACCAGCGCTGCATCAGGAAACACAGCCCCGTGCCTGGTCGGCCAGCAGATACATCAAAGCCGTCGAAGACGAAACGGTTGGTGACAAGCGACCGAGTGAAAATGGGTTCGCGGCAATGCAGCGCGCATTGGCAGAAACCGAACCAGAAACGCAAAGCAGGGGAAGGGAGCAATGACCGTCCGACAAGGTGGTTTGACTGGCTGGCCGAGCACCAGCGACGTCGATGGCTTGACGGGGTCGACCGAGAAGAAACAGAAAAAGGAGGCGTCAAAAGGACTGGAAGAGACTGTTCGAGGGCCAGAATTGCGGCGAATCCTTGTCACCGGCGGTCAGCGAACCGCTATTTGACAGCCCTAGGCGCTAACCGAGGGGCGCCAACTGCCAGTTATAGACGCTGTAGGGGTCAAGTTAGAGATGGTTTCAGACCGACTGCCGCCTATTGTGCCCTAGTCCAGGCCTAAAGTAGTTGGTATCCCGGCGGTGGCTGGTAACCAACGGCCAGCTACTAGCAGTAGGTACAGTAGCACACAGAGTAGCAACGCTTTAGTGGGTTGGTTTACAGTAACAATCTACACCATGTTCCCAACCTAGATTCCTTTACCCAGGTACCTTACAACAGTGGTACCATTCCAATAATGCCGTTGGTAGAGTCGAGTCGAGTCGAGTCAATATTGGGCATGGCATCTGATCCATTGTGAAACACGTGGCTTGACCAGAACTCCATCATTGATCCCAGCAGCAGAACATCTAGAAAGGGATCGTTCCTGTGTTCCAGGCTTCATTGGCACCCGTCGCCTCTCACCCAAACACTTATCAAACACTCACCGCTACAGCATCTTTTACACTTCCAGACATGCCACCCTGCGCCAGACATGCAGTGTCACAGTACGTCCAGGCTTCACGTTCCAGAAATGCTTCAGTCGGCTTTCTTCCCCCCTCGCTTCAAGTTTCACTGCAGTAGTGGCAGCCGCCCGACTGGAGTCGACCAGGGTAACCACTGCCAAGTTGGCTACCTAGAGTTAGGGGCCGTCGATCGCCACTTCGACCGCCGGCTGGCATCCATTGGCATCCGGCAAAAGAATCGAAACGATGTCCAATTCTGTTCATAAATTCTTTGTACAATGATGTGGTGCGGTGTACACGTAGTAATGGATGGCCATTCTCCCTACGCGCGGGGACCAGGGGATTACAATGTCGTATTACCCTCTAATAATATCACAAAATACCTCTACCTAGGTAGAAGATAGAGCCTCGTGGCGGGCATAACACACGTAGTCCCCGCCAAAATGCCATGGTAGGCAAGTAGCCTTGCCAGGACCTTCTTAGCCTTTGGGAACGCAGCCTGGTCGTTATCCTCTCCCTACTAGTACTACTCTACTGCACATCCTCCAACATAAGGCACTGCACCTGGCACATATGCAGGTACATAGCCGGCACCTACGCAAGAACCAAACTCAGCCCATTCAGACTGGGCCCGGCCGCATCATGATCATGGCGAAAAGAAAGGAAAGGATTCGATACTTTAAGGCAAGCCAGCTAGCCGGCCTGGCAGCACTTTCATTATTCATTTGTTCTTCTCACAGGCTGAAACGATGCCGGGAGTGTATGTGTTGCCCGGTTCATCGCAAGGGACTCACTCCTCAATTCGGCATTGAGTACTCGAGAGCAGTATGACGTTGTCCGAGTCTGACCAGGCAGTTGAGAGACCTGATCCTTTTAGACAACTCTCCAGTTCTTTTCGGCCCCTCACGGCCCCTGGGCACTCGTCGCACACTCTTGACATGGCTAGTAAGAACTCATGGCTATCCGGCATCAGGTCGATCACCAGCAACAGCAACAGCTCAACAGCTCGCAACAGGTTGGGTTCAAAGACCGGCCCCCTGAACCAGCCTCAAAAACTCCCGCATCCTACCTAGCTGGGTATTATCCGTCAACTCCTTCTGCTCACTGATCACCGCCTGCACCAGGGGTTCCAGCAAACCATCCACCTTGTCCTCGTCAGCACCCGTACATAAGCTGACGATCTTCTTGTACCTCTCTTCGAGCTCGCCAGACCGCGCCTTGAGCGACTTTGCCTTTTGCTCCAGCTGGCCATTGTGGTGTTGATACACCTGTGCGCGGCCGCACAGCACCTCCGCTCGTTCCAGGCGGTCAAGGAAATTCGCCTGCTCCTGCGTCAAGAGGGCCATGTTGCCGGCCCCGTCGAAAGCATTGGCTATGCCGTCCGGGAACAGCTCCGTCACACGACTCAACTGTCCGTCAAGGTCTAGCCCTTTGTCGGCCTGGCCGATGGCCACGTTGTCCTGTATGTCCGTGCCCGTTTCGGTCAATTCGGTCTGGTATTTGGCGATTGCCTGACGTAGATTGTTGATCTTCTGCTCGAGCTCTTCTTTTTCTCGCACCTTGGCCCGTATCTCCTCAAGTTTCCGTCGTTCTTCCGCCAGCGCATTGCCCGATTCCTTCAGCGCCGCGTTGGTCTTGTCGAGAATCTCGTTCTTCTCCTTCATTTCTGTGGAGAAGTCGGTCTCGGATTGTGCCAGGATTTCACGAATGGCTACATCACGTTAGCTGTCTGGGAAAACATGAACGCAATTCCTCTGGAACTTACAACTGAGCAGGCCTTCTTGTGCCTCGTCGAACGACTTTTGAGGCGACCCATTTGCCGCGGCGTTCGTCGTCGCCGATGCCGTAGGGTCAAACATCTGCATGTTTGGATCCATCACCTGATTGTCTGTATGCAGCCCGACTCCAAAGTCGACCGGCGCCAGACCCCCACGGTTGGCGATGTGAGGATCGGCGCCCACCTCGATCAACTGATCAATAATCGTCGTCGTGCTAGTTCGTGCTGCTAGATTAAGTGCCGTGTCCCCAACTTTGTCCTGTGCATTGACGATTCTATCCATGAACTTGCCCAACGTCAAAGGGCCATCATGCGGCTGCGAGCTCATACCGTTCATGCCATCCGAGGATGCCGGGCTGGGGCCTTGTCGAATGACATATTCGAGGAGGCACTCCAGGTAGTATTTGCCCACGGCGGCTCGTCCCTTCATGGCTGACGACACGGCGATATGGTGCAGCAACGTCCGACCACGTCGGTCGCGGACTTCTATGCTTGGGCCGAGAAGCTGCAAAAGCGCCGGGAAGCTGTTATGGTCCAGGTTGTTTCGTGCTTGACAGGCTGCGATTAATGCCGTTTCCCCTCCACTGTTGGCTCGTCTCATGTTGAAGCCCTTTTCCAGTAGCTTGCGCACCAGCGGGATCCGTGCCAGGGTTGCCGCCCAGTGCAGTACGGTATTGCACGACCCATCAATGGGCAGCTCGAATTCATCGCCACTGAGTCGAAGAAAAGCTGGATGGTCGTCAAAGTCGGTGCGGTCGGGGTTGATAAAGAGATCAAGCAAAAGTTCTTTCTTCTGTTCTTCCAAAGGTCCTTGAGGATGAGGAAGAGGTTCGAGGCCATAGGTGAGGGTGTCCATGGGCATGAAGGATTGGCTTGCTTGTGAGAAGAAAGAGGCGTTTGGTTCGGTCGGCGCACCACCATCTACCATGGTCAACTCCATTGATCCGTCATATGGGCCGGCACTGATAAAAGACGACTGTGGCGATGGTCGAATCCGTTTTCGTGGAGGCTCTTGAGCCTCGGTAGGGCCGAAGTCTGCGAAGCTGGCTCCTTGGCTCATGATGCCTCCATTGGTACCAAAGCTGTCTTGCGAGGTCATGCTATGCATGCTCTGTTGGCTCGCACCCTGTCCATACATGTCATTCTGGCCGTAGTTGAATGATTGAGACTGAGTCTGAGATTGCCGTCTAGGCCCCATAGACCGTCGTCCATCCATCTGACTGGGCGAATCGAGACGTGTTCTGTTCAGGGCGTGTATCGCGTTGGCCGCCGTGTTGGACATATTTTTGAAAAATGTACCTCCTGACTGCTGCGTCATGGGCCGGCCGTCACCCCCATAAAGTCTTTTTCTTTGGGCTGCCATGGCTTGTTCTTTGGTGGGCGTCTCCAAACCTTGTGACATACCGGCCGTACCGTCCGAGCCGATATCGTGTTCGAAGAGTGGCAGCAGAAGATGTTCTACACCATACTGACGGGCGAACTCCCGGCCGCGCTGATAGTTGACCCAAGTACCTTGGTATTTTCCATAGCCGCCCTGGACCTTTTCGTGTTCGCCGGTAATTTCCTTCTCCAACACTTTGGTTCTTTTACCCTTGTCCACTCCTGCGACCTTCAATATCTGTGTGGCGTTTAACCACGAGTCCGCGCGACGTCGCATTACCGCAATGCCATTGACCTCCATTTCAAAGACCGACACGTTGGAATAAACGGCCTGGGAGCTTGGTTAGTGACCAGCTGACCGCAAAACACAAAACAGTACTGACCGTGTAAATCTGGGGTTTGGCCCCGTTGGGATAGAAGTTCTGTTGCGCATAGACATTCGGGTCTTGGTACCCAGAAAAGGCGTTCGGGGCAGCCATCATACCTCCATTAGCCATCGGAGGGCCACCGTTCATATGATAGGCCATCTGTTGCTGCTGCGCCTGCGCCTGAGCTTGTTGATGCTGGTGTTGTTGTTGCTGCTCGGCCGTCGAACGAGCTGGCGGAGGGGTTGGCGCAGGTGTAGTCGCGACCGAGTGAGCTTCGTAAGCGTTCATTTGAGACATGGGTTGTGGATAAGAGGAATTCATTGAACTCGAATGGCCATGCTGGGGAAAAGAGGGCGGTGCCTGGGCATAAACTCCGGTTTCGATACCGCCCGACGCCATTATATTGCGTACTGCCGTGCGAGAGGAAGATCGTGAAGGTTGTTAGGACAGTCGTCCGAGTCAAGACATGATCCCGGGCGCACCCGTTGCGCAGTCGGTATGAATCGAAATTAAGAGGAAGGAACCATCAAGTATCTTGGTTAGCACTGTATTGCACCAAGCCGGGTTTCTTGTATCTCAGGCTGTCAGCCGCGATAACCGAGTTAAGTTTCGGTGGAATAACTATTGCAGCCAGCTCTGCACAGTTACAAATGAGACACAACTGCCGCGGATAGACTGTGTCTGGTCGGCCCAAAGTAGACGTGCACAGTTTGAGCCGTTTTGCGAAATAGGACTGCGCAACCCGATTAGCGAAGTTGAGGAGGGCGGAGGTGAGAATGAGAGCGCAGGCTGGGGGTTTTGGCGCTCAGGGTTGGGTTGGGTTGGCGGGAGGAAATATCGGCTCGTGACAGGGATTGTGTTGAGGAGGGAAGTGGTGGTGAAGACTGTCCGCAGATGGCACAGCGCGACAATCGCTCCAGATTGAACAATGGTGCCGAGTAAAGCAATGGTTTGTTGTTTATGCGAATTGAAACAATGCCAGTGCCGGTGGTATCAGGGGGGACTCGGAGGTCGTGGTGTGGTGTGCAGCCAGTGTGCAAACGGCGGCGAGTCACGTCGTGCCAGTGGATGAAGCGGAACTCGCACTTGCAGTCAAGCGGAACTGAAGTGCAAGCGGCGGGGGAGTCAAGAGACTCGGAGACGCATTTGATTTGCCGCAGCTTCGAGTTCAGCTTTTGGGTGCGTCGCGTCTCGTTCACTAGCGCGTTTTTTTATCTCTCCGGCGCGGCACTGCAGTTGGATTTGCAAAATACGTGCAAAAATACGTGCCCTGCAGTGCAGGACGGATCAGAACAGAACAGAACAGAACAGCGCAGCCTGTAGATTACATGAACTGCCCATCATTCTCATACACACTCCCTTCGACACAGTCCCCTACAGATTAAATGGACATGGGATGACCACAAACCCAGTCCACCTATACCGCGCCCTGCTCCGGGAATGTAGCTACCTGCCCCTGCCACGATGTCGCTCATCCATGAAAGCCTATGTCACCGAGTCCTTTCGACGATGGCTGCCGAAATACAAATACACCGGCACCCTGACAACGCTCGGTAGAACGAATACGGGCAGAGTGCCTGATTTCCTCAAACAAGTCCAACTCCTCCACCGCGGACGCAAGTTCCATTCGACCCTCAAACGGGCGAATGAGGGATACCTCGTCCCCTTGGAGAAAGTCCTGCGCATGACCTACGGCCGCACCGGTCCACGGCGGCATGAAATGCTGGAAAAGTTTATAGCTGGTACTACTGCTGCTACGCCTGCAACTCGCAAAATCGACCATGTCGACGCTGAGGGCCACAGCGACAGCGACAACAACACCAACAATGACTGCCACGACGACACCGGTCCAGTTCCCAAATACTCTAGAACTTGGCACCCGCCGCCCCAATTCCAAGCCTTGATCGATAGCCAAGCTGAGCATCAACATCTCTTCGGCCGATCTGGACCCAACTACAAAGTCAAGAAGCGCTTCACGCCGCCCGCGACCACCACGTGGGGAGAACCCCTATCAGAAAGGAGGTACAGAAACCTCAAGCACGACTGGCACGTCCAGAATCTCAAGGCCGTCCTGCCGCCTCTGCCGGAACAGGAGTACAAGGAGGTATATGACCTCGTCACTGGCGCTGTTGAACTCCCGGCTCCCATCCCGCGACGGCCCAAAGCTCGTGTTTCACCTGAAGAGGAAGATAGGCAAATCGCCGAGAGACACGCCTCGATGATCCACGAAGGTCCTCGTCCAGGTCCTAGGGCAAAGGATGATATGCTCGGCCGCCCGCACCGACTGACTCCTCGGCTCTTCCGTCGAACCTTGGCCCGCGCCGTCCTGAAACAGGCTCCGTTGGTCAAGGCTGCGCCATCGAGCCACGACGGCCTCGGCATGGTCTTCGTCTGGGACGATGGGCTGTGGCAGAATATAGTCAAGAACAGCACGCCCAAACAGACGAGGCAGGGCCAGAAAGAACTACTTTTCAGTTGATCTATAAGCGCTGTCAACTGGTAGTACAAAGGCTTCCCACACCGTCTACCCATATGTTGGCTACACGCCCTTTAATCTTTTACGTCCAACGACTGCAGAAGGAAATCAGAAAGGAGTCTACGGGGCCTTTTGATTCGACGTATAACATTAGAATATCTATCCCTTTGATTGCCACTGCTGAGGCAGCATCGAACCCAACCGTTGTTGTCAAACGTTCCCCTAACCTTGGTCAATCAGACCCAAACTCCAATTCTACTGCAACTTGACCTTGCCTTAATACCGTGCCCACAGAAAAAAAGGCGCCAGACGACCGCCGCTCCAAAAATGCAACCCAAAAATCCCTCGCTAAGCTTGTTAGAAGTCAAAGTCGTCAATCGTCACGTTCGCTGATCGGTCAGGAAGCACCACCGAGCATGGCACTCATTGCGATGTACCATGTTCGACTGGCTCCCCCATCGATCCAGCTCATGTCGAAATCGGATTGCGTGAAGAAGTTGTATGCTGCTTTCGGGTTAATTATCGCCAAATTTGCATATACAATACCTAGCAACTCGTCAATACCGCTCAAACTTATCACAAGCATACGCAGATCATACCTTTCCAGCCACCAGTAATGTCTGAGGCTTGTCGCACCGCGCCATCGGCAAAGTACGTTGACCATTCCTCCGTTACAAATTTCTCTGCAGAAAGTATCAGTCAGATTCTCCCATGGTCGATATGGTGACAGTACTCACCTGTTCTCGTCAAGGTCGAGAATGGCATGATCGGGATCATGTGAATGCTGCAACGGTCAGTATACAGAAACAAAGCCAACAGGTACAATTTGACCCACCCCTGAACATAGCTGAGATCCGTGCCAAAGTAAGTGACATGATCTGCTTTATTCTCAAACAGAATGCCCGTCACTTTGTTGCCAATGAACTCCTCGGGTTGATTCGTATTGTCGGACGTCATGAGAAAGTAGCTTTGAAGACTACGCGCAAGAACGGACAGCATCAAGTTGCCACGGGCTTCCATCGAGGCATCGCCAATGGTCTTGCCCCACATCTTCAAGCCATATGCAAACATGGCATCTTCGGATGACGACTCTTCGTCCTTGCCATCACCTGATTCAAAGAGACCTTTGGCCCAGGAGTGCCCATGATACCAATCAAATGATCGAAACACAGGGAAATACTGGTCCAGCGCGCTTGGATTTGACACATCCCGGGCCAGCGCGTTCACATAGTCTTTGTTGTTCGTGAGCCAGGTGGGATCGAGGTAACCAATCACGGCTGCTGCGTGAAGGAAGTAGCCATAGTGAAAGTGATGGTCGTTGTAGTACGAATTGCCAAAGTCCACTCCCGAATCGCCAGTCACATAGCTTGCCGACGATACCAAGCCTTTCCAGTCAGTATCATAAATCAGAGGATATTGTTGCTGGTTCTGAGCGAAGACTTCGAAGCAAGCCTCGAGCTCAAGCAAGGCAGACTTGGCCAGATCTTGTTGGTCGGTAAGATCGTGCATCGTATACACGAGAGTCGCAAACTTGCTTAGAGCTTTTCCACTGTAGTACATGCTGTTGAGGTTGGTCTGAGCAGACATGTTTTGTGAAGCCTCGGTGGCAGCTACGCTTTGAATGGCGGCAATGGCTGCTGATGACATTGCAACCAAGCTCTGCGTCGAGCTGGCTGGTCTCCATGGCGCAAAGTCCAGAGTTGTGGGCAACCCATCCTCTTCCAATACCCAATAGTCCGCTACCACGGCCGTGGCGTTGCCGTTGGTGGTCGTACTGAGTTGCAACTTTGTGACCGCGGCCTGGGTGATGTTGTCAAAAGAGTCAACGTGATGAGGCAGGGCGAACATGAGCAGGGTTGCATTGCCGGCGAATGAACCACCTTTGCTCCATGAGAGACTGTACTGTGCTTTAGAACCATGTGCATAACCCCCAATGTGTCCCGCTGTCGGGTATGCGCCAGCTGCGCGGTCATAAATTGATTCCTGACTTGCATCAGGCAGCTTCGCGACCTGAATCACGCCATACCAGTTGGAGATTCCCTGAAGCAGAGTACTGGAGACGAGCTGAAAGTTTGGCGAGATACCATGTGAGGGGATGGCATAGATCAGCCAGACCTTCCCGTCCTCCAAAGTAACCTTGTATTTGTACACGCCTTGTTTGGGCTGTCCGGCGGCAGCAACATTTCTGAAAAAGACGCTGCTCTGCAGTGCCGGCTGGAGGTTGTAGTATTCTCCCGTCACAAAGCCCATCCCTTGCACCACTGGTATAGTGAGGGTTGAAGACGACCCAGCAGAGGGCTGAAGTTGGACATTTGCGGAGAATGCCTGCAGGGAATCTGTCGTGAGAATCGTGCTTGAACCGAATTCGCTTGCGGACAGGATGATTGACTGTATCCCCAGGGGGTTGATGTAGTATGAGTTTGGAGAGCCGGGAATGGCAGTATTCGCTGCACCGAAAACCTTCTGACTTTCTTCGACATGGGAAATAGCCATGCCCCAGCTCCGCGCGTTCCCGGTCCCCTGGCTCCACGTCAGGGAGTACGGCATAACGAAACTGGGGTTCCCTTGGGTGCCTAGAACGAAGTTCTGGTAGAATTTGTTTGTTTCCAGCGGTCCGGTGCTGTTGGTGATTCCTAGACGAGGCACCGGATGGCCACTCCGTTGCTCGATATTGGAAGGCGGTTGTCCAAGTGCGATAGGCTGAAATATGTCTTGTCCATAACAACCCGAACTCAGCAGACAAGTGGACGTGGCGGTGGGAAGATCCGTCAGAGAGCCTCCAGTGGTAATGGTCGTGGCAACAGTCCCCGTAAGGGTCGAAGACGCAGACAGTGTTGTCTCAACTAGCGCACTTCCGGTTGTCGTGAGCACTGTTGTCCCAGCTGACGATGTGGTAACAACGGTTCCATTAGAGGTGACTGTGGTGTTGACCACTGTTACAGCAGTGATCACGGCAGTGGTCTGGACCGGCACCGTGGTAACGGTATGCGTCACTACTACTGTCTGGAAGGTGGTCAAGGGCAGCGTTATCGTTTCAGTCACAGTGCTCTTTGGCCCAGTAGCGGTTGCATTGCCAAAGGGAACTGTACTGTCAAGTGGCTGCAAGGTCGCGGATGAAACAGTAGGAACGCTTGTGGGAAACGGCTGTACGGGCGGATTGCCTCCAGTCTCCAAAGAAGTGATAAGGGTCTGTAACGCATCAGAGACTGACTATCAGGGAGAAGAACAGGACTTACCCCTGACGTATCTGGTGAGCTCTGACTAGCTGAAGTCACCGTTGGATTCTGGGAAGAAACTATGCTCGTCACAGTGACAGTTTGGAAACTTAGGTGGGGGTCGACGAAAGTAATAGTAGATTCGTAGGTCGAAGAATCTGCATTGTCAGTAACCGCTCCATTGGCGAGGCTGGACACAATACCCGAAGTCTGGCTCGTGTACACAGCAGTATCACTGGACACCGACGAGGTTGGAGCTTCTGTAGACGAAGTTGTGGATCTGGGTACCCAGCGCCATGTGGCTAAAGTGTTGCTGAACGGATTGCCGTCTGGAAATGAAGTTGACCAAGGGGGACCGTCCGTAAAGAAAGCGCCATGAGCGCCTACAGCCAGGGACCGAGATGTTAGTGACTCGTGTTGAAAAGTGCTGCTATGGCCTTGCCCCTGGCATTCGGAGTCGGGACTATCTGACTGACCGGTGATTCGAGGAGCGGGTAAAGCTCCGGCGAGGAATGCCTGCGACATTGTTAGTAAAACGGACCATTTTGTCTGCATGATAATGAGGGAGGGAGGATTGTAGATTAGGCCAGAAGCCGATCATAAGCGGGAGAGGTTGAGCAGGAGAGAATATATGGCTAGGCCAACGGAGACTGGAATGATCAGATTTTCCAAATGCTGTGCCCGTAGTACTTGATTTTGCAATCGGTTCAGGAGTAGTTCTTGTTCCTCTGTGTACACAGAGATCGAGAAAACGCAGATGAGGACACAGTGAAGCCTGGTGTTCCTTGAGAGTGTTTGAACTGCTGCCGGAACAGTGGATGGAAGCTGACGATGACTTTTGAACCACCAGTGCTGAGAGCACTCGATGAACCGACGATTCCGCAGAGACAACAGACTTCCCGATTGAGACAATGTAGAGAGGCAGAGAGGGGTCCGGAACAGTGGTGTAGGCATACCAGAACAAGACCCGCGAGCTTTGGCGCGAACATGCACGGCGAGGATGGTGATCCGTGTGTCTGCCGGCCCGGGGCTCGAGCTCTTGGGAGGCAGAGGTCTCGTGGCAGAGGATTGAGAGGAAAGACTTCAGGAACGCGGATATGGATAGGACTCTAGGAAATCCAAGAAAGAAGCTCTGACAACTAGGAATACGGCTGTTGAGGATATAGGAGTGTTTTGAGGGTAACAAGGATGGTCGGCGTCAAGATTCAGGACGAGGCATGAATCGAACTTGAAGCAGTCCATCGTCAGAACTGCTCGTCCATCGCTCTTTCCGGGCCATGACTGCCTCTCCATCGCTCCATCTTTGCTCTTGTCAAGGACGCTGCTCCCTTTTGGCCCTGTGGGCAGAGATGGAGGCAACGGGCAGCGACATCTCGAAGAAGATGATGTAGTGGCGTTGGTCGCTGGGAGCCGCTACTTCGAGGCATCGGGCAACAAAAGTTCTGTGCGCGCGACACGCTGTACACGTCAGTCGGTCGCGTTAGCAACATCAAAGGCGCCTCGTCATCAGAAGCCCACCGGTGGTTGCTGCTTCTCTTGCGAATGAACAGATTGTAGATGGAGGATGATGTGGCATTATTGATCATTGTTGATTTGGACGTGGTGGTGTTGTTGGAGACTGGCGCGTACCACCCTTATTATGTACAGTACCTAGGTAGACAGTGTCAAACCACCACTACTTAATAATTATTGAATAAACACCATTTCCAGCCCCAGTTTTGTCATCAGCATGGAATCCCTGAAGCATTTCCTCGGCCTCAGGATAATGTAACCTGAGATCCTGAGGTCTCGCCACTTACTGCCCAAGGAGTTGAGCCCAAAGACAAGCGACATCGTCCAGTTTCGCAGGGTAGGAAGGGCTAGGGAGGCTCCCACCGCCGGTCCACCAGATAGCAAGCCTTCAGGTTCTGAGGTGAATATGCGCTTCTACAGGCTACGGCAGTGCAAACTTCCATATGGACTGAGCTAGTGAAAAAGAGAGGTCATTGCTTATGAAGACATACTACCTAGGTAGGAAGCATCCGTGAGCATTTTCCTATCGTCTAGTGATGCTGAGAAAATCGATTGTGGCCAACATGATACTTTTCTAACAACCTCCCGAGTCCTCATCATCACACGACGACTTCAACAACCTGCGAACTCGTCCTTAAACCAAAGGTCGAGACATGGGGCGGATGATGCCCTGTTTCATTAGGACGCGTGGCTTGGTGGCATCTTGGAACGTGCTCTTGGTGGTCCATTCTGGACCTAAAGGCAGGCGAAGTGATCTCTCGTACTGCTGCCGTGTCTCGAACGGATGAGGTAGTTCGCTGGCCAAGTACTTGCTGTTCTTCTTCACCCGCTTCTCATTGATGATGACACGCTCCAAATTGGCATCTTGTCGCTTCTCCTCAGAAACGCCCTTGATGGTGGTCAAAAACCGCCCCTTGGCCCGTTTCTGTGCCTTCTTGCTGACACCTTCGCCCGTCCAACTTCCCCAGCCTGGGAGACTGTTGTCGATGACTTGGTCACCCTCTTCCTTGACAGTCTCCTTCTTCTCTCTAGCAAAGTCCTGCTCCACTTCATCAGGGCCAGCAAATATGGCACGGGCAAGGGCAGACTTTGTATTCTGCTCATCTTCCGATTCTGATGGACTGGTATAGTCGTGAAGCTCTTGCTCGACGCGTCTGCGTCCTTTCTTTTGTAGCTTGTCAGCCCGAGGAACTAGAGTTCCTGCCGCCTTTTGATTGGTCCCTTTCAATTCTACCTTCTTCTCTTGAACCTGCTTGCCAGTCACGTTCTGTTTTGAAGTTCTCACGGGTTCTCCGTTAGGAGCTGGCTTTTTAGCAGGTACTTCGGCAGCACGTGATCCTCGCACTTCTTCATCCTCATCTGCAATGTCTCGCTCCGCGTCAGACTCACGTTCCTCGAACTCACTCTTCTGGACAGGGGCTGGCATAGCCGACTGCTCCTTCGCACCTTGCCCACCAAATTTTTGGCGGCCAACAGGTACTTCATCGTCGGACTCTGAGTCCCCGTTGATTTCACCATTTTCCTCGCGCAGACTGCGTTGGAGACTTCTGACTTCCTCGTCATTAGCGGCCTTTCGAGCGGCCTCCGCTTTTTTCATAAAGGCCATAGAGTTGAGGCGTGTCTCAGTGGACTCTGGCTCGTCACGATCAATATCATCGAGTTTGTTCTTCAGCCACTCACGCTCGTCGTCCGCTCCGGAGAATTGATCGGAGTCATCGGATTCTGAATCAGATTCGTCCGAACCGGCGGCGGCTTTGCCTTCGATGCGTCTGCGAAGTTCTTCGTCTCGCCGAGCTAGGTCGGTCAAGCCATGCCTAGCATCCTCATCCCATGCTGCTCTGCCTGTGATCTTGACACTCTTGGCCCATTTGCTCTCCCGGTGCCGCGCGCCCATGCGTTCTTCGGCCCGGCGACGATCATTGCGCTCTCGTTCTTCATCCGAGTCGATCAGTCCCTGGGCGGCCAGAAGAGTTCTATTCTCGACGTCGGCTCTTTCACGTTCTTTCCGATGCACTCGACGATAAGCCTTGCTCTTGATCTTCTTTATGCGCTTTGCACGTATTTCCTCACGAAACATTAGTTCACGGGCTCGGCGCAGTTCCGCTCGCCTTGCCTGGACTTCTTCCAGTGGAATCTTCTTTTCCTGGAGTTCCTCATACACTTGTTCCTGCTGTTCCTGGGAGCGGGTTTCCTTGGACAACATTCCACTTTCAATCATGAGAGATTGTATTGTAGACTCCAAGGATGTCATGGGTTCTGACTGGGACGTCGGGCCGAGCTGTTTCCGCCCAAGAGCAGCGGCCGCCGCAGGGTCTTGGAGAGGAAACGAGATATGCTCGGCTCGACGGTTCCTCTTCACCGTCTCAATCCACTTTCCGAGCTCCTTCTTGCTCTCTTCATATGCAGCTTCGCGATCAAGACGGTCTTGTTGCCTCTTAGCCAAAGGAGGAGCAAGCTTTCCCGGGACTCCGCCCTTGTAGACCTCCTGGGCCTTATCTTCCGAATTTGTGAGGACCTTCAATGCTTGTCTTTGGCGTGGGTCTTTAATGTATTGAAGCAAATCGGCTGGCGAGATCTTTGTCGAGCTGAGACCAAATTGAGAAGGCTTGTCGGTAAGATTTTTGAGATTCTGCTGCCGACGTGGTGTCGGCACCTGACCACTAGACAGTCCTTCCACAAAGCTCTGCAGTCTTGAATGATCACCCTCATCTTCAGAGATTGAAAGCTGGGAATCCCCATCGTCATCTTCATCAGCTTCGGACATATCCTCTTCATCAGACTCCGATTCAAAAGCGTCGACATCCACTTCATCGTCGCCACTGTCGGCTCCTTTAGATGTACGCCCTTTGTGTTTCTTCTTCTCTGCAGCCTCTTTTTCGTCCTCGTCATCCATGTCCCAGGCTGTAGCCAAATCCACGGCTTCGTCACCAAAATCATGTTCTATTTCGTTATCGGTTGAGTCACCAGAAGCGCTCTCGTCTAGATCGTGTTCAGGCCGTCTGCGACGCTTCTTTGTCGGGCCATCGGTACTTGCGCTGCCGCCAAACGTGAAATCGGCGAAACGCTCTTCATCACTACCGCCAAATGCTTCCTCGCTGTCGATGTCACTGTCCTCGTCCTCATCATCAACGCCAACGTGCCACTGGTGGCCATCGACGTCTGAACCTTCGTCTGCGGATCCGGGATCCCCATTCATGTCGACTTTCCTTCTCTTAGTCGAGCGGTCATCTGCATCCGCCCCATTGCGTGGTTCATCATCATCGTCGTCGTCGTCAATAACGCCCAAGCGGTGCTGGGGAATCTTGTATTCATCCAGACCTTCTTGTTCGGCAATTTCCAGGGCATTGAGCCGGCGGTTCTTTGATGCGGTTTTCTTTGAAGGTCGTTTCCTTTTTTCTGCCTGGACAGGTCGTCCATGGGCTTGCCGAGGCATAGTTGCTGCGCCCTTGGTACAAAATTTATCACCCACAGGTGCAAACTTGGATCTGTGAGCACGATTCTGTATTGTTGCTGAACTCGCCATCCGCAGGAAAAAGTCGGTCGGACATAACAATTTCTTGCCCGGAGATAGTGGTGTTGGCACGCTAGTCCCAGGCGGGAGGAATTACCTGCCAGTTTTGCACTACTAGTACTAATGTTCAAGTTGGGATCGTTGAACGCTTATCGGCACTAAGTAGTCCGGCTGATAAGACTGAAGCATCGCTGCCGTGATACTGACCAGGGGCACCGCCTACTACGACTGACTTTGCCATCCTTCATCATCTGCACCATCTTACCCTTCCCTGACGTGCAGCGGTCCGGAGTAGTACAAGAACTTCTTATCTCTGGTGGTTTCTACTCGCTTGTTCAGCCTAGCCCAGTTACTTCTACGGCGAAGGGCGCTGGCACCCTCGTCCTCAACGTGGATTGGCGGCAATCTAGCCAAAACTGCAGTGCATTATAGTACGACTATGAGGAATGCAAGCGGAGGAATTCTCAACTCTCGGATCAGACACGTATGTTGAATTATAACTAGTTTCATCACGCCAGAATCCCTTTCCACCCCTGGCTGCCGCGTCGATGCAATGGGACCACGATACAGAAGTATGCCAGCTGTGATAGACAATGTAACCCTCCTTTATCAAGTCAAGGGCCGGCTTGACCTCCGGCTAGAAGGGTTCTTGCGACTGCTCGATGTCTTGAAAGCCCCTCTTGCTCGGATTAGATGCAGTCTCTGGTTCAGGCCAAAAGGGATTCAAGAGGACATTTGCGATTGTAGGTCGTGAGTGGGAATGCCATGACAGCATGCTTCTCAGAATTGCGTTGATGGCAGTCTGGGAACTTGACAAACGTCCCAAGAGGATTCCATGAACATTTTCGTCGATACCATGCCTGGGCTGTTTGAAACGTCCATAGATCAACTCAAATCCAACCACGCCATAGCTGTAAACATCAGATGCTGTTGACCAGCACAGGCTTGGGTCACGGGCATTCTGGTTCTGTCCCCGTTTCAAAAGGACGATCTCAGGCGGAAGGTAGCTTATCGTGCCTACCATATGATTGTTGGAGTTGGATTCAAATGTGGCCTGGCCAAAATCGGCAACGGCCACCTTTAGTGGATCTAGGCGCGAGACAAGTAGGTTCTCCAATTTTATATCTCTGTGGATGACCTTAAGAGAGTGAATATGTCGAAGGCCTTGAGCACCCTGATGGTAGGCCCTCAAGCGGGTCTCCTCGCTTACCGAAGGTTGAAGTAAACTTTTGAAGGTATCCGGGGCCCAGGGGGTCATGATCATGTAAACATCATTGACCTTCGTCTTTCCCATGGAAGCATCGCCTCCATCCGAGTATATTACCTCGACTAAGACACAGATGTGAGGCTGCACGCAATTAGTCGAGCGGAACTGCGCCTGGGGCATACTCACATGCTTCCCCAGCCGTTGTAGGACGGAAATTTCGTCTCCCACCAGATTGAAAGTATCTTGCGTTCTTTTGACTCGCTTGACGGCATAAACCTCGCCTGAGTTGAGGTGGACACAACCTGACACAACGCCAAAGGTCCCGAGTGCTTGAGGAGTCTGCATCTGGTACCCGTGAAAGGTGAAGAACTTTTCTGATGAAGTAGGATCGATGTTGGCGATTCTTGCACTAGGCGTGATGCCGGCCAAGCGCATGGTCTCTTCATACCGCTGGTGGAAGGTGGCAGCGTCACCAGGGATGAGTTCAAGGGTGTACGTCAGGTTACCTATAGTTAGGCCACTCGAGAGTGTCCCTAACACTCTTCCCTGCTCCGAGACCTGTTGGCCGTTCAACCATACCCTTTTGCCCGGTCCTGGCTGTATTATGAGCATGCGGCTCTGGTCATGCAATTTGAGACGTGCATGTCTGCCTCTGACCTTGTCCTGATTTCTTCTGATGGTGAGGAGCAGATCGACGCCGAGATGCCCGGCTCCAGAACGGCCAGACCCAAGGGCCCAGCCATGAAGAAGGTCTTCTGGCGGGATGCTGAGGTTCAGCCGAAAATGCCCCGTGAAAACTTCATCAGGTGAGGTTTCTGCTCCAGAAGGTTCACTGCTCAGCGAACTTGCTTGCGAGATCGTCTCCTTTGAGCTGGATATGTAGATGAACTTTCGCCAATGCGAATAGCTCGTTGGAGTTCCTTGTATCAGCGTTGCCACATCATGGAAAGCTCTCTTTGCCCCATCGTTGGCTGGAATTAACCGTGCGAAATCCGGCTTTGTGAGCTGAGGAAGGGATTCTGGGCTTGGTGAGGGGCTCCCATGACTCTCCAGTCGAATCCTGCCCTCAAGTTCCGAAAGTCTGGACGTTGCCTGTTGCGAGGCCATTAGCTCTCAATCTAACAATCACGTTGAAAGACATGGTGGCTTTCAGTAGGGGGCTTGCTCTCTCTAAGTAGTGACTGCTGGCCACAATGGTCACCACGAAGACTTCGTCCGATGCTTGGTTCTGTGAGAGTGGGCGCTTCACGAACGTAAAGGAGGGCGCAGATTGGTGGCCTGCCTATGAGGAAAGGCAACTCCTACCCAGTCAGCCTAATGGAGGGCACTCAGTCAGAGGCGAATTCAATGCAGGTCTGTTACAATGAAGCAGCGCCACAAGAAAGGGGGTGGTTTGGAAGCCTACAATGTTCCAAGCAGTGCGGGAGGATAAAGGGTTGCTGCCTGAAGGTGAACCACGGATTTCTGGTTTGTTATTATCGCGGCGGCGGCAATTATTGGATGGATCCGCCACTTGCAGGGCTATAAGTAGTCGCGCCTTGCAACATGCAGGCCTCCTTACATCGGTCTCCCTGGCACCTTGCTGGTACCTGGGTAGGTCCTTTGCACGCTTCAAGTTCCCAGCGAAGGCGGGCGTTCACTCGCCAAGGCTGGTCGCGTTCCAAACCTCGTCGTTCAGGTTGACATGCAGGACAGGGCCGGATGGCAACAGGCAGCAATCCCTTTTAGCATCCCACTCTCGTCTCTAACTAACCTCTTGCGCCGCCTCCGAGCATGTCTGCTTGTTACTTTGCACCCAGGTTCAGAATCAGTCACAATTCAATCTAGGCATGGCTTGCGACAATCGACCTCCAGGGTGGAACAAATATATCAGTGAGAGATGGCACCTATCCCAATATGGGTCCCAGCTCAAGGATGGGGCCCAATTTGAACCCCTCGAAGGAAACAGCAAGGCCGGACTCAAGCTTGATGCTGTGATGGCAGACTATAGGATCAACGAGGCCCTACGGAGGCTCGAATATGTCCCTACCAGCCCCTCCCTTCGACCTGTCCCCGGTACCGAATGGAGTCTTGTACGGCTCCAGCCCGAGGAAGATTACCTTACATTGGAATCGCCCCAGGGCTCAGATGAAGGCCCGGTCTGGGATATCAGTCCAACACCTTCATGGGAAACGAAATTATCCCCTCAAGCGCACTTTTTGTTGATGACCAAGGACTACAAGGGTCCAAAATCTGTGTCAACGGCCATAATCAAGCGAAGATCTCCAAAGATTAATGCAAAGAAGACTCGAGGACGAATACAAAAAGTGTCTTGCAAGCGCAAGCATCCAATGCTAACCCGAGCCGCTGCCCGTCAGAAGTCCGGGCAAAGTAAGCGGCTCTACGACCTCAATCGACCGCCATCAATGGCAGAATTAAACGCCACTGAGAACTGACTTCAGCGGCCGGTGTGAAAGTGAGAAGCTGCCTTCTTATGACACCTGTCCTGCCAGTGACGAATTTTAGACACAGCCCTCAGGCTTGAAGTGGTCCACTCGTGTTTCAGGCCTTGTCGCCGCGATTGACAGCCTCAACATGCAACTGCGTTATTTTCGGGTAGTAGAGCGTCAGACATCCGACCGCGACTGCACATCAAAGCGAAGATGGTAACACGTGCCAGTGCATACGAACAACTGAAATATCCAGCCTTATCGTTCAGCAAGCGGTCATGTTCCCAGCGATGCAGAGATGCAAGGTCAAACGAGGAAGATCCAGGACACAACCTACTATGCCGGCCGCTGACTCTTCGAATGGACAGTTCCCTTTCGCGCCGGCATTTGGATGGAGTATTGTACCTTTCCACTGATGGACAAACATGTAACCCATTGGCTTTGCACCGTAGGCGGCACTCAGGACGGCATTCAAGATGGGATTCCCTGTTGTTGAAATCCAGGATGACTACTATGTTGCTCGGTCGATTCGCCGGCGCGGTGAAAGCTTCACCGGCTGTTTCTCTCGCCTCCGTCCTCATGATTCCAAAGGTTTGCTGATGCGGACCTCGCGACCTGCGCACACATTGAATAGCACACTCCCACTAGTATAAGATGCCTTGGATGTCAAGCTGGGCATTGCCAGTGATGGAGCGCTTGATCTCCCGTGTCATGAGGCCACCAGTTGCAGACATTCCAAGATATATTCGTATCTAGTTATGGCCCTCCTAGCTAGAAGATCTCGGAGTTTGAGCACCCTTCCTGGAACAAGCAACCTCTTTAATCAGCCTTATTGTAGGATTCTATTCAGAGAAGCTGATCTCCCTCAGAATTGTGCTCTTGCATGTTAACAACTAGTTGGTCATCAACAGATCTGAAGTACCAAGGCAGAGTGTCTGACCAGCCATCCGACCGAAGCCGACTGAATCATTACCAGGTATCCTTCCATTGGTATATAGGGCGATGCAGTCTCGTTCTCAACTGGGGGTTTCCCAAAGGTGGTCGAGCTGAGTCAGCCAATCCCTAAAGCGCGTAGTTCCTTGGCGGAACTTTTTCAATGGGCTCTCGCCGTCAAGTTCCCGGCACTGGTGCAGTGTGTTTGCTCGCTTTCCTTTTACGAGCGTGCAACGAGATTGTCACTTGCGTACAAATCGGGACTTGGAGACTTCATCCCGTCTCAAGTGCCATGATGTTCAAGCCGTCTCCACAGCTTTGTGCCCGTCTCCGGTTCACTACCAAAGATGTTGGCAAGGGTTTCTATCGAGGCAACCGGACGGGGTCCATGGGTTCGCATACCGAGTTTGGAGGCTACGTGGTGGACTGGCGCAAAACGCCGCACTACAATGCTCCCAATACGCAGGACTTTCCGGTAAGCTGGTCTCATAGAGAGATATCCAGTATCATGGTTTGTTGGTTGCTGACTGCGGCAAACAGCTCACGCCATTTGTGACCCTGGAGATGGAACGCACGACTCGAGTCATTGAACGGGCCGATGGGACCTCTTATACTCCAGATAAAGTGGACGGAATGGAATTCCTGAGACAATGGGCTAGACTCAACCCGGCGGAGTATGAACCTGTGGTGGAGCACCAAAGAGCAGAGAGGCAGACTCAAGCAGAATGGCTCAGCCTGCCTGAAGAGGAGCGGACGCGCATAGAAGCAGAGAGGGAGGAGTCAAGGCGTCAAGAGATGATTGAGGAAGAGGCGAGACAACTAGAAATCGTGATGGAAAACAAGGAACGACGGATCGCCCAAGAGGAAGAAGACAGACGGTGGCGGGCTGAGCGCGAACAAGAGAGACAACTGCAGGCACGAGAAGAGCAGGCTCGACTAGCTGCCGAGGAGGAAGAGCGGCGGTTACAGGCTGAAGAGGAGGAGCTGAGACGACAGGCAGCTGAGCAGAGGCTGCGAACAGAATTAAAATCAATACGTGAAACAACAAGACAGGAGGTGGAACGAACACTTGCCGAAGAAGGTCATCGGCGGAAGAATGAAGGCCTACCGCCAATGAACAGGGCCCAGAAGAGGATAATGAAGGCCGAAATCTTCGCGGCAGCGCTGCGCCTGGCCGGGTTGGATGGAGAGGTTCGGTCTCTGCCACGCGAAGAACAACTGAAGCTTTTAAGCAAGGAAGAGATTGCACGGCTACATGTTGAGGGCACGAGCCAACAAAACCGTCCACAGAAGCTATCAATTTGAAAGGTTTCTGTTGTTTGACCCCAACGAGGACTGGGAGAATGTGCCATACACAATGACCGGGACCGGCCAGAGAAGGATCAACTTTCGAACTTAACTTCCCCAGGACACCGGTCGCCCTCGTCCATCAGCTTGGGCCAATATAAGAAGGCCGTGGTCTCACTACTCCGGGACTATTTCCGACAGGGGAAACCGCTTATTGACGAGGTCTTTACTGGTTCAGCATTCCCCGTGGCATGAAAAGCCTACAAGATCGAGGATTGAGCTTATACACAAGCCAGGTCCCTCTCTTTTTGGTCGGCTTCTAGCATGTTAAGGCCGTATGCATGAAACGGCACTCGGCATAATGGTCTGCCTGGCACCATCGATGTTTGCAGAGAACCGGGCTGTTCAGAAGGGAAGGACTTTTCCAGAAAGCGAGGATGGATGACAGGTCGGTATGGCACAAGTATGTGCTCATAACCAAGAAGGTTTCTTGACCAAGGCCGCACAGGTTGGGAGGCCTATCAGGGAAGGATAGACGTTTTGTAATACTATATTGAAACCACCTAAGTGCCCCCTACCATGAAACACTTCTCAGAGTATGCTACAGCACCTGCTACAGAGGTATCTGGTACGTTGTAGGCTTGAGTGAGCTGACAACACCGATTATTATCTCATCCTCAGAGGAAGCTTGAATCACGTCTTTGATAACGAGCTTCTTATCTACTGTAGATCCTTATACGATATAGTACTGTATCATGCTGTGCGAATCCTGGATGAGTACAGTTGAAACTATGAAGCCAGTAATGTGTGGTAAAAGAGTGATGATCATTCTCAACGATCTAGGAAGCAGGAAGGTATCTAAGTAGTCCTCCCTGCCTATTTGCCTGTTGTCTCTCTTTATTACAAGGAGCCCTCCATACTGATTGTCCAACTTGCATACAAAGAGTACTCCCGCCTAATTGTCTAACTTGTGTATTAGACGCCCTCCTGGTTGATTGTCTGTGTTGGGTACCAGGAGGCTTCTGTGAGCAATAAGCGGGTGGTGGGATCCTCATAACCACCTAGTACTACCTAAATAAATAGTAAGAAATCCCCGAATGTAACTCTCTTCAATCGCCGGTTGTCGGCCTTTATTCGATAGGTCGGAAATACTTGACGGCGTCTTTTTTGGACTCCTTCAAAATCCCTGCATTTCGACAAGTTATTGTCTATCATCGTGAACAAAGCCTTTCGAAGAGGTGGGATTGCCAGGCAATTGCTTGCTCGAGGTATTCTAGTCGGTCAGTTCGTTTTCAATGGGGTTCAACTTTGCTTAGCACATCAGGCCTGTTGTTCATTCGCATACCACGACTGCATCGCTCGGACTTATATATATATACACATTGACACGCCGTCAACCAGAGTTTGGACTTATTCAGGGAGAGAACGTGATGGTTACAGTTGGCGAAACTCAACCGTTGCTCGGCGGGCCCAATTTGCAACGAGAAGATACAGATCACCAGCCACTGCTAGTGACCCAGGACGCCGTGGTTGTGGTCGCCTTCGACGCGGATGGCGACGAGGACAACCCGCAAGACTGGCCGGCCGCCTACAAATGGGGGATTGTGGCCTTGCTGGCCTTTATGGCCTTTACAGTGTACGTCTGCCAACCTCTGGACCAGATCGTCGATTTTTATTTCGTGTACTAACTAGATGGGTCTGTTGGTGTCTATAGAACATTTACCTGCATCTCGGTTGTGCCGGTATCAAACCGCATCGTGGACGACCTGAGCCACGGACACTCGAGCAAATCGGCCAGCGTACTGCTCGTGACGATCTGGGAACTCGGCGAGTCAGCCGGCCCGTTGTTAATCGCACCGCTCTCCGAAATGTTTGGTCGATACCCAGTGTTCAACGTGGCCAACGTGCTGTTCATCGGGGCAACGATCCTAGCGGCGCTATGCCAGACGACGCCGCTGTTCATCGGGGCGCGCGCACTGACGGGCCTCGCAGTGGCCAGCAATGTGCTGAGTCCCGCCATCGTCGGCGACATGTTTGTATCTGACCAGCGCGGCTCGGCTATGAGCATGATCATGTTCGCACCACTGCTGGGCGGTGCCGTCAGTCCAGCCATCGCGGGCCTGGTTGCCGAAAGCCTGGGATGGCGCCAGGTCCTCTGGATGAGTGTCATTCTGGCGGGTATCTGTGAGGTCGTGTTTCTCACTTGCTTCCGCGAGACATATAAGGTGGCAATTCTCAAACGTCGTGCCGAGAAGATACGCCGGGGAATGGACTTACACAGAGGCCCAGGTCTACCGAGACCGTCGATTGTCTTTGCAGACGCAGACATGCAGGCCGAGTCGCACCATAGGTTCTGGGATTCTATCATGAGACCGGCCGTCGTGTTCGGAAGCTCGACTGTCTTGCAGGTCATGTCGCTGTCTGGGTCGCTCATGTTTGCCTTCTTCTACATCATGTCGACTTCGTTGCCGGATATACTTGAGGGTATCTATGGCTTGTCACCGGCCAAGACTGGGTCTACGTTTATTGCTTTTAGTAAGACTGAAGACTCCTCTCCCGCTGTTATCTTTCTCTTCCTCCTGGCCAAATAGCCCCTGCCCTCCGGGAGTTACAGCCTTGCTACATGACATCTATTACCCCATCGTCCGCTTTACTCAGACCTCCACGGCTTCAGATTTCTGTCGTTACTGATATACCACTGCTCTGTTCACCCGCCTCCTCTCCTCTCCTCCTTTCATAGGTGACTAACCCTCATTTCTCTGATGTTTAGGCGCCGGCTCCGCAATCTCTGTCGTCATCATCAACCGTCTCCTCGACCGAATCTACGTGTCCCTCCGCGCGCGCAACAAAGGCCTTGACCAACCCGAATACCGTCTCCCCTTAGTCATCGTCGGCGGCTTCAGCGTGCCTTTGGTGGTTGCCCTTTACGGGTGGACAGCCCAGATCCAACTCCCCGTCTGGGTTCTGGTCGTGACCTTGGTGCTGCTCGGCTCGACCACAATGTTGGCGTTCATTCCTCTCTTGGCATACGTGGTCGATGCCTTCAAATTGCATTCGGCATCGGCTTTAACGGCAGTCATTGTCACGAGGTGTCTAATGGGTACCTTTTTGCCGCTGGCCACACAACCCTTGGTGAGTCGATTCGGTTGGGGGTGGGGATTTATGGTCTTTGCGGCCGCGAGTCTCGCTATGGCTCCGATTCCGGTGCTGGTATTTAAGTTTGGTGCGAGGTGGAGGAGGTGGTCGAGGTATACTCGTGGTAGTGAAGAGTAATTTGTCCATCTCTTATGGTAGGCTAGTTTGTTACTGGCCTGGATGGATGGGTTCTGGATTGAAAAACAATTGTTGGGCGGAATTAGAACAGAGTGAGATTTAGACAAGAGCCGGACTGGTGTAACTGGTGTTCTTTATATACAAGGAAGACCCAGGGGCCTCAAGGTGTCGGTTAGATCTAGTGAAGCAAGCAAAGCATGAAGGAATGATAATGATATGGTTGACCAATGGTCATTTGGATCACATTTGGTACTATATGCAGCTCATTTCCAATAGTTGTAGTTTGCCGAACTGGAAGCTTGGTGTTGCAAGACGCGACCGATCCCTTGATATCATAATCCTCCTTTGTGAAACGGAGCCGGCATCATTGGGCGTCCTATCAGGTTGCTTTGCCCTCTCTTTTGCTGACTGGTCCGCTACAAACAAGGCCGGCATCTGTTAAGCAGGCAACGCTTGTTTCTCTCGGGTTCGCCTGAACCAGCTGCTGAGCAAGCCGCCGGCTCACCCTTTCCTGGCCCTAAGATCTTGCGCCATGAATCGTGAGGAGCATGAGCACGTAGAAGTGTTTTGCTCCCTGGACTCTACCACAGCGGCCCCCCTTCGACAACACACTAATGGCATCAACCGCGCGGATGCATATGATGTGCACCTCTGTGCAAGAGATGGCCGTCTTCATCCTCCACAAGGAGAGTCGAAGGATTTCAGATTTGCACCCCATATCTCTAGAAGTGTCGCCGTTCTTCCTGGTTACAGGTGGTCCAGTATCAGCTCGCGGCCACTTACTTCCACTGTACCTTAGCTGAGGCCTCCTTGTGCACGGTCGAAATCTTGCCAAGGACTCCTGGGCGGGCGAGTTGCGGATTGCGAGAGCTGCGGTCATCCCTGCAACATCCTCTGACATAGTAGTCGGCAGCATATCAATCACTGTGTACTTTGCGATTGTGACCCGGTTTTTGAGGGGTGTGAGAACTGTATTTTCCGGAATCCAGTGTCTAAATGAACTCGGTAGGATGCCGGGTCTTCGATCAGCTGCGGGTTCGCCACTATAGATTGTCGCTTAGACTCGATGTTGGTTGTCTGCGACATGGCCGAGAACTGTGCCGGCCCAGTGCTGTAACTAGGTAGGACGATTCTCCGCTTTGGCTTCACACCGGAATTGCAACGACCTCTGCTCCTTCTGCGCTGTCCGGCAGCATATCACCATATACGGTGATGGGGATGACGACTTCAAAAGTCTCGCATTCGAGGTTCTCCACAGCAACATTGATCACCCCTCTTTCATCCCTAATCACCTCTTCAAGCAGGTCCACCGTAGGCTTCAATTCACCTTCGTCATTCTCAATTGGTTTGATGGTCCCAAACTCGAACCGCAGACTCCATTCAAGGTTGACCCCCGAAGTCGTGAAAGTCGGTGTAGCCGAGGCTGGTATACTTGGAGTAAAGCTGGCGCGCTTGGTGAACAGGACGTTATCTGAACAGCCCCAGTAGATCTTTCTCGTGACCCTGTTGATGGTTGCGGCAGATCTGACGGCCAGTGATGGACTGACCTTCTCACAGGTCTCGAGCGTGGATCGGAGAGACGCACAAGGAACATGGCCATCTGTAAAATCAATGACCGCCGTAACTGTCTCCCCGAGCCGGTGTAGAGGCCTGTCAATCACAATCACTGCCACTCTCTGCCCATTCCGAGTAATCTCGAATCGATTCGGGCTGGACTCGCCGCCGGCGAGTTGATTGCTGATGAGAATGGCACGGTTGATGGCCTGTATGGCGCGAGTTTGATTTTGTGCATCCGGGTTGTCGGTGAGCGTTGCGGCATCCATCGTGCCACTGCTTGATTGTCTTCTTCGGTTGCGATCCAACAGTCCATCCACGAACTGGAGAAACTCGGCTGTTGATTCGGCATCCGATTTCGACCTCGGGGTTTCGACCTCTTCCTGGTTGTCTGGCGATGAAATGCTTTTGGTGCGTGCCATGTCTCGAAGGACAACGTGAGGTTGCATCAGATCATGGCCAAAGATCTCACCGTCATAGTTGACACCCGAGAACACGCGAACAGGGATGTTGACCTGTCGGACGGTATGGACATCTCGGCTTCCTGGCAGTCCTTGCACGCCGATTGTCAGGTTATAGGATATTTTGATGGCTTTGCCACGATGGCTGGAGGGAAGGCCACGTGGCAAGGGATAGACAAACGAGTAACTTTGCTCCTCACCAGGTTCAAGATGCATGTCGACAAACAGCAATGACTGCGGTGTAGAAAGGAGCGGGATGGCTCGGGAATTCTTCATGGCGTTCATTTCCCGGACGCTGCTCATGTCCTCGCCGTTGAGCAAACTGTTTAGTGACTCGCCAATGTTGTTGAGACTGAAATTGCCTAGAAACCCGCTGTGCGGTCGAGGTTTCTTCATGCCCACCACCCCACCCCCTGCTTGTCCGCCGAGGAAGCCTTTGCTCTTGACTTCCTCAAAGTGAGCTTGGTCGATCAGAGAAGCGTCGAGCGTGAAACTCGCACTCAGTTGGGCATATCCCATCAGCAGGTTCACTGCTTGAGGCTTCCGCGGCGGTTTCTGCGGCCCTCGGCGAGGAAGAGGACTCGTGTGGTCAAACAGCGGTCGATGGTCGGACAGTATCGAAGGCTGCTCAGACGTCAGAGTCTCTTGAGAATGATTGCTTAGAGAATAAAAGTCGCCGCTGCTGCGCTCGCTGGCCACTTGCTTTGTCCCCGAGATTATTCGAGCTGTGTGTCCTGGTTGATCTGTGGCTGTTTTAAGGGTTTCCTCTACAGTAGAACTTGGGGACTTGTTGGCATCTCTATCCGAAGGGAACTGGAAATCGATGGCGGAGTCATGGTCTTCAGGAGTGCCTTGGAACAAAGGACTGCGTCGTCCACCTTTGGGTGGAACCGGCGAACCCGCTGGGAATTCTCTGTGCGATTGACAATTGTCACGACGCCCTGCTGCATATAGATTATGAGAGGCCACGGCTACTTAAACCATATAATGTAGAGGAACATACCCTGTGGAGTAGACATCGTAGATGTCCGATGATGACCCAACCTCTGCTGTCTTGCCCAACTACTTCCATTGTCTGCGACATCCCCACTGGCGATTGGAGAAGTGACGGACATTATAGAAACAGACCGCTGATGTTGATGAGTCGGTCTCCGGACATGCGTCTGGCGCTCATCGGGAGAACCTGCTCTGTGCGAGGCGCTGGCTCGGTTGCCACTGGCAGGTTCCGTGGCATCGTCGTTGTTGCCACTAACCCGTCCATTCGGGTAGCTCAACCTCGCAGAAGCGTTGTTTCGATTGATCTGAGCGGCAATCTGACTGATACTCTCTCGCCTACTTCCCCTACCCGTCCCTAGGGGTGGAGAGACGGGTTCGGTGGATGTTGCGACATTCTTGAAGGTGATGGTGCATCGGAGCTCTTCGCCCGCAAAGACCGACTGACCGTGGAAACGCACAACTACATGAATGTCCGAATGCATACCACGCCGCCGAGGCTTGACGTCCGATACAATTGAGCGAGCTTCCTGTTGATGGACGACGCGGTGGGTGAAGCCAGTATTGGAATGAATAGTAAGGAGCGTTAAGTTGATGTCCGAAGACGGATCAACATTGGCTGCGGGAAAACCTCGGCAATAGATTAGAGGCATTTGGCAGTCATCAATTTACGCCTTTTACGGATACGCAGACATCTACCATCACCACCTAAGCAGGCGGCTCCGATGCCCCACTACCAAGACTACTTACGTTCCCCCAACGCTAGACACCTCGTCATCGACCCTACTAGGAAACGCTTAATAACGAACTTTAAGATAATAAGAAAGTAAATAAAGGTAAAAATAAAGATTAGCTAGTTATATCTCTAGTTAAAAATATCTATAGTATTTAACTACTATTGGGATATTTATTAGATATATCTTTCTTTAGAGTAGTATAATCTCCTATATAATCGAAATCTAATCTATGTCGGCAAACGTGCCAGGCCTGTCCAGGTGGTCTATGCTAAACTGCCATAATGGGATTGGAGCGAATGGTACTGGCCTTGGTGAGATCTATTAGTCGACCTAATCACAACGTCCACATATAGCTATGTCGACATGAAACCGGCAGGAAGCTCTACGATCCAACCATCTTCTTTTCGTCTGATGTCAAATGTCACCTAGTCTGGGCGCTTACGGAGAGAAGTCGTTCAACGAGGCAGACGCTCCCGGCCTCACAAGAAAGGGTGAGGACCGAGGCCAGCTGTTTTCCGGGTACGATAGCTGACTTCATAGGTCGTGTAGACGGTAGAGCATACCCCTTCTCCTGGATAGACCGCAGGTGACATTTTCGCGCTCCCAATTGTTGCTCAACATCAGCGACTCCGACCTATTTTCCTCCGACTAAAGCTGTTATTCTGGCGCTGTGTGGAAAGAATGATTTGGCGTGGCGCCCTTGGGTGTCGCAGCTTGATCCTCTGAGCGTTTATCATCGTTTGTTGACGCGTTGTCCTCCGATCCAAAACCCCAGGGGCGGAAGCAAACCATCCTGAGTGATCATTCTAAGCGCCCAAGAACATGGACTATGGCAAGGCCTTGCTTACCTCGCGGCGCGGTCGACGAGCACGTCGATCTACTGGACTTGAAATATTCAGTTCCGTGGAACTTCTCAATTGGTGACTTCACAAGCCATTTTGATTTGAATCGGGGAATCCCAGCGCGCCCAGCATGCATACAGGCGCTTACCATCCCTGTCTCGACTTATCCCATCTCTAACGTTAACCTACCAAGTTTTCACACTCTTTCGACTCTTATCACGGCACGGTCCTCAGATATATTACAACAGATCTGTCTCATCGTGACCATGTCTCTTCTAACAAGTGTTGACATCTACTTTCTCAGTAAGCTTCAATCTTATAAATTGAGCTCATATCAATCACCCGGAAAACAATTCGAGGAATGGCACCGCGACTCTACATCATTGTCTACAAAGGCGATCCCGTTGATCTGCAAAAGACAAGACATACCGCTCTTTTCATTAGCGAGGACAACCAGGAAACTGGTGATCTACTCCATCTGGCCGGCGCTGCAGGCCTCTCTACGTTTGAACGAAGACAGCATGAAAATCCAACACAGAGCAGAACATTCCTTAAAAAAATCCCTGTCGGACCAATCACCAACAGCCCAACCAAACAACAGTTGATCACCAGAATCACTGCCACTCCTATCAACAATAGCACGCATTCTTGGAATTGCCAAACCTGGGTTGGGGATGCTCTTGAAAGAATAGTTGGGGGACTCTGGATCAGTAGTCAAACTAAGTCCAATGCGATTGGCTCGATGGCTGAGGTTATCGTCGAAGCAGAAGACGAGGAGGAGTAAAGGCATCTTTATACTTTTGGTCAATCATGTTACCTACGACAGAAGGTCTTCTGCCGAGTTAAGTGATGTTATTGTGTTGTATCGCCGTCCTTCGAATTGTCAATACAGAGCTCGCCTCCAGCATTTCTCATTTCAATAGCTAGTGCCGCGTCAAATGGCCTAGAAAGTGGTCTGTCATAAGCTCAGCAGGATATCGTGTATCGAATATCGCATCGGCATAGTCACGGTAGTCAGCGTACAAAGCTCTGAAAAATTGAACAAATTCCCAGTATTCCGGATACCAGCCTGCGTACTCCCAGTCAATTATGCCAACAATTCGGCCCTCCTTCACTATGATATTCGTTGGGCTCAAGTCTCCGTGTGTGAAAAGGATCTTGTGTGTTGTGGTTGAGAGAAGGTCTTCCAGCATTTTGCGGTAAATCGTTGGTGTGGTAGAAATAGTGTTGCTTAGCAAAAATTCATTGAATTCCGCTTCGCTAAAGAAAGGGCCGCCCTGGTTCCTATTTCGACGAGCATCAATTGCAGGACGTTGTTCAACTGAGCCAATGTAACTTCCCTCGAGCGAACGAAGCTGATTCACAATTTCGCGTAATTGTTGTGCATAGCTGAGCTTTTCATCCTTCGAAAGTCTGTACCATACGTTCTGTAAGGTGTCTCCCTCGATCATCTCCATCTCGATAAACCCCACATTTTCACACACACCAAATGCATAGACCTTGGGAACAGGTATGTCGAGGCCAGATTTCTCAATAAAGCACAGTACCTGCGCTTCTTGGATATCCACGGGTCTGCCGTATTTTATGACTTTCTCTTCAAAGCAGAAAACTTTTCGGCCGAAAGAGTCAAGGAACACCGTAGAAGGATTGCCCTGAGCTTGTTTGAAAGCGTTGTCTAAACTTTCCCGAGTCCAGCGTTTGTTGACCTGCATTTTAGCAATGTTTTCGAGTTTTGGTCTGAGGCAGAATTTGGACGGGAGAGAGTGACGAATAGGGTGATTTGGCAAGGTCGAGGACGACGGCTTTGAGGACTGTGTAAATTAGTTGTATGGACCATGGGAGCGGTGTAGATGGTTACCTTTGTCACCTGTTTGTCCACAATGCATCAGTTGATGGTGGAAAGTCCTAGTCTCTCACAAATCAAGTTATACTCGTCGCGATAGGGATCCAGAGCACTTCCGATGGGATTGCTTTAAAGGATTTCGGGAGTTAACAAGGGCCATCGCGGCTCATAGTTAGAGCATACTGCAACAGAAAAAAAGAGTACTCCAGCATTCGAAGCTGTCAAGATAAAGCGGACGTGTAAACTGAGACAAGTGAATCAGGAGACGACGAAGTCGAGCGCATCCACTCGGTATACCTTCCGAAAATTGCAAAATTGTGGGAGCCATGCGCACGCGAAAGGACATCGTCATATTATCAAGGAATCACTTTTGAAGTCGACTCAAACTCCGTCACACTATAAGCCCCAGCAACGCCTGTTCCCAAATACCTAAATGACCAAAACTGTCCTGGCCGCACAGTGACAGGTATCAAGCAGAAACACCCACTTGAGCAGCAACCTTCTCAGTTGCCCTGCCCAGTCCGTTGTTGGCATAATAATTCATAGGATATGTTCCGCCTTCCTTTTCCCACCCCTGTATGGCACCCAGCACAACCAACGCCTCGTAAGGCGTCAACAATGGCCGAGGAAATGCATAGCCCCAGTCGATGCTTAAGCGAGGACAAGCAATTTGCACCCAGCACTCCACATCCTCAAACATAGCCAACTTGCCGGGAAAGATCTCACTAAGCAGAAGATTGACGTATGGAATTCCCTGCATGTTGAGATGGTTCTCGATCATGGTCAGAATATGCGGGTTTCCCTGTCTGCCCAGCGCGCCCAAGATCAACCCCCATTTCTTTGCTCCTTTGGCCGTGTTGATGGCGTATGACCGCATATCCAGCATCTCATCGTGGGAATATGTCTCTCGGGTCAATTTCCGTGAGTACGGATCATACCGATATGCCGGGATGTCAGGGTTCGCAATCATGGCCGCCTCAAGGTGGAAGCGACCATCACCCAAGTACAAAATCAAATCAACATGTGCATCTGGTCCAATCTTGGGCGCTGTACACCCCAGCACTTCGCCTTTGCTTAACGGCATGACCTGCGGCACCACCAACTTCAAGCCTTCGGCTTCCAAGGCGGGTCTTATCGTATGCAACGCCGAGTTGAACTGGATCGTGCTAACCATCGCGATTGTCTTTCCTGGCGGTATGTTTCGAGAAAGAGTGCTCACGAGATGTTTGGTGTCGATGGAAATGTCGACGAATATGTAGAGGGTCGCGATCTTGCTGGACGATACTGGTATCAGACAGCTGTGGGCGTAGTGGACCAGAAGATCACATCCTAGCGCTCTTGCTGTGTAGTCATCGATACAACAGGCGCCGTAGGTGACGTCCCCCATAATCAGTGTTTCTGTCCCTGGGCAGAACTGAGTGAGGATATCTGAGATCGTGGTGGCAAACATGAGCAGACCCTCGGGGAATTGAAGCGCCACTCTCTTCGCCTGTAGGGTCCGTATCCGGTGTATGGTCTTGGGTATCTCGAAGCTGTAGTTGTGAGGGAGTAAACCGACGGCGGCCTGGATGTCGGGATCGTCGAGAATCTCGGGGGGTATCTGGTTCAATGCGCGCGGAGTCTTTCGCTGTGCTAAAACAATGTCAGTACGGCTTGGTTTCACTGACAAGTCAAATTGGCATCCATACATTTTGCGACAATCGCATTGGTCTCCTCTACCGAGGAACCGACATGTTGTTTCTGCTTTGCCTGCGCCTCAGCGGTCCTTCGGCCCACGAAACGTCTCTTTGGCGTCCTGGTGGTGGAGATGGTGTCTTCGGATGCAGGGAATGCACCAGGCATCGCCGGCTGCTCCGTATCCATCTTGGAGGTTATCTGCGGCCGTACCCGTCAACGAACACAGCGTCGAGTAGAGAGCATGTTGCAATGAGAAACTCTTGGACAGAGCGGCGTGTGGAAATTCTTACGACTATCTCCGCACCGCAGCCTCGCAGCCTCGCAGCCTCGCGATTTGGAGACATGAGCTGTCTGTCTTACTAAGCGAGGCCCTGCCACCTCCGGCCTCAGAGTGTACTATGTAGTTCACAGCCTCATGCATGTGAAGAACACCTTACCGTACTTACTATCCTGACTGCTCCAGTTGCCAATACAACCTCCTGTCACGGGTATCTTGTAACCGTCCACTCACAACTCTTTTTGGCGTTTCCCTATCGACGACAGACAACCCGCATGGTCGCGAGATCTTAGCCACGATGGTCACAACCTCAGGCTTCTCGCACACGCCGGTGTCGCGATTCCTAATTCTCGGCAGCGTCTGCAGCAGCATACTCGTGGCGATCCTTGACATCAAACACCTCGTCCCGATCAAGCCAAGTCCTCACCTCTGGCCGTACCTACAGTTCTCACGGCTGCTGACATTCCAACTTGCATACACATCGTCGACGGAACTCTTGTTTTCCGTGGTGCTACTGTACCAGTTCCGCGTGCTCGAGCGACTCTGGGGCAGTCGCAAGTACGCGAGCTTCGTCACGGTCTGTTTCTGGCTAAGCGTTGTGCTGGTGCCGGGCCTGTGCCTGCTCCTTAAAACCGCCTCCCTGGGCGTCTACAACTATATCCCGGCCGGCTTGACCGCCGTGGTATTTGCCGCTCTAAGTGCTTGGAGAGAAGAAGTTCCGCGACTATACCGATATAAAATCGTTACAGGTGGCCCTAAACCAACAACAACCTCGCCATCGTCGTCATCTTCTGACGACGCATCTTCCTCGGCACCACAAGCCCAAACACAAACACAACAGCTTCCCGGGATCACACTGAGCGATAAATCCACCACATACCTCCTCGCGGCGCAGTTGGCACTGAGCCAATTTCCTTATCAGTTGATCCCGGCTGCGGTGGGCTGGGTCGTGGGCAGTGCGTGGATGGGAGAATTGTTGCCCGGCAGGCTGAATACATGGCGAGTACCGGCCTGGATGGTCGGCGAGACAAGCAAGACCAAGCATCGCGGTCAGTTTGAAGGGCTGCGCAGGAGATTGGAAGAAGAAGGCAGCTCGGCCGACGGAATGAGGAATGTCAGTGACAATGTACATCAGCAGCAGGGGGCACAAGATGATACACGACGAGGATTTGGGAGACAGATCCTCGGATACTTTACCGGCTCCTGAATGTCGTCAGTGATAATGTCTTCATGACACTGGTGCAGTGTCGAGACGTAATAAGGGCGACTACGCTACGGCGAGCACTACTGGCAGCAGCACCAACATACCAGTGACTTCGAGCACTCGGCTTTCAATCTGGTTATCATACTTGTTTGCCTTATATAAGGTACATCATTCACATGAGCGCTGGATCTAGCTTCCTTCAAGGCAGGACCGACGGTGACTACGACGATTGCTGAATCGTGATTCAAGGCTACGCTAAGCTCAGATATGCACTCAACCAAGCTATGTTTAAGGCTTATCGGGGGATCGAATTTGTCAACATGGCTTCATCTCCTTACGAGGCTTCTATCTCCACAGGGTCCACAGGTATGGTATCCCATGAGGAGCACCAGTCCTCATCTTGCTCACTGTGAACTTGGAGAGCTTGGAAAATAGAGGCAGCCATGCGAGGTTCAAGTTGCAAAATGGTCGGCCCTGTCAAAGGAGTATAATGCACTCGGTTGCCGTATCCGGTCCGCCAGGAAATCCAGGCCGAGCCCTGACAGCTCAGCCTCGTCCCTATGCACGGAAGCATTGTGGTGGCCGTACTGCGGTTTCGTGGTCACTATTGCAAATGCAACTCCAGATAGATCGTGTCGATACTGCTGGGGTCTCTGTCAGTTGCAGCGCCGCATCCACGAGAATGTTGGATCGCCTACATCTGTCCATTCTTGGAACCGACCCCCTTCAACCTACCTACTTCTTCAAATCCCCATCTCAAATACCAGTCTCGAAGTGCCAACCCGCTGTTCGGAGCGCTCTCGTCAACCGACATGACTGCAATGACCTTTTTGATGTCAAACTCTACCACATTGTCTTCGTGTCCAACCTCCTTGGTGGCATGTTTTGTGGTTCGAAGCATTTGGAGCAGCTGTTGAATCATCTGGCTACCAACACCCTTGTTCGTATGCTGCGGATGGCAGAAGAGGCTGATCTCAACAGTGTGCCCATAACCTAGCATATAACCACGAAACGCGGCCGCATAGGTGTATCCGACCACTTGACCTCCGTCACCGACGGCCACTAAGTATGGAAGGTTGCGGGAAGCGATTTCTTGAAAGCGTTGCTCAATATAATCCGGGGGTGGCCGCTGGACCATGAATGATACGATGGTATTCAGAACATAATGCTCAAAAATGGCCCGGACCTGGGGCAGGTCTGCCTCAGTGGCTGGTCGAACTGTGACAGCCATGATCTAAGTGTCGGGGATGCCAGATCGCTCGAAGAGCCAAAGTCTGTTGTTGTTGACGAGCTCTGAATGCTGGACCTTATCCTCGTTGAAAGTATTGTACATGTAGCGAGCAGAGCATCAACAAGCACTGGTGCATTGTCCAGCATCGTGCCCCGGCCTGGACCCTTGCGCCTGTCATGTTGTGCAGTTCGAGTCTAGCGGCACGTGTGGCGGTCAGGTGGTGGTATATACCTTGATTACATAATCACCAGAACTCATCATTTGCACGTGCTCGTTCCTCCCCATGACGTAGTTGGGGTGATTTCACTACCAGTGACCGTCACCTGAATTTACATGCCAGTTACCTGCCAGTGTACAATGTACTAGTAAGTTGTGGGTAGCCGTAATATTTCACTTCAACCTCACAAAGAATCTGGCTTTGGACTTAAACTTGGAGTGATCTCTTTGACCACCTGCCAGTGTACCTGCTTCACTTCCTTTCACTATTTAAGGTAGGCTGTCACTGCCTGTAGGCTTCACAGCGGACCACCTAGGCTATTTGCAGTCTATATATAAATACTTTCATTCCAGACCTCTTTCCTTTTCTTATATCTCTTCCTCCACAACAACAACACTACTCGTCGACTTCTCGGTCTCTCGTCCCCAACTCTACAGAGCCAGTTTTATATGATACCGCGCTTCCAAATCCGCACAATGTCTTCCAGGCTCATTGCCGTGAAGGACATGCCTTCAATTGCAACCCTTTACAGATCTGGCCAGCTTCGCCCCTCCTCGACCCCAGATCTGCCAAACCCAAACCAGCAGTACAACGACAAGATCTGCACCATCCAGGCTGACATCACAAAGCTGCAAGTCGATGCCATTGTCAATGCTGCAAACAGTGGCCTTCGTGGAGGAAGCGGTGTAGATGGAGCTATTCATAAAGCTGCTGGTCCAGGCCTTTTGAAGGAGTGTGCCACACTGGGCGGATGTGAAACGGGCTCTGCGAAGGTTACCGAAGCCTACAATCTTCCCTGCAAGAAAGTCATCCACGCTGTCGGTCCGATCTTCCACAGCATCGAAAAGTCCGAACCTCTTCTCCGTTCTTGCTATAGAACCTCCCTCAGTCTTGCTGTTGAAAATGGTTGCCGCACCATTGCTTTCCCAGCAATCTCAACTGGTGTTTACGGTTATCCCAGCGATGCAGCTGCTCTTGCTGCAGTTCGAGAAGTCTACTCGTTTCTGAGGACTCCAGAGGGACATAAACTCGACAAGATTGTCTTCTGCAATTTCATGGACAAGGATGTGAAGGCTTATGCCGAAGTGCTGCCGTAGGTACAATAAGTTAACCCTCACAGTGCAGTCACTGAACATTTACTTGCAGAAAGATTCTCCCCCCAACAAAGGATGACCTGTCCCATACAGGTGAGTATCGTCTTAGCAAGAGTGTTTCCCCCATGAAACAGAAGCCAACAACTAGGCAGAGCCGTCCGAGGGCAATCTTTGAACCAATACAAGAGGAACCTGAACCCCTTGCTGTCCGAAGCGAGGCCGATAAGAGCATAGTCCCTGTCAAGAACCGCGATAGGACGATTGCTAAGGAGACTGAGTATGCTGCAATTGACGATCTGAAGGAGCAAGTCATACAGGACGAAGAGGCGAGGCATGAGGTAAGTGGCCCTGTTGGCAAGGTCGCAGCGCACAATGGCACAACTGACCATGGTTCATCCCAACAGGGGAAGTACGTGTGCACGCACGAAGACCTTTACAGAATCGATGATCCGCGCAATCACGGTCTCTGGCCAAACAATGCTTACGTTTGCATATGTCAATCATACTTCATCCAGGCACGCATCACGCATAAACCCGCCATTGGTCGTGGAGATTTCCGCCGGTTCTGAGAAACGAACAAGGGCAACATCTATCAGACCGAGCTGATTTTGAGACGGGTAACACAATTGGCACACTTTTGTGGCTTAGGAGGCTTGTTTCTGCCGCCACATTCTCCTCACATCATCTTTCACCAATTCCAGCACCTAAGACCATAGATGACCAGTTTGAGTTTGGATCTTTCTGAAGTGCTATGATTGCAGATATTGATCTGCCCTAAAGGGCGAAAAACTTCACTCCTAGCTAGCAACAATTAATTACTATCAAGCAAATCCCAAATGGCAACTTGAAATCTGTACTTGTTCTTGTCGCCCTTTTCCTCGTCTCCTTATGTCTTAGTGATTCCAGCTGTCAGTATCGCTTGGGCGATCGGTCATTCTCAATATGGATTAAGTAGGCACAGCACCAAAGGCCCATCAGGGAAACAGGGATGGATATAATCAAAAGCAATATTGGTTGATGCTTAAAATTGGAAGACAAATCCCGTTTCATCCAAGTCCGTAGTGCTCTGATATGAGAGATCTCGTGGCACACTTGACCATCAGTCGCCACGATTGAAAGCCACCTATATTGCCTTTTCTCCACCTGCACTGTACATTGGACTGTCTCCATTCATACAAATACTAGTACTCTGGCTCCCTTCCTGCTCTGCCCTCGCACTCCCTTTCTCTCATTTCTTCGAGCCAGACGCCGAAGCCAAATTCCGCTCCTTAGCCAATCGTCGGATCTCAGCACACACGTTATCGGTAACCTCCTTGGTGCCGGCCTTACCGCCGAGATCTCTAGTCTTGACACCCTGTTGCAAGACATTCTCCACGGCGGTCATCAACAAGTCGGCTGCATCATCCCTGCCCAACCACTTGACCATCTCTGCTGCAGTCCAAAACGTGCCGACGGGATTGGCGACGCCCTTACCGGCAATGTCCCAGGCAGAGCCGTGAATGGGCTCAAACATACTGGGTCTCTGTCTCGTCGGGTCTAGATTGCTTGTGGGCGCGATACCGATGCTGCCTGCCAACGCGGCCGCCAAATCCGAAAGGATATCGGCATGCAAGTTGGTGGCGACGACGGTATCGATGGATTCGGGCTGCAAGGTCATGCGACAGGTCATGGCATCAACCAACATCTTGTCACTTTCGACGTCCGGGTAATCGGCAGCCACAACCTTGTGCACTTCATCCCACAGAACCATGCCGTTGCGCTGGGCATTGGATTTGGTCACCAGGGTCAACTTCTTGCGCGGCCGGGATCGCGCCACTTCAAATGCGAACCGCATGATGCGCTCCACTCCGTGGCGCGTGAAGATGCTGACTTCGGTCGCCGTCTCCCATGGCTGTCCCACGTGCGACCGTCCACCTTGGCCGGCGTATTCGCCTTCGCTGTTCTCGCGCACAATGACCCAGTCGAGTTTCTGGCGGTTCGTCTCGGACTCTGACGGTTGACACGCCGCCAATGGCGACGTCACGCCCTTTAAAATCCGCGTCGGCCGCACGTTTGCATACTGCTGGAATCCCTGGCAGATTGCGAGCCGTAGGCCCCAAAGTGAGATGTGGTCCGGCACACGCTGGTCGCCTACCGCGCCGAACAGGATGGCGTCGAATGTTTGTAGTTTGTCAAGTCCGCCTTCGGGGATATATCGTCCCGTTTGGAGGTATGTCTCGCTCGACCAGTCGAAGTGCGTAAAATCGAAGTGGAATGTGCCGTATGTCTCGGCCAGCGTCTCGAGGACTTGGATTCCCGCCGAAATCACCTCTGGCCCAATCCCGTCGGCGGGGATCGAGGCGATTTTGTATGTCGTCTTGCTGGACGGTGGCGGCGCCACGGGTGCTTGTGTGGAAATGGAACCCATGGCTGATATTGTATTGATCTTGTTGTTGGACTTGCAATACCTTTTGCTTCGGATTGCCTTGCTCAATGTTTGAACAGTTGCCCAGGACTTAACTTTCTCCAAATCAGGCGTATATGATCCCTCTCTCACGCACTGCCTATTTGATGTGATTCTATCGTGAACTGTAGAGAACGGATGATGGCGAATGCTCAATCACCTGATATGCACAACCCCAGGTAGGCTTCTGATAGATGTTGTATACATGACTGGTGGAATAGAGGTATTTATGTATTGGCGTCGAAACATGCCGTCGGTAAATGAGACCGACGGCTGGGGCCCGGCCACGGCTAGTACGGAGCTTGCCCGACTGGGGAAACGATGAGATGGAGGAGAAACGTTTAGCCGTGGCGCGACAAAACCAACCACCACTGCACTGTACTGCACGACCGTGGTCCATATCCTTATCAACTGACTCGACATAGCGAACGGATTATATCCCTCACTATTGTTCCAGAGCAGCGGGAGAAGATCAACCGGGACACCAAGGTGGTATTAATGGGATCACACGGGGTTGTGGCATGAGGGCAAGCCCACTGCACGACGCCAGGCATCCCCGGCTCGACAAACAACCTCGGACTGTTTCTGCCCTCCTGGATTTGTTGAGACGACGAGAAGCATAAGCAGTGCGGTACAGGTAGGTGAGCGATCGCAGAACAGGCCGGATATCAGCTCTTGAGTTTCAATGAACCAGTGAGCCCACACTGCTGAGGTAAGAGACTTCTGCAGAAGTGTGACTTTTTGACTGCTTTCTTGTCCTGCCACCAACAGAGATGGCGCATGGAGAATGGTTCAGACATGAGGACGCCGGTAGATTGCTCAGTGGTGAGTGACCTTGTCGCTCTTGGATCGTCGCTGTACAACGTCGAAGACGCTGACGACCGTCTTTACCCCGAGCGTTGATGATCCTATCGTGGACCGCCTTTTTGCTAAGAGGGCTTTTCTAAGCACCGAAAGGCTGGTAGTGACTCCCGGATGGGGCTCTATACTGCTGGGGACAAATATTTCGGAGTGATCATGAGATTCCCGATGCCGCGAATTCACCAGCGAAGATTTCGGAGACATGAAAGCCTTGCCACAGACTGAAAAAAAATCATGAGTGCGGCCAGGACTTCCTCGGAAACGAATGCAGGGCTTCAGAAGCTCTTGGATGAACCCAACCCACATCAACAGTCCAGCGACAACATGGCTGGAACACCGTCAACGCATCTTGCAGCTCTTCCGGCATCAGAAATGAAACTGGAACCGTGAAAGTGTGCCGAGACATTGTGGCTTGCAAAGTCTCAAGCCAAAGATATGAAGGCATTCGAATGCTTGTTATCGTGGCCTTTCTTCTGTTGGGGATGACATGCAGTGTATGATTCGATCCACATGACATTGTCGATGCCGTATGCTATCCCTACACCTGACTGTCGCTCTCTTCTCTCCAAGGGCAAGTTAGGCTTCAGGCGCTCTCGTCTACTTGCGCCGCCACATTGTACTTTCATTCTCGTGTAGATACACTTAGGGCGCCCTCCGGTTTGCCCCAACGGCGCAGGTTTCACTTTCCGCCTGCAACCCTTTATATTATACGTCCGCACAATTATCTCCAACAATCACCACTTCACCCACCATCGGGTCCTATGGCCTAGGTGGTAGGGGAGTAGTTTGGGGTTGTCTTTCGACAAAGCCTAGTTCCGTGTCAACAACTAGGTCGGCTATAAAATAACTCTCGACCATAATTGTTCGGTCAAAAAACCCTGATGGCATAAAACACCGGGGGTTTTCAGTCACTCATACACCTCTACACGGCTGGGCTTGTGAGACCTGTTTTTTGCCCTTTTTTGCTTTCTGCCCTTGCCACTTTTTGCACAAGTCGAGCCGTGACCGCCATCGCGTGCGCATCTCCTGGCGAACCGAGGAATTTAGTTGACGCTCAGTGTCTACTCAGCAATCAGGCTGCGGTCCACGCAGCCCCTATTATTGCAAGATCACTCTTACATCCGATTTTCCCCCTTCACCTTCGCCAGTGTACATGAACGTTTACGCGACAAGGCTGTGGTGGATGAGTCAGCCGCCATCGACTCCGAGTCGGAGTCACAGTCCGGGGTTGATGGCCACATCGAACTGAACTAATCCAGATATACACTAGCACCTACATCTCAGCTGCGTCTTATATCCGCGGCCGGTTCCCGCACAACGTGGGCAACGGACAACAGAGGTTGGACAACAAAAGGGTCCTGACCTCATGAAGATAAACCTGTCGAGAGCTTTGTACATGGCGCTCGAATCGAATCCATATGGCACAGTCGACCTGCGGCTCTCGTACACTGCATAGTAACGGCTGAAACGACTTCGAGGAGTTTCGGCTCCTGTACAGAATTCCAAATAGTGCGAAATCATGTCGACTTGGTGATGTAATCCCTCCGACTTGGGAAGGACGACAAGTTTCAAGTTGTTCCTTTACAGATCTTGATACGTCTTGTACAAGTAAAGAATACAGAGGTGCGTAAAGTGAACTCGTTGTCGACTACCTATCTATTTGGAAGCACTTGAAACATGCCTGCCAACATTCCCAAAACGGGCACACGCTCGACGCTGGCCAGCTCGATCTCAAAGTTCTTGGAGGATCATCCGACGCTGCACCTCGGCGGCGCTGACGACTTCCACCAGGAACGACGCCATCACCTTGAGGTTTTTGGGTTTCATGCTCTGCCAAAGGACAAGCAGGCACCAATTGGTAACGTCGAGTTCCACGGCGTTCGAGGTCCACATGGCAGCATCCCTATCCGACTGTTCTATCCTAATGCTGTCGTAAATGGGGAGAATGCAAAGTCTAAAGGCCTGGCTGCTTTGGTTTACATGCACGGCGGTGGATATACAGTCGGATCCGTGGATGAATTCGAGAACGGATTAAGGCTGGTCGCCGAGGCTTCTGGTGCTATTGTACGTACATGTACCCTCAAAACACCGGTCACTAGTAGGGCAAGGCTAACTAGGGACTGTATGACAGACAATTGGGGTTGAGTACCGTCTCGCTCCAGAGCATCACTTTCCCACACAGCTGGACGAATATTCCGCCGTGGTTGACTGGGCTCAGGGTCCGGACGGGGCAGCACGAGGAATCTCGTCCGACCTGGTCTTTGGGGGAGGCGATTCCGCCGGTGGCAATATGACCGAAGCGTTGGCATTGCGTCGGCGCGATCAAGGCAAGAAGAACATTGCCGGCCAACTCCTTTTGTATCCGGAATCCAGGATCCCATTCGACACCCCCGCCGCCGAAGAGAACAACACCGGTCTCTACCTCGAATGCAATGGTATCTTCAGCTTCGCCGATCATTACCTGCCCAAGGCGCCCGAAAAGACGTACCCGCCCAGCTTTAAGTATGTCAGCCCGGGCATGCAGAGCGTGGAGTATCTCAAACACCAACCGCCAGTTGCGTTGTTCACTTGTGGATTTGATCCCTTGAGGGATGTCGGCGTCGAGTACGGCAGCAAGTTACAGCAAGCTGGTGTTGATATGCATTGGCACCACTATCCTGACTTGACACATGGTTTCTTGCAGATGGCGCCGTGGTCCCATGAAGCCTTGAAGGCGACCGAGGATGTTTCGAAAGAGTTGAAGAGGATGGCTTATGGGTCTTGACGACATTGACACGCTGACTTGCTCCTATGAATTATCCGAGTGTTCCGGAGAGGATATCTCCTAGCCAGTGATCCTGCACGAATAGATGAAAGAAGCTACAGTGTGCCAGTAGGTTTCCCAGGTCCATGATTAACTTGCACAGGTCCAGGTATTTCAATGGGACCTCCTTATGCAACACTTACTATGTATATATCAATAATAAACATGATTGCCCAATCACAATGTTGTTCCTCCAGCACTATCACGACAGGAGCTCTGAGCCTCGCCAAATACGCGGCCGTTGTCGACACTACCGGGCCACCTACCATGGGAGCTTTATGGTGATATGGGATTGATGAGCCTACTAGTATGTTGCCAACATGATTTCCAGGCACAATCGACGTATAACTGGATGGATTCAAGATTGTTCAGCCATCAAAAAGTCCACGGCATATACTAGTAGGCACCTTGATGCTCCCATGTTTACCCCATCAACCCCACAAAGTCTTCCCCACCATCTCCGAGATGATGGACCTTGTCCCTTGTCTGCAATAAACGAGCGGCTAGAGGCGCGCACTGGTCTTTGGAGTGGCTCAAGTACGTGCCGATGAATTGTTCGGTCAATCCCACTCCTCCACTGCCCTTGCCAGCGGCCTGGCCCCCAACTTGTGGAGGGGTTTGTTCGCAAGATCTAACATATCTTCGAATGCTTTTCACGCCCTAGGCCACGGCGCAATATAAGGGATGCTTGAATTATAGGTAGTTCTTGATATACTACCATGAGTGACCCTGAGGTACAAAGCGAGGGGTTTCTCGGTGACCAGCATGATTGTTATTATGCCACCGACCCACGCGTCAACAAGGAGCTCGCGGCCTCGCTGAATGGCCAGCACGTAGTCATCGCCGGTGCTGGGCGTGGGATCGGGCGAGCCACGGCCGAGTTCTTCGCTCACACAGATATCAAGGCACTCAGTCTGATGGCGCTCGAGCGGACCGAGGTGGACGAAACAGGCAAAATCTGCAAGGGCATCAACCCGGATCTTGTCATCAGAACCGCAGCCTTCGATGTCCGAGAATATGGCTGGGTGGAGCACTTCATCAACGAGGTTGACCGTGACGTCGGCAAGATCGATGTGCTTTTCATGAACGCCGGCCGTCCACCTCAATGGCTGCCCACGCATGAATGTGATCCTCAAGTCTGGTGGGACACTGTGGCCATATCGCTTCAAGGAACCTTCAACTTCAGCCGAGCCGCGCTCCCGCACATGCGACGAGAAAAAAGTGGAAGGATCATTTTCACATCTAGTGCCGGCGCACACGTGAGCTCCGGCATGAGCAGTTATGCGCTTGGAAAGCTGGGCATGGTTCGGCTCGCCGAGACGTTGCACAATGAGAACAAGGAGTGCGGCATCAAAACATTTGCTATCCACCCGGGCGCCATTCCTACTCGGTTCTTTACCGACTTCCGTGATGCGGCAGAAGGCAAGATCGAGCCGAGCAGCTACGTGTCACAGACTCTTCCCGGGGAGGACAAGTCGGCAAAGACGGCGGTCGGCTTCTTCAAGGACGCCCAGTGGGACACGCCGCAAATGCCCGCTGGGTTGGTGGTAGCACTCGCCAGTGGACAGTTGGATTTCATGTCTGGCAGATATGTCGACGCGTCCAGGAAGATTGAGAAATATATCGCGGACAAGGACAGGATCGTGCAAAAGGACCTACATCGAGTGAGGCTGGTTGTGGACACGGACTGTTTTCTTCCTAGAGGAAATGACTAGCTGAGGTACTATCGGCGTTCCTGGCTTGTGTTTTTGGGGATCAAAGCCTGGTTTGACCGTCTCCATCTGAGGGTCCAGAACATACCTAGGTACGCCTGCGGTTTCTTAGCACCAGGAACTTGCTCCATTCTCGTCATCTTTTGTGAAAAGGAGATCACGACTCATCTTTAGCTGCCGCATGGTAGAAAGGGGGTCGACTGAGATACCCCGAGAAGCTCCGGGAATGATTTTGAGCTCACTTCTCCTTTCTCGCATCCCTTCTTCTACTGCATGCATATGGCGTAGCTGAGTTTTGGTCAAAGGTGGCGGGCACTCATTGGCGTCGTCGTTCCTGATTCCCGAAGCTCTGCAAAGTGTTTTTGAAGTTGTTGAGCACTGGGCCGCCCGAACGGGTTGAGCGCAATACATTGTCGCGCAAGATTAATGTGGCGTGTCCAGGCCGGCTTCACCGCCTTTTTAGAGTATTCCAAGATCTTGTCATGAAATTGCTTCATGTTTAGTAATTGACAATCACCTGGAATATCACCTTCCCGCGCGTAGAACAACAGCATGATAAGAATAGACCAAACATCGACTTTGTTCGAATATTTTGCACTCAACCCTTGCGTACTTCTTGAACTTGGGGAAGCATCTGAGGTACGTAAAATCACGGTTGAGATAGTGGAAGAGGTGTCGTCCAAGTTGGACTGAGCGCAGTCAACGTCGTAGCATATTTCCGGTGCGACGAACATGGGTGTTCCACAAAATGTCCGAAGGGTTTTCTCACTTTGAGCTAGCCCAAAGTCCGAAATTTTGACCCATGCAGGAGCCCAAGAAGTGAGGAGTATATTCTCAGGTTTCAAATCTCGATGGACTAAGCCTCTGGAGTGGATATACTGAACACCGTTGCAAACTTGTCCCAGCACCACTGTCGTTTCCGACGGGCTCAACAATCCTTTCGAGAATAAAGAGCCTTCCTGGCAGTATTCCATTACAAGATATGGAATTTCTTTTGAAGTTAGGACGTCCACAACTTTGTTCTCAAAAACACAGACGATGTTCTCCTAAAACTTGTCAGTCAAAATTCCACAGCAATCTGGCTTACTGACATGTCTTAATTTGCACAGGATCTGTTGCTCCGAGTGAAAGTATTTGGGATCCTCGATCGAGCGGAAAATCTTAACAGCGAAGATATCCCCACGGCAGTCAATGGCTCGACGCACTTCAGAGAAAGATCCGGAGCCGACTGGGTCCGAAAGACCCAGTTTGGAGGAGTTCAGTACTGTTCGAGTCTCCGGCGGCCGTAGGATTAGATTGCCGATGCGAGGAAGAGCTTGTTCTCGTGCATCTCGGCAAGTGTACCATCCTCTCGAAAGCTCCCTTTTGTGATCCACGGTCGGGTATGAAGACCTCTAGACGCACATGACTCACTTGAATGATGTCACCTGTTTCAATAGGGATAGAGTTCCTTCGCAAGGTAACGAGACCAAAAGCATGGATGCACAACAGTTCCGTGGGTCGACATGTCTTTCAGGAGTAGAGACCCATTCTCCCAGTTGTAGTCCAGGCTGAAATGCTTTCGACTGATACCTCCGCCAGATCGTCGTTCATTGAGTAGTACAAAACAACACTCCGGGTCACTCCCACAAACCCATCCCTCCAATGGATCGTACGGCGGGTCGTCCAAAGTAATGGTGAGACATGTCTCTCGTAATGGCCCCGGTTCGGGTGTGCATTGTCGATCCTCCACATTGTCTTCCACACCCAGAATGATTGTTGGATGAGGGACAAACTTCTTGTTATGTTCTAGTAACAAAGCATTGTACGCTGCATGTGTTTTGCTGGTAAGGACCACCACGGTGTTTTGAGGGCCAGCTACATAGGCAGGCATTTTGAGGGAGAAGGAAGTCTGCAGCACAAATGGATATCGGCAACATACAATACCTTAATATATCAACGTCAAGCCCTTCCCGATGCAAAGTGGTGACCTTTTGGTGTACTGGCAGTTTCACATGACGCCACGCGTGAGCACTCTATTGGCAGAGACAAGCCAAGTTTACCAACTTCTATTTTGTCGGCGCTACCGGGTATTTGCCATTCGTCGCTGCTTGGGACTTGTTGCTGACGCATCAGAAGGAGGACGTGATGTCTCCAGAGGGCTTCTTGTGCACAGCATTCCACTTCGCTAGCCACGAACTGATAGGTCTTCCCACGCCATCGTCCTCAGCTTTTCTCTTCTTACAATTTGGACTCTGTTGAAGCGCTGATTTTGGTGGCAGGTCTTTCAAGGCAAGATTTTGCCGCATGACCTGTTCGAGCCGGTCATCATAATGGAAAGTCTCTGTCCTCCAGTACACCCAATCGCAGATATGCCAACGTATGTTCGAGGTTTGAGGATTGTTCTCGAATGCCTTTGCTAGTCGTAGGGCTTCAGTCTTCCAATACTGCAGATTCTGTATGTCCCATCGATCCGTAGTACGATCTTTACTGTAGAAGGCCTGCCTCCAAAACGTTGCTTCTGTTCTCCAGTACATCCATTCATCAATATTTTGACGCTCCTGCTCTGCAAGGCCCCCTAGCGAAGACGTGTAGCATCGGGCTTCTGTACGCCAATATTCGATGTCGTCTATACTCAATCGATGATCGATCGTCGGCTCGAGTGACTGCAGTTCTTTTGCTTTGTGCGACGCCCAATGCCGAAAGAAAGTAGAAGGAATCATCGGATTAGGGAAAGGAGGCGTGCTGGGACATGGAGGCGACGCGGGATAGAGAATTGTTGGACGACTCGGAGAAGGATCGTGAGCAAAAGACTCGAGCCGGCGGTTGACATATTCGAGATCGATACTGGGCGAGACTGCTCCCAAAACTGGTGAGGATTTGTACCCGAGAAATGCCATAACTGACGGGGGGGAAGGCAGTGGCATGCGGTTGCATATTTGGGAGACGTTCACGGTCCGTTCGGGCGACTAGGACCTGGAGGGCGATTTTGGCATGTGCCAACGCCTGGCGAATTTTGGGTGGTCGAGTTACATCTTCCGCGTGTGTTTGGAGCAAAAGTGGCAGAGGACAAAGGCATACTTACATAGGTACCGTACTAGTAGGTAGGTAGGTAGGTACCTAGGTACCAGGTACCTACCCAGGGACGTGAATCCTTGGCAGCGTTGCAATTACCTGGTAGGTACACCGTGGTGTCCTTTGGATGTAGGACCAGCGACACGCCCTCGAAGCGCTCGTACCTAAGTAGTTTGTCCGACTCGTCTGTCGCAGGCTGCGTCAACAAGGAGGGGTTTGATTTTGTTCTAGAGCTTCCGCAGGCCAACCTTTATGGTCAATAATACCGTTTGGAGGTTGACTCCGAATACTCCATCGTACTACCACTGTAACACTGGCACTGTACCCTACAATGTCCAGTGGGTAGTGCATATAATATCCAGCCTCAGCGCTGCAGCGACGTCATTTGACCACTTGAGATTCAGCCAATCGCAGCCTCAAATCTTGATCCCCACGTCGATTGTTGGCTCCATCCAAAGTTTTCTGTGGCAACATTCGACAACCTTCAGACTCATGATAAAACAATTCTAGAAATATGTCAAGGCCCGGAACCCTCCAAACATTGTGACAATGGCAGACGACACATCTAGAGGTATTGCCGACGGAGTTGCACCATCACATACATTCCTGCCCAACCGCGGATACGTGGACAGTGAAGCCATTCAAAGTCAACAAAGACAACATCCAGTGGACTTTGGCCCCGAGTCTCTTGACAAGGATGCGCAGGACGAAGAGCTCTCAGACTCATCCCTTGACGAGGATGAAGAGGACGACGAACTCTTTGACCCGGACTATTTGGGGTCATCGAATCCGGCGGATTTGACCAAATCATACAACCGACAGAAACGACTCAACCAGGCACGTGCGAATCCGAATGTGCCAGTATGGCAGTATCCGAAAGCGAATCCGCAACAGTCGGCAGCCTTGTCGTCCGAACAAACGACCCAAAGCAAACTGGCCAAGCTCAACATATCCGATTATGACGAGTACCAAAAGTCCGGTCGGGGCGATGACGGGGACGAGCGACACAAGGACAAGAGCGACCGCGCGACGACTGAACAAGTGCTCGACCCGAAGACGCGGAAGATTTTGTTTCAAATGATCAATGCCGGCATCGTGTCCGAGATCAACGGCACGGTTTCAACCGGCAAAGAAGCCAACGTGTACCATGCTCTGGCTGCCTCACCGGAGAACCCAGACGAGCCGGATCGACACGTCGCGATTAAAGTGTACAAAACGAGCATTCTCGTCTTCAAAGACCGCGAGAAGTATGTCGCAGGAGAATTCCGGTTCCGCAAAGGCTTTAATAAGGGCGACAACCGGGCCATGGTGAAGCTGTGGGCGGAGAAGGAGATGCGGAACCTCAAACGCATCCACACGGCAGGCATTCCATCGCCGGAGCCACTGTATCTGAAACGTCATGTCCTCGCCATGACCTTTTTGGGCGACAGCAAGGGCAAGGCGGCGCCTCGACTCAAGGACGTCGAGTTCGCCGAGGAAGAGTCTGAGTCTAGATGGCGTAACGTCTATATTGAGTTACTGGCCTACATGCGCATCATGCTGCAAAAGTGTAAATTGGTTCACGCCGATCTGAGCGAGTACAATATCTTATGGCACAAGGATCGGCCCTACATCATCGACGTGAGCCAGAGCGTGGAGGTGGACCATCCGAGAAGCTTGGATTTCTTGCGCATGGATATCAAAAACGTCAATGATTTCTTTAAAAGACAAGGCGTGGCTGTCTTGTCGGACAAGAAAGTCTACTTGTTCATCACAAAACAAGCTGCCAATGAGTCCCAGCTGGAGATTGACACGTTACGTGCGGAAATCGATAAAATGCTGGCCGAAAGAACGGATGAGGAAGAAGATGAGGTTGAGACAGAAGTCTTCCGCAAACAGTACATTCCGCAGACGTTGGACGAAGTCTACGACGCCGAACTTGATGCCGAGAACTTGAAAGTCACCGGCCGTGATGCTCTGGTGTACAAGGATCTGCTGGCGCCGTTGAAAGGCGAAAAGGAAACCCCGGATTCCAGCGCGCCTGCCTCATCTGCTGGTGGCGCTATCAAACAGGCCGAGGCGCAAGATCCCACTGTTTCCGACCAAGATCAGGATCAGGAAGCAGGCGAAGGTGTTCCTCTACCAAGAGAAGAGTGTACTGGTCACGGCGAGGGTGCCGGCGACGATGGCTCCTCCGGGGAAGACGAGAGCGAAGACCAAAATGAAGACGAGGAAGAAGAAGACCCAGCCCAACCGCGCGGCAAGCGGTTCCAGGACAAAGACGCAAAGCGTGAACACAAGCGCAAGGTCAAGGAAGAGAAGCGCGAGAAGCGAGCCACCAAGATTCCCAAGAATGTCAAGAAGAAGATGGTCAAGGATTCCAGCCGGACGAAACGGTAGAAGCCACGACTGCTGTCTTAAGGCAGTGCGCAGGGCATTACCAGACACGACATTTCCGGGTAACAGCATAGTCGTCTTCTCAATTCCTGACGAATGTCACCATCGACATCATTTTTACTGACTGGCCACTCCTGGGTCCAACCCGAGCGGTTGACGCAGTGAGATTCAGCTGCAGGTAAGCAAGCACTGTCGGCCCCTACCAGCACGCCTCATAGTTTGTACATGCCGCGGCGTCGTCAACTGGCGTCGTCAACCCATTTTCCTGCTTAAGATGAAGAAACAAAAATATCATACACTTGAGATGAGCAGACGAGAGATAGCATGAAAGCCGGCAGAGATGGTTGTCGATCTTATCCACGCAACCTCTCGGCTTCTCTACTAACTCTCCACCATCAATATTGCCTGTGCATGTGTGTCTTTCTGCCTGCATCTCGGCAATGGAATGGCGCCATGATATACAAAGAGTACACTGAACCATAGGAGAAAATTGACAAGACTGCCAGTCATGGGGAACTTCTGCGAAGCCAAGCTGGGAAGAAATACTTGCTAACGTGTATTTATTCTATGATAGTAATGCAGAGCCTGCCGGTAACTCTATCTGCCTCCTTTCAACCGTCTCAAGGCATTCTCGACAGTCTTTCTAGGCAGTTCCGGCACACTAGCAGCGAACCCACCGTCTTCGTCGGCACTAGTAATGGTATAACGCGGCGGCAAGGCATTGACCCCATCCCATATATCGCTGGGAAGATATTCGCCCATATTATCCTTGAACTCTAGTCTCAACTGCTGGTCTTGTTGGTAGAGTTGTTCCAGCTGGGAGTGGGCGTCATTAACGATGCGTTCCATCTGCTTCTGGACCGTCCGGCGTCGAGCGGCTTCGACAATGAGGCCGTCGTACGCGTGCAGAAAGTTGGCGTAGTAGTTGCAAAGTTCTTCCATGCCGCCAATCCCATCTTCGATTTTGGCCTTCTCCTCGTTCCACCGGGAGGCATGGCGTGCGGTCTCGGCCACGTAGTTGGACAACCGCGCCGAGATCTTGTCCAGGAGCTTAAATGCAGAGTTGACGTCTGCATAAGCGTTCTCCTGCCGCTCTCGCCACTGGAGGATCTTGTCAAGTTGAGCCTCCATCTCAGCATTGCGGTCCTGGAGTTCCATCACGACCTCGTCGACCTCGGCGGCGTCGTTTTCTAGTACTTGTAACATTTCGAGTCTTTCCTCTTCATTCATCGGTTGGGCTGGGGCTTGCAGCTCGTCCATCGCCATGCCGACCGCTTCGGGAAGGTCATCAACGTTCGCCTTGACGGTCTGGACAACCGCCTCGCCCCCACCTTCGGTGTGCTTGATGGCGGTGACGCAGAGGTCGAAATGCCGAACAAGGCTCTCCAGCCCTTGGGCCATTTCTCGGGCATGGTCTTCTAAAGAACGTAGAATGACGGATATAACCGGCTGCCGTGGCCCGCTTTCCGGGTCTGACGCTTCGGTTCTGTTGGTGAGGACATCACTGATAGTCTGCAAATCTTCCTCGAGGATCTCGATTGACTGGTTCATTTCATTTTGCGAATTCTGCACGTTGTCGATGGCTACTTCCATCGCCTGCCTGATATTCTCCACGCCCGTGTCGTCCACAAAATCATGTAGAGTCTCCTTGTCGGCGACATCTTGTGATTGTGTACGGGGATTAGGCTTAAACGCGTCCTCAATCCGTGTCTGCTTCAGAAGGTCAATAGCCTCAAGCAGTCTTGCGCCAGTATCGTCCAACTCTTTAATTACAGCCTGAAACTCCTCCTGTATCCCCTGCGCGGCGGTTTCTAACTCGAACAGGATGGCACGTAATAATTTCAACTGGGAAGCCAAGGAGCGACGTAGGTAGGTCGTTTTCGCAAGGAGAGCAGTGGTCGACTCGACGGATGCACGTGCGTCTGAGAGGATGGTCGTGGCTCGATGGACCAGATGAATGCTACCAAGGGAACGCTTGGAAGCAACCAGATATGAAACGAGCGTCCCGACTGAAGCCGCAGGGCTAGCGACATCCATGGATTGCGAGGGCGACGAACGAGTGGAAGGATGCTGTTGGGCACGGTGCGGCGATTGCGCCATGGCGGAGACGAGTGATGAAGTACTACCTGATGGAAGGCAATCAAATATTCAGCCCGTCAGACCATTTTGTTCGACACTGACGACAATCGAGATCGTCGAAAACAGTCCTGGAAGGGCAGTCGTCGACAAGGACAGATTAATCAGCCTCGAGTGTTCTGTCTCACCAGAACAGCACCGTTGTCTCAAAATATGCCGAAGCGATTGCGATGGTTCTTTAGGCAGATGTCAACAATGTGTCAATACTACGCACCCCAGCGCGGGGTCGGAATAGACACCCGGTGTTGGTAAGATAGGATGGCCCGCAGGAAGCAGAGGGATGGAGTTAGGAATGAATCTCGAATACTAAGGAGCAGACGCAGGTACCTGGGATGGGCCAGATGGTCGTCGTCGCCTTTGTCGCCTTCGACTCCGTCGTCGCGTGTTAGACAGCCAGCGGTGTCCACCGGCAAAGAACGAAATGGCCCAAGAAATGATGGAAATCACATCATCTAGCACGCCATCGCTGGTGGCTGAAGTTCCACTGGGCGGAGCGATGGAGCATGAGCCCGAGCAGCCAGTCACTGAAAGTTGCAGACTCTAGACTCCGGACGGCACCGGAGCTAGTCAGAGCTTATATTGAATTTCTGCCAACCACAAAATAATGGTGAGATTTAGCCCAGAAAATAACCTCTTAGATGCTCGGAAAGGCGGCGGATTTGTACTTTAGTTATACTTTAGGCACCTCTCCACTGCTCCCATCCTGGCGGTGCTGGTTCTTCCTGCTTCCCCGTGATCACTCTCGGTGTCCTCAAGGTACTCAACTCTCGCTGCCGTCAGACGCCGCAATTTTGCCATCTCACGCCATACCACCACTTCTCTGAGCACAGCTTGTCCCCTTTGCTGTGCATCAATCACCTGGGATCTGGTCGCATAATCCAAGACATCGTTTCTGGGCACTTGATCTGCCTTTGTACAACCTCAATCCCTCTTCCTTTCCTTTTTTCTCGTCGCAAAAACACGGTCAATACCTAAAGCCCGATAACCGAAGTCCCCGAAGTCCGACAGCCGGACTAGAGAAAGACAGCACCCCGCCAGATGAGCACGACATGTAAAAGTTCTTTTGCCCTCTCGAATGCCCTCGTGAGCATCGACATGCCTTTCGACCTTCATACGAAACACCCCCGAGAAGATATGGCGGACACTGAATGGGAAGAACCTGCCCGGAAGAGACTGCGGCCCAACCCACAACAAGACGAGGAGGATCACAAGTGTGAAGACCACTGTGAAGACACGAGACATCTCCAGCACGTGCTGGACACCCAAAAAGACAAAAGCATCACAATTGCTTCCACCGCGAAGCACGCTCGCCAGACAGTAGCACCGTTTTTGGCCAAGCACATTCCCTCGCAATACGCGCCCTTGGGAAAGCCCGGAAGACCTCCGGGTATCTTCCAAGAGAACAAGGACGCAAACTCCAAGTTCTGTTATCGACACCGACCCGACCTGCTGTGTCGCCGGCAAGCGGATGAGCCATCGATGGACAAACTGCAAAAAGAGCTCGAAGCCCTCTCACAGGAAGACCGACAGGGCATCGTCCAGGTCTGGTCCTTGTTCTCGGCGGCACCATCCAAACACCGCAATCTTATGCTGCAAGGCATTCTCGCACAATGCTGCTTCTCGCAACTCTCCTTCCTCTCGGCAAACGTTCGCGAGCTCATTCGCATCGATTTTATCTCCGCTCTCCCACCGGAAGTCGCATTTCGCATCCTATGCTTCCTGGACACAACTTCTCTGTGCAAGGCTGCACAAGTGTCCCGGAGGTGGAGAGAGCTAGCGGACGACGACGTTGTCTGGCACCGCATGTGCGAGCAGCATATTGACCGCAAATGCACCAAGTGTGGCTGGGGTTTGCCGCTCCTTGAAAGAAGAAGGCTGCGTGCCTCGAAGAGACAGATAGAACTTCGAGCGGCTGGCAACACGGCACTTACCCCCGACCTAGTAAAAGATGAGGACGCTCAACCAGGCGCTCCGGTATCCTCTGAAAGCGAGTGCCTATATGAACATTCCGACATTGAAAAGTCATCTGATGGCCGACTGTCCCCAGTAGCCACCAGACGACCGCCACTCGGCGCCAGCGACAGCGAATCCTGTAGAAAAACCCGCCCATGGAAGGATGTCTATAAAGACCGATTCAAGGTCGGCACCAACTGGAAATATGGACGCTGCAGCATCAAGATCCTGAGGGGCCATTCCAATGGAGTTATGTCGCTGCAGTTCTACGACAATATCCTGGCCACGGGTTCATACGACGCCACCATCAAAATCTGGAATCTAGACACTGGCGAAGAGCTGCGAACACTGAGGGGCCATGCAATGGGCATTCGCTGCCTGCAGTTTGATGACAACAAGCTGATCAGTGGGAGTCTTGACAAGACTCTCAAGGTCTGGAATTGGAGAACGGGCGAATGCATTGCAACATACAACGGCCACACCGAAGGCGTGATTGCGCTCCACTTTGACTCGAGCATTTTAGTGTCCGGGTCCGTCGACCACACTGCAAGGGTATGGAATTTCCAGGACCGCTCGGTCTTTACCCTTCGCGGCCACACCGACTGGGTCAACTCGGTCAAGATCGATACAGCCTCTCGCACCATCTTTACTGCATCTGACGACTGCACCGTCAAATTGTGGGACTTGGATACCAAGAAATGTATCCACACTTTCGAAGGTCACGTAGGCCAGGTGCAGCAGGTCCTGCCTCTGCCCCGCGAATTTGAGGCCGATGAAGAGGAAGACCAGGAAGAATCCGAACCGGGAACCCCCAACAGTCATCTGACGGTCGACACGGAAAATGGCGGGTTTCCCACTTCCTTCCATACCGACCATGCTGGCCTGTTCTGCTCTCAACCCGATCGACCTCAACCGCCCCGGTACATGCTAACCTCTGCATTGGACTCCACCATTCGGTTGTGGGATGTGCATTCCGGTCGATGTATCAGGAAGTTCTTTGGGCATGTCGAAGGCGTTTGGGCTATTGCTGCCGACACCCTGCGGATTGTCTCTGGAGCCGAAGACCGCATGGTCAAAGTGTGGGACCCTCGGTCCGGCAAGTGTGAACGCACGTTTACTGGACATGCGGGCCCAGTTACTTGCATCGGCTTGAGTGATAGTCGCATGTGTAGTGGTGGCGAGGACGGTGAGGTCCGAGTCTACAACTTTACGGCATGATTCTTGTCTTGTCTGGGGAATTCTCTGGCAGGATACGGTTGGGGCTATATGGGATGGTGAAATGGCTCGGTTTTCCAATTTCTTTGGAGGGAAATTCTATCCTGCTGGTGTGTGCTATTACGTTAGAGCCGGAGCTGGAATCAAAAGGGCACGGGCTTTCTTTCTTTGGGTCTCATAACAACAACAGCATGGCGCCGGGCGTCTTTTCATCTCCGCTGTTATGTGAGCCACTAATGAGTGTGGCGGATCTTGCGGGCTTTGGACAAGTCACGGTCGTGGTTTAGGGCACAGTTTGTGGCCTATGGCGTTCAATCCAGGACCCGGTCCGGGTCAAGCTCGTTCGCTTCCATTTTTTCTATGTCTGACAGAGGCACCATGCTGGGTATGACATTCATAATCCTAAGCCAGGATTTTAGCCCGGTGCTCTTTGGTCTTTTCCATAGGTCGTGTGAGGGAAATAGACAAAATTGAGGTTGATCAAAATAAGCCAAGTTCACACACAATCCCACTTAGTCGTAACGATTACTTGAAAGATACCTGGTATGTCCGTCGCCACATGTTCAGACTGTGACATACCATTCTATTCCCACTGAGAGTCTATTCAACTTACAATATATACCTGTAAAGTCCCTGAATGTCCTGGGACCTTCATGATGTCCGGCGACTGGGGCTAAATAATCACTTCGTTTTATGAATTGGTGATGGAGGTTGTAAGCTCGGAACCTGATGCTGAGGAACAGGCTGTAACGAACCCCGTTGTTTCGAAACAGAGAAACAGGGAGTTCGACCTCGGAAGCTCGACACGAAGACTTTCCATCTCCATTATCGTATTCGAACCCTTATTAGCCGAAAAGCTTGCCCATCCTCGTAAGGCAAATTATGCGCATACTCGAAGTAGTCCACGAACTCGATTGGTAGGGGCCGAGTATTTAGCAACATCAGGCTAATCTAACGATGCCAATGATCCAAATGAACGGAGCAAAAAGCAGATGGCCTGGTAGCAAGACTCGGTGATCACACATGGCTCTCTACTGTGGCGTGGGAATGGGAGGCCTGGTCAACTCACTGAAACCGGTCGGGCTGCAGCCAGGCAAGAAGAAGGTCATCGACAGCCTGCGGCTTTCCCCCATAATTTTTGCAAACCGATGTGATTAAGCCTGCATTGGTCATAAACGTGAGTCTTGGGGACATGAAATCTTGCGGAGGAGCTTGCAATATGCTTCCATCCACTTATCATTCACGAATTTTTGGTGACCCGCATAACATAGGAGCCCTTGGACTATGCTCGCAGCGTCTGATAATAACAAATTCGCAATCGTTGGTTTTCCCTTCTCCTTGGGGTCCAATTGGGCTTCGGTTGTTTCCACGAAGTTTTTGTATTCTTCGAGTTTTGGGGTTGTCCTCGCGATGCGATCAATTGCAAGTGGTCTGGTCTCAATATGTCCGGGAGGCTCGCGCGCTAGTCCTGACAGCTGCGGATACTGTGCGACCATGTCAATCGGCGCAGCCAGGACTCCATCCAAGTCGATAACGCCAATCATTTCGAAATCGTTGTTCACGAGAAGGTTGTGGGCTCCGAAATCACGATTCGTCAGCTTGAAAGGGCCTTCACTGGTGATGTCGTGGCCATACAACGAGATGAGGTGCTTGAAGAGCACGGGAACTGCAAAAGACCAGCTCGTTTGGACATCAGCCCCTGCATTAGCCACACAATCTTGGAGCGCGTGGCTGGCAAGGTCAGCGTAATAGTCCATTGAAGACATCCAAGGCCCTTTCCCAGTCTCTGCGTCTGGCCCGATGAAGAATTCCGATGTAATTTCGTCCTGATAGAGACTTCCAATCCGGTCAAATTCGAACGAGGACAGCGTAACCTGAATCCTAGCCATTTGTTCTCGAAACTTGCGATCTTGGTGGAATGTACCGAACAAGCCTACGTCGCAATTTTTCGCCATCCGCAATTCCGTCGCAACGCTTCCATTGATGTAATCCATCAGGATGTAGGGAGCGCCAACTTCATTTTTCGCATCAACGCTGTAACCGTAGATTTTCGGAATGGGAATACAGGTTTTGGTTCTTCTCCAGGGGCACAAGATCAGTACAGCTCCTATACATTCCCGCAATTGACGTACTGTAAGAACTTCATGCTAGCAACCTCTACCTTTAGAGTTTCAGCCTCGTCGAGCGTCTCGCGACCACCTACGGCTGCTCTCAGCCGTGGTAATCTAAGCCTAGCAACCCAACTAGTACCGTCCTCGAATAAGATTCGCCGGACCATGTTGGAGTGACCCATAGAGAACTTCTCCCCGAGGGTGCAAGGTATGCCGCCGCGAAGTCTTGAAGAGAGAGACACGAGCTGGTCCCATTTCACCGCAGCAAAGAATGCTGTGGCTCGCTGGTGGAATTCACCCCCCGCCTCGTATGCGTCAGCTCCATCCCAAGAAGTACTTCCAAGTAGAGCAGGCCTGTCTTCATTGACCGTAGGATTGATCGGTTTCATCTGAAAGATTTCCGGAGGGTCTAACAAGTCGTGATTCACGATTGAGAATGGGTTGCTTCGATCTTATTTCTGGCAAGGAGGGTGTGACCTGGACAGCAGGTCTTGGCACTGGAGTTACCTTGGTTCGTAGCGAGCGTTCCGCAGCGTCAAGAATGCCTTGGGCGACAGGCAGCAGTGGTGTTTCGGCACAAGGGACCACTTTCGGTAACACATGAACATTGGTGATTGTCGTAAATAGGAGGCTGTACGTTGTAGCCGTGAGTGTGTGAAAGGGGTCCCCAACTTGGGCCCCGGGTCCCAGTTTTCTAAGTTTAAAAGTTCGGAAGCTGAATACTCCGGACCCTCCCTCTCGGTTATACTTGATGTACTTTTGATAACCTACCTCAACCTATCTTAATCTGCCCAACCTGCCTCGATGTGCCCAATTTGCAGCAATCTGCTTTAACCTGCGTCAACCTGCGTCAACCTGCGTCAACCTACTTAAACTGCTCGATCGATCTTCTGAGCAATATCACAGAGCACTGCTACGAGGATGGACCAAAGGTATGCGCATGTAACGATATGAATTCTAAGAGTTCGCGCTCGATTGCATGAGTAAGTAGGCTGCCAACCGAGGCGTACTAAGCCTTTGTCGAAAGACGTGCTAGTTACGAGTAGGCTGCGCAGTGGGTTTGGGTAGGGCAGAGTTTAGGGTACCTACCGCCCGCCTGGGACTCTATATTATTTTTCAACGCCTGTTTGACGTTGTTCTTTCCGTCCTGAAATCCCGCTGGATCTGGTTCTCAGGCCAGACCAGCCATCGGGCGAGCTCCTCACCTACAAGACCGCGGACCGACATGAGCAGATACTCGGCCCAACCTTGCATGAACCACCGATGCTCCATTGTTCGGATTAGAACGGCATAATAAGCCAAGAGAAGCAGAGCCAGCGGCTCTTTGCGGAGCAGATGATCGACGAATTCGTCTGTCAGCGAATACAGCCAGACAAAGACGTAGCGATACTTGGGAGGAGCGCGGTTGGTGCCGTCCTTTCTCCCAAAGGTCGCTTCGTAGACAAGCACGAGGCTCTCAAAGGCTTTGACCAAACATGATGCGGAGCTGGAGCTGAAGGAGAGAAGAATATGATCGTGAAGCTGGCGCAGCGGTTCCTCCCAATCGATTCGTGGAGCGACGTTGAGCATCGACATGTCTGCGAGGCCCTCTCTCGTCGAGTTGTCGTCGGTCGTCTGTGACTGTGATTGTGGTTGTGGCGGCCGGTCAGATGGACTGGACGATTCGTTGCTCTTGAGGGTCCGCACGCCATGAATGAGCGACAGCCATGGCACGACCTGGCCATCACTGCCGGTAGTACTACAGGCTTGGCCGTAGCCCGCGCTGCTCGATGGTCCGTCTGCAAAGGCGCAGAAGCACACCAACACTCCGGCAAGCCCAAAAGCGTGGCGGTTGCTGTCGTCTAGGGTGGGGAGGACTTTATTGAAACCGCTCAGTCCGGTTGCAAAATGTGCAGCACTCAAATTTCTGTATTTCGGTGCTTTGCCGGCCTGCTTTCGGATGTGATCGAGATGGAAGCCGGTAAAGGCATAGATCAGGTGCAAAATGAAAGGGTGCTCCATTCCTAGACGGGGCACTTCGAACGCCCAGTACGCATATGTAGGATCTGTTCGAGAAACGGCACTGCACATGCTCATGGCGGTCATGCCGGTCCATTGAACCATCAGCTCGACATCCAAGGTATGCAGGCGGCAATTTAGCTCTGGTAACGGAGGAGAGGCCCCCGGCGGTGACGGTGGTAGGGGTGTGGAGGCGGTTGCATTGTACCCCTTGAGAATCGTTTCGTCAGATTCACCTGCTTGGACGTGGTCGAGAACCGCCCACTTCTTACGAGGACGGCCTCTTCCACGACGCGTCGACCCATCCGAGGCGGATGGCGTTGGTGTTGGTGTCGTGTTCGGGGAGACAGTGCGCGATTCAACAGAGTGACCATGCTGGGCAGTGACACAATGCAGCCCGAAGCGCACGCAATTGGAACATTCCGGCTTCGCCTCGTCGCACTGGAGTGAATGTTAGGATGTGACTGCATATGCCAAAGTACACTCATGAAAGAAAACAGGGCCATGAGGTCTGTTCTTTTAAACTGACCTTCACTTTACGTCGTTTGCAGTGGATGCAGCCATTCCTGGACTTTCGATGCGTCCGTCTTCTGGCAGGTTGACTCATGTACCGAGCAATAACACGTCTGTTCGTCCTGACTTGGAGCACACCGTCACTACAGCATATATGAAAGATCCTCTCAACCTAGATATCGGAGGCAAAATATGATGTCCAGTTGAAGCTGACGACGCTGAGGTCGGGCGTGTTTGCCGTGTTTGCCTCGTTTGTCTGCTTTGCGGTTAGGCTGAGGATGCTCCGGATCAGGCAGGCTACAACCGAACATTTCAGTCATTCCTACAGAACTATATTAAGCCAAGGGCCGAATCAAGCGTCAATCACTAGTGGAGATAATCATGCCATCACTATAATTGAACTACAAGCTGCTTCTGTCAACAATTTTCGACGGTAGCGACCTCAGTTGCTGACTACCAACCCAAAACCCTCCTCTCCGTGGGGACCATGTCAATTGATCCGAGATTATCATGTCCGAGGACGCCCTTTGCCCGACAGCATAGCTTACAAGCCCGCAGCTTCTGTATGGACGACGTGACACCCACTGTACAGCGTAGTGGATGAGCAACGGCAAGTTGATCAAATACCCTTTCTCGAGAGGTCCGTCCAGAATAGTAAGTGTCCAGCTCTCCCAGGATGAGGACTCTTGAATGCTACCAACTAGTGCCCGAGCCTGCCAACATTACCATATACTGAAGGCGGCAAGCAGCATGCATACCCGATATTTCGGCGCCATTCTCAGTCACCCAATGGACACAGTTCTTGGGCATCTCTCGGACGGTGTGCATCCCTCACCAATCTCTGAGGATGTAAGATGCCAAATACCGCCATCAACAAGACCATCGGGACCGCATCAAATACATAGATAAAAACTTCGTGGGAAGCAATGAAGCCCGAGGAACCCTGCACATATTCGATCATGCGGACCAAGCTTCGCACGAGCAACAATGCCGTGGCCAGCTCCAATGCCCCGAAATGCATTTGCCAGCGCACATTAGAATACTTGAAGCGCAGCACTTTCTCCGTCGCCGTATTGCTCAACCGATGGTGGACCTGCCAACAGAACAAGATGAACAAAGCAAGGGCAACGAGCTGCACAATCAGGCCACCCAGGATGATATGTTTGCTGAGCTCAATGGCAGCTGGATCCCCTGATGCCGGTATGACCGAGCCCGCGAACTGCGACGCGATGCATGCAATGTCAATCAGAACATAAATCTTGGTGAGCCATCGAGGACTGATGAATGACAACTTGTTCGCGTCCAGCGCGTTTGTTAGTCGTCGGAAGATCATGTATACAGTTGCGGCGAGGAACGGCGGCGCCGCTAGAAGCAAAAGGTTCTGCATGATCCAGGGGCCGAGTGATCGAGGGTCCTTGTGCGATTCGCTGCGTCCGTAGTATCCGAATGTTTCGGCTGCACGAAGAGCTCAAGGGTTAGCTGGTAAGTCCAAATCAAGTTGAAAGGAGGGTGTCTATATATTAAGTCCAGCTTACCGATTCCGCCGAGGATGAAAGGGATGAAATACCACGGTCTCGGACGCAGCACAAAAAGATAAACGAGCTGGACGATCGTCGCCAGCGCGAACAGGGCGACGAATGCCAGAGCAGCCGTTCGTTGAGGCAAGTACTCATAGAAGACGACGATGACAGTCCCGTTGGCCATGGGGCCGTAGGGCGGTCCTGAGAGAGTGGTGGTGTTGTTGGCCATTCTGTCTGTGTCTTTCTGGGTGGAATTGAACAGAGGCCGGCCTTCAACCTGAATCCCTGGGGGTTGCCTCCCCACCTATATATATGTATATCATCTTTTCCTCGCGTTGCTAGGTCCCGCAAATGCTGTCCCATACTATATATAAAAGCTGCCTGAGAACCAACAGTGGTGCTGTGGTCCCAGACCTCTGACCCACCCGCATTTTTCGCATTTATTAGAATACGAAAAATCCAAACAGGCAATAACGGAGGGTCCTCGGCCAATGACAAGGCCGATAAGGGGCTCACTGGTGGATCCTTGCAAATCACCAACATCGACGGGGCAGTGTACGACGGCAAGCCACCCCTTGTAGGAGTTCTTGAGCATTGGATTTGACACCTTTCGTCTCATATTGTCCCACTCGGAGTGTGTCCACTGCGAACCAATAGGAGAGACTTGGAGGGGTCTGTACAATACCAAGTAGTACATTTACTGCTGGAAACTTCGGACTGGGGCCTCAGAGGGGCATTGCTCCTCAACGCCATGGTTCATAGGGCAATATACAATGCATCATGGTCTCTTCAAAGGTGTCCCCCCTTTGCACTTTGTGACATGTAAAACAAGTCGTTCAGCGTGGCTTAACTGAGCATCATCTGAACAATGTTTTGTTTAGGACTTCAGCACATCAGCAACATCGATTCAATCATTCGTACTGCTGGCCAGCAGCTAAGATGTATCTGACATGCCCACCCCGAAAACATACATAAAGGCTTATACATAACGACACCCAAACGCCCGGGATCCCCACTCCTGATTTCCATCGAGACCCTTTCATTATACGTCACAGGTGTGTCAAACTCCAACGGCACAATGTAGAGCCAGGAGAGACTTCCAATCGGCGGAATACTCTGGACACCAGACAGACCGGGTTGTGACAGGCGCAACATGGTTCTATACACCCGTGATCCGGCGCACGCTCCTCCTGGCACCCTCACCAACTATCTGGACTTTTCCTTCTTGCTCTAAGGCGCGTAAGGCTTCCTGTACCTCAGCACCATCGACTTCGACAGAACTGCCCTCAGCCACACGGCGATACAGATCGGAATAGCGAATGGCGTTGCCCGATCTCACAGCATCATTGTCATCGACGACAGCCAGCACGGCGCGCTTGAGATCTTCCTTGCGTCGGCGGTCGCTGGCACTGACTCCCTCGGACAAGAGCCCCATGTCGATGAGACCAGTACGGGCATCGGTCGCGGAAGCCTTGATGGCAGATTTGATCAGACGAACAGCCTCGGCAACGTCGTCTTCGGTGACGGTGGACGACAGTCGCATCTTAGCATGTGCCTCCGACAGCCGGATCATTGATTCCAATTGTCGCGTCGTCGCAGTGATGCGTCGCTCCGAGGATTGAATGGAGTTTCCTAGCGAGCGCATTTGCACGTAGGCGTCCGTCAGGGCCGTCGCAGCTGGTCGTGTAATGACTGGGTGGATATTGGACCGGGCGTACGAAATGTATGCCGTCAAAAATTCAATCGGCTAAAAAAGATGAGTCAGCACAACGAACGATCTCGAGAAATGGCACAAAGCTCAGGGTCGCATCAATGTCAGTGGAAGACACTTACAAGAATTTCCTCCCGAGACGCATTCTCCGGAGTGTCTTCTAGGTACATTCCCACCAAATGTTTGGCGAGGCGTCGGTCGTTGACTTCGTCGATACGGTCTAGAACCAGATACACAAGGTCGAATCGGGACAACAAAGTGGGAGGAAGATCGATGTTCTGCGGCACGGGGAGGTTTGGGTTGTATTTGCTTCCAATTGGATTGGCAGACGCGAGGATACTGGTTCTGGCGTTCAGTGTCGTAATGATGCCTGCCTTCGCAATAGATACGGTCTGCTGTTCCATGACCTCGTGTAGGACCGAGCGGGTCGATTCGTTCATCTTGTCGAACTCGTCGATGCAGCACACGCCGCCATCCGAAAGTACCAAGGCACCTGACTCGAGCACAAGCTGCTTTGATTCGGGGTCCCGGGTCACGTAAGCTGTCAAACCCACAGCCGATGAACCTTTGCCTGATGTATACACTCCACGAGGGGCAATCTTGTGGACATATTGCAGAAGCTGTGACTTGGATGTAGAGGGGTCACCACAGAGCAAGACGTTGATGTCGCCCCTGTACTTGGGGCTCCCGCCCTTTTCGAAGGATTTGTTCGTGCCTCCGAACAACTGTAACAGAATGCCCTTTTTGACATCGTCCAGCTCGTAGATACTGGGCGCCAAACTCCGGGACAAGAGTTCGTAGATATCTTCACGAGCTGCCGTCTCTTTGATCTTAGCTTCTTCTTCGGCCGAGATTTTTCTTGTCCCTTCGGAATCGCCTGCTGCTTGCTCGGAAAGTTCTTGCTCGATTGTGGATGTATCAATGCCCATCTTCCGCTTGTCGATTTTTTGAATGTGCAAAACGTCGACGTAGGTCTTGAAAAGAGCTTTGATTGTCCGTTGACGGGGGTTGACTCGAACAGGATTACTTCTGAAAATTCCCGTCACCTCTACCCGGTCGCCAGCTTTGCAAACGTCCACAAGCTCGTCATAGACACAAAGAGAGACGCTGTGTGGTGTTTGCCCGTCTGGCACTGAATCGGGAGTTTCTTGCAGCTTGATTACCTGCTTGTCCGCGAACACACATCGGTTGTGGACAATGTCCATGCTATCTTTGGATTTGCAGGCTTGCCGGGGGCATTCAGTTGGCTCCGCAATCTTACCACGGTCAATCGACACATACATGGTATGGTTGCAAACGCTGCATTTGAAGAAAGCCTCCTTCATATCTGGAATGACTGGAGTGGCTCGAATGACCAAACCCTTGACGGCGATCAGCTTGTCAATATCCTTGGGGTCAAGGTCACGCATATTGACCGCTTGGTCTAGACCGAAGGGCAGAACTTTCCAGGGCCGGATCTCGGCCTCTTCGACAAGGTTGGGAAGCTCTTCAGCCGCTGCTGCAGGCGTTGCAGTCGGCGTAGCCACACTCTCAATATCAGAGTGCGGCAAAGGAGGCATTGAACTGCCATTTCGAGCTCGCGAAGCACCCGTAGCATCGTGAGACCGTTGCAATTCCTGCATTTCCTTCTGCGCCAGTTCCACCATCACCTCTTTGACTGTCTGATCCATGAGTGGGATGATTTCCTGTGGGTAGGCTTGTAACTGATGCCACAGTTTCAAGGTCGGAGGGTATGCCTTGAGGTTGCGGGCATCCAGGTTGAGGCCATGCACACCAAGCTTACGCATGTTTTGCAACATCTCGAGATATTCTTTTTCCTCGGCGACAGGTCCTAATGCCCGCGTCTCTTCCTCGGTTGCACCATCCGCCCATAAACGATACTTTTTTGTGAAGTTATATAGGAAATTCTTGAATGCTGACATAGAGTCCTGTATGGAGATGTTTGTACCCCAGATGACTCTAGTTGAATCCCCTCCCATAGCATCGGCTTCAGAAGTGTCCGGGTTGAGGTTGGAGAATGTTGCTTCAGAAGCTGGATCTTGCCCATCGCGGACTGGCAAACCATCTTCGCCAATATAAATTCGACGTCGTTGGGAGGGAGAAGAAGTAAATGCGTCAGAATGGATGTCGCCTCTGCGAGTCGAAATACGAGGGCGTCGGTCTTGACGGACAAAGAGTCCACCGCTGCTGCTTGTAGGAACATCGGATTGAACACGACTGGAGGCCCGCCCAGGGCTCGAGCTAGGGTCATATCTGACGGGCGACGAGTCTAAAGGTCGCGGTGAGATGGGTGCTAGCGTCATGATAGGAGGAGAATCATACCGGCAACAGGTCGAGTTGATGCTCGAGGTGTAGTCTCGCGGTCCCCAGCCTCAGAAGAGTGCCTCGGAGGAGAGCTAATGATCAATCCATCGCTTGCTAACTGGGAGGGTGGCGCAGGAGTCGATCGAACAGGTGAGGATTGAAAAAACAGTGGTGAAGAAGATGCAGCAGCGGCGCCTCCATTGGGGGCCTGCCTTGAACTTCGAGGCGTTGTTTGAGACTGTCTTGCTGGAGTCGATGACTGTGAATTCCGCGACGAGTGTCCTCGACGGCGCGAAGACGGTGTTGACGACATGGTGGTTGCAAATGTGGTGGTTGAGGTTGGATTTGCCTACAAGTGTTTGCGTGTCCATAAAGGAGTTCGAGGGGGAAACTTTGAGCGCCGACACGTCGACGCGTTCAAGACGCGACCGCGTAAAGTGGTTTCTTGGCGTCTTCAACTCAATTACCGTAAGCTGCACAGTGCTGTACCGTATCAGGTTGCCGCTTTAACAGCTGACTGCAAAGTCACAACGGACTTACTAGTAACCCTCCTCCCTCGGCCGGCGCTGCAATACTACGACTATCAGTAGGTACTGAAGGTATTGTATCCGGCGCGGTGAAAAGGTGGATTTTCGGTACATGCTGTACATTTCGTTACTCCTGCTCTGACGAGTGGCCGGATAGGGCATTTCTTAACCTCAGCTACGACTGCTACGTGAGGAACGACTAACACCTGCTGATCTTGAAGTTGGGGATCAGGGTCCGGCAAGCAGTGCGCGGAGGCATTTGATAGACTAATGGACCAGCCTGTATGCGGACCCATCACCAATGGCACTGCCAACCTAGGACATGTTGTTCTGGTCAAAATTCAAGACGAATGCCCGCCCCTGAAACAGACTCGGCGCCACACCTTCAGCAGCAGCAAGCTACAGGTGACTTTATCACACCAGGACTTCATGGCGTTTTCATGCCACTGGCCACCACTCAAACGGCGATTCCACCACAGCAAAACTAAGCAGAGTCACAGCTTGATGAGCCTGACCTCTAAGAACCATGCCCTGTCTCGGGAGAAACGTTCATTGCAGGGATTTCGACATGAGAATCCAAGCGGGCTGTCTTTGGGATTCTGCCGGACTTGCAACCACTGTGTAGGTGCAGCGAGCCAATCCGGGAGCCAGTCTGGGTGAGAAAGAACATGATGTTTAACCTGGAATGAGATTGTGGCTGGCGTTGCTAGCTGTCTCTGTGTCTGGACTCGGGAAGTACCAGTGATAGAGATACCTCCTAGTGGAGCCCGGTGAACGTAGGCCAACCTTGTAGGACCCTGTCGACATGAGATATCATAATAGTGGGCATTGCCTCGAACGTACCAGCCGGTGTCGAGACCTACATTGGCACCATCAATTCAGCACCTCCCAACTGGAAAGGACCTGGGGCTGGGTTCAGACTTGAATCTGGAACTCTGAATCTTCAGGGTGCATGACTTTTGTACTCGTTAGAAATGTTTATTTGAAATGTCATGGACCAGCAAGAAATGAATGACGAACGTCAATTGAGAACCGAAGATTGGTCTCACGGCGTGGGCCATTCAGGGAATCCAACACCTTGGTTGGCGGGTAAACGTTCGAGGCTAGCCAGAGCATCACTTAGACCAGGTCAAACAACTCGGGTCTCAAGAGATATGGGACCTTCGAAGCCGAGCGGAAACAGAGATTTGGGACGTTATTCCCCCTCCGCAGTTTCTTAGCCGTGTTACAGTCACAGCTGAGCTCACCCTGCGTCCTTACCCTCTAGAGCTGCTCAAAGAGAGCCAATCGAGACGTGCCAGATTGATAACCACATGATCCGACGTCCACAGTTCGAGAGTGGTATGGCCGACGAGGAGGCCCAGGAAGCTGAACTGGGTGGGCTTCAAGTTGGGGAGCGTTTCGAGGAGCACCGAGTTTGACAACCACCCTCGCAGTAACTCCATCTTGCGGGTCCACTTTTCAGCCCGATGGAAAGTAGCACGCCATGTCCGGTGCGGAGGCGTCCGAAGGATCGATCAAGCCAACCAGGGGCCACGCGATTGTCCCAATGCCTCTTCGCCAAGGGTCTGCGATGAGTTTTTGACCGTCACCTTTGAGAAGCAGACTGGCAGTTCCACGTCTGCCAGAGCTGGACGAGGGAGGAGGCATTCTACGGAAAAGACCTGAGAAAGCATTCAGTAAACAGCCAGTCAATGGCTAAAAGAGAGGCGGTAAGGTAAGAGCAGTCACAATTGAAGTGAGTATGAATCGGGTCCAGATGCTTCTAGCGGAGCTCAGCGCGCCGGAAAAGTGGCCGGTGGTTTAATGTCGGCTATCTTGTGATGCTCGTGAAGCCAAAAGCAGAGTAACCGGTGGATCGCAATTGGACCGAGAGATTGCTTCTTGCCTGTGTGCCATGTTGATCACGCGGGCTGCGGGAGTCAAAAGGCGGAGAGGACGAGAAAACGGAGACGACGGAGACGAGATGCGGGTAGAAGCCGGGAGAAGTTGGTCCAAGTCGCGGCTAGGTACCCTTTAGGTACCTCTAGGCGCAGTTTAGGCGGTGAGGTACCGGAAGAATACTGGCCTCTGACAGGCTCTCGGCGGCGCATCGGGCACTTGCAGCCCAAGGACACAGCCTGGCAGCCGATAAGCTGCATCCTTGGATCCCTGGAATAAGCGATGCGGGAGAAGATCCAGATCGTCAGGAACAGGGCGGTCCCAGGGAGATTGATCATTCGGGACTGTACCGTCCTTTATTGACCGTCTCGCATCCACATTGCAACGGGCCGGGTAAAAGGATTGCAGTCTATCATTGTATTTCTACTCTAGCAATGCCAGTGCTGGTGGATATGCAAGAACTCATTTACCTTATGTTGAGGGTCTACCCCGGATTGCACCTGCTCACTTACTTCACACTCTGAGCACCCTCCTGCGATAGGATCTACAATGTTACAATATTCTATGCTGGACGGACGCTCGCTGTTTCTGGTCATCGTACCTAGTATGTTTCCTGACAGGACATACTTATTATAACTTGCCACGACTGCTAGGCTACCCGAATCAGGGACCTTTCCAACCCTCGGGCTCCCTGCCTTGATTTGGCATATTTGGCATACTAGCGAACAGGACTGGGCCGGCATTCAATAACCAGGTCCGAAGGAGGAACAACCAACATTCAATCGGGCAGCAAGGGGTAGTCCTGCCCTGCTTATCCCCTGGAATGTCATTGTAACGAACGAATCGGCCACGAGATGCCAACTCAGGCACGCCCTGGCCGAACGATATGGTTCATCGGCCCAACCCTGGCACATTCCGCCTCACCAAGCTCAAGTTGGGCACTACCGCTACGATGATTCCTATTACTACCACAACAAGTCCACGACTAGGTCTGGACCGACTTGAAGTACCTATGCTTCAGGCACCAAGCACCAGGCATCAGGCGGTGTCGTCACGCCGTCTCCAACAGATAGCAGCATCCCCTTTTCTTTGCCAGGGTTTCATCCATTTCAGGGCTGCGACTAACGGCTGGTTCCTGACTTCCCCGGCCACTGACAGACCGGGCTGAAACGTATCGGGACTCCCACCCCTGCGGTCCGCCTACCCGCCCGTCCGCTGTCCACTGCCACCGCCTTATAGCTGGTTATCCGATCCCAATCTGACAGGTATTCTCCCTTGGAACGATCCACTGCAACACTCGCATTTCATCGGGCAAAAATGGGAAAATCTGGATGCCCTGAATGAATATCCTGTCACAACATCCGAACATCACTAGGACCCTTGTCAGGCGTTTATAAACCCGCAGGTATTTCGCCAACCATGGCAGCCGAAATCCAGCTCCGTGTGCCCACCCAGCTGAACCCTACCTTGTAAGGGAAGGGGGAGAGGTGCCAGATAACGGACCCTCCTGCGACGAAAAGAGGGAAAAGGGTCTCACGTCTGCCAAATAATGTGACCAGTCAGTTTACCTATGGTACTATTGCTTCCCACATTGTTGCCTCATTCCAGCCTCAGTCCTCAGAGTACTCTCGATCACGGCGACGTTTCCTTCCCAGCGGCGGCTTCCACTGGTTTCAAAAAGGGGTGAGCCCCCCCCGTTCCTGGCCTGCGTTTTTCATCTACTCTGCGACTTGCGATCTGCCATCTGCGACCTGCCGCTTTTTTCTCTCCGGTATCTTCGCGCAAGTATCTACTCAGTCACTACGTATGCGCATCGCATACCGTCAGACAACTCGCCTTTCTCTTTCGATACCTCTCTTACAGTCTCTTCCCATGACAGCACCGCCTGTCTAGAGCCGGCCCATCTCCTACTGCCCGACTGATAGTACCTACCGACAGTACCTACCTCTGGCGATCCTGCAAGGCAAGGCGTTGCGTCTCTTAGCCTAACAGCTCTACTTCGTCCTCGCACATCCCCTCAACGGCGCCCGAGGCACACCATCGATCAAGAACCGCCTCTATCAGCAGCGCAACGCAGCGCATCGCATCGCTCGACACCTCCCCATAACGATATAATCATTCTGTGGACACAACTTTCGGTGTGGTGCGCATGCGCCACCTCAACCCGATAATGCCTTCCTGCATGGTTTCACGTCTCGAGGTTTCGGCGTCCCTGTGCGACGACGCTGAGCGGGAGCCAGACCCGCCGCGCTCCGTACCGCGCCGCGCTTTCCTCGATCGGGTCGGTTCACCATGGAGCCTCGTGAGCCTCAAGCCTTGCAAAGGATCGACAAGGTGTTCACCCCTATCATGACCGAAAATGCGCACCATCAATGCCAAACCCCATAGCAACAACATACTGGAAAAAGAAGGTCCGCTTGACTCGAAATCCACTAGACGCGGAGTCCTTACGTCGCACCCTTATGGCCAGGTCGAACCTTCCGAAACTTTGCGGAACAAGCGACAATAAGAGCGCAAAGAGCAACAGTGATTGGAGAAACTTGATCTATCATCAGTCTTCATTCAGATATCTATGTACTCCTGGTCTCATCTGAAAAACTGACACACGGACGCGGAAAATGTACGATGCGAACGAATGAGGAAGTCGCTGGCGTGTAGGGAACTGTCAATCCCCAGACCTGTACAACCTTGTGCCACAAGCTCGGCATGGAGCAACCAATGGGGCCGGCTTTCAGCTCCGACACAACTCAAGGCTCGCAGATCGCAACAAGCTGGAGTCGACGTCCCAACTTCATCCAACCCCTAATCCTCACTCGCCAAAACCACAAAATTTACAAGAAATCCCTCCCGTCATAAAACTTTTCCGCTCAATCCCACTGCAATAACACCTCCATCACAGGTCACGGTCGCATCTCGCAATCATAACCATTCTACCGGGGTCAGCCTTCACCAGATCCCTCCCATGGACAAAGCGGCGATCAAAGCGACCGCCCTTCGAAAGGAGAAGAGGCGCATCTATTAACAATAAGTAAAGAAAAGAACCCAGAACCCTCAAAAACGCCGTCTGGAGATGAGTCGTCCAAAACCTGGCAATGCTGGAATACGTGGAACTCGGACGAACGTGCCCGAACGCTTTGCAGAGAAGGTCAAAACAAACCCACGATTTCAAACCACCTGCTGTCAAAGATGCTATCGAACTTTGTCGCAAACCCGAATAACCCATGGGACCATCTTCCAGAGTGGTGGACCAAGAGTGAGGGCATTTTCAGATGCGAGGCTGCTTTTGTGTTGCGAAACGCTTAGCAGGAATGTGATCAGAGTTTTATCCACGGATAGCGGTCGGCGTGGGCGCTTCGGACATCAAGGTATGCTGCGCTGATGAATGGTAGGGATATCGATACGACGCAGGCGATTGAGGTCGAGAGCCGAAGTACGAACTCGACCGCGACATTGGTGAGGACGACCGAGCGTGATAGGAACCAGACGCCTTGAATGACTGAGAAGTTGGAGTCGGAGACGAACTTCGAGTGGCGGTTGGAGTGGACGTGCCCGACGAGTTCGTTGAGTGAGGACTGCCGCCGGTGCTCATGTCCCAGCGGTACACATAGTCCCCCGCACCGTCCACCGTGCTCAAAGCAGTCTTCGTCAGAGGCTCAGGCGACTTGACTGTCCCAAACTGCAGCAATAATTAGCACTTCAATGTGTCTTGACTTGCTCGCTGTTTCCCCGGGCACCTACAAAGCAGTACTTGTCCACTAGTTCCTGATAGGACTGAGAGGTGAGTGGTGGCTTTTCTGAAACCAAAGCGGCAGGCTTGGATGTCATGGGCGCAGAGCCGGGAGCGGCAGAAGCAGCTGCGGCTGAAGAACCATTGACGCCTACGTCGTGTCTGGGAGGAGCAGTGGCTACGCTCTTCGCAGGGCTGGCCGCAGGAACCTCGTGGGAAGACTGCTTTGTATCTGTCCTCGAAGAGAAGCCGGATTGTTCACCCAAGACCGCGTAGGCGTTGTTTTTGGCAGCCGACAGTGACGAGTTGAAGTCGTACCTATTGCCAAATGCATTGCCTCCGCCTTGCTTACGGCGCGAAGGAGCATCTGACAGGAGCTCAGTCTTGGACCGCGGGCTCCTCAGTTTGAGCTTAGGCTCGCCCATGAGAGAACCTGCGGATTGACCAAAGCTTCCAAAGCTGTCAAAACCAGTGGAGAAATCATCAAATGACGTTGGCAAAGACTTTGGTCGCCCAGAAGAGGTAGGTGGCGATGGTCGACTGCGAGGTAAGGCACTGACCGGCCGCGCTCCAAGTCCTGGCATACTGTTCTTGCTCTGCTGGGTTTTGGGTTTCTTAGAGAAATCAACCTGGTAGTTGAAACCACCGTTGTTATCCCAGTAGTCCTGGCCATTGACAGTATAGCGAACACAGAAGAACAATGTCTTGTTCTCCAGGTTGGCTTGGTCAGCTAGTCTGATGGTGAAGTTGAATCGATCAAGTCCGTCATTGTTTTGTTTCCGACGGACATCGTTGTTGAATTCAGCAACGACCTCCGAGGTGGTTTTCCAGTAGTCGAAGGTGAACCGAGCGACGACGAGTTTCTGGAAGGCGAGGTTTTGAACAGCAACGGTACCGATCAGGTTCTTGTGGTCAGAAGACAAGAAAATCCTCTCCACGAAGACAGGTTGTGATTTGCGCGGTTCGGTGTCCGCTGGGAAGTTTGCCAGCCGCAGTTCCCAGTCATACTGAGACCCACGGGGCCGTGCACTGGACTCGTCCGATCCAAAGGGGAACTCATTCTCACTCTCATAGTTTTCCACAGGTGATGACCCAGCACTGACTGCCAGCGGTCTGTCGACTTGGAGAAAGTGTCTGACGTGTTCGAGGTGCGAGTCGAAGTGAACCGCTTTCGAGTAGGTGGGAGTGCCAGGCATGCTCGACGGCCGTCTCCGGGATGATGGTCGCAGAGCCGGACGAACCAGTTCGCCCGATTTCTTGCGGACCATTGGGGGACGATTAGTGGGAGACCGAGACCCGTCACTGTCACTCTCTTCAGGCTGCTGTGGAATTTCTAGGGGAGGAGGTGTTTGGATGGTGGGGGTCTCGAAGACGATGCTTGACTCGGTGGACGATCGAGAGTGGGAGATCTTGCGGGCTTCCTGCGACAGAGGCGGCCTCTGCGTCTCCGCACTCGGCGATTGAGCTTGTCGATCGTCTTGGGAGCTTGCTGGTTCTTCTTTTGAGGTGGTGGAGCCATTTTGGTTGGCTCTGTTCGGTGAGCCCTCTTTTCTTTGTTCTATTGACCTGATGGCAGCGTGCAATGCTTCCAGATTCTCCAACTCAAGATCCCTCGTTCTCCCACGTTGGGGCTCTTCATCATCGCTTGAGTTGTGGGAGGATTCGGGGGGCGAGATGGTCATGCCTGCGGGTATCAATGCATTGTTCACAGGTGGAGGCGACTTGCGGATGCTACCGTGGGGGTCAAAAGTCCCATTTTCTTGAAAGGCCTCGCCGTTATATACAATATCGTTCTTAGCCTCGGTCAAGGAGGGACTTCTCCGGTGTTTGGTGAGATAGGAGGACGACCCGCTGGAACGGGGGAGGTTTGGTCGACCGGGGGAAGCAGGCTGCTCCGGGGATGATGGAAATTGTCCTTTGATGTAAGAGTGAGACCTGCTCGGGGTAGGACTGGGACGTTTCGAAGCTGCGGGCGAAAGCTGGGAGGGAGGTGTGTAAGGCATTCGGTCAGTTGTGTGGTCAAAACACCCGAACCGGGAGCTGCAGAGTAGAGCACGCTACGAGGCTCATCAAGAGCAGCCCGAGGAGGGCCGAAGAAGATTGTGGGGAGAAGACAGTCTAATATAGAGAATTTCCAGGTCAGTATACGGTCAAAGCATGGTGACAATAAAAATAAGTGAGGTGGTAGGAGCGTTGTAGGCGGAGGAACGTCGTACGAGGTGAGGATGAAAGTTGGCAGGCTTTCGTCAGAGCGCAGCCACGTTTGATCCGCTACCACTGGCAGCGCGGGTTTTGGAGGGCCTCACGAAATTGGACGCGGTCTTTGCGTAAAACTAGCAGAGACTTGTACAGGAAGGCACTTACTAATTGATGGAAGCAGGCGCGAGTTCGGATCTCTCGAGTGCTAATAAGCCTATCGAGAGGGAGGTTTCAGGACGTGAAGCTGTCCCGTCACTGTGGTTGCGTTGCAGGGAGTCGAATCACACCACGGGACCAGAGATCAACCGTACAGTATGAGCTTCGAAGATGTTCTGCACGGGAGACCGTAACAGGGCGTCTGGAAGGAGTCGAAGCAGACAAGAGTGCAAGCGGTAACAATGCACTTGTTGTAGCCGTTCTCTTGTTTTCTTTGTTGGAGGGCGAGGGATTTTCCACGCTGATCCGGACTGTTTCGCTTATCGGGGACCAACCACACCACGCGCTCGCGGTGATATCCCAATTATGATATTCCTGCGGTTCAGTCAATTCCAGCTCTTGTCTTCGTCTGGTCGAAGATGTCGGCTGGCACAGAGCCTGAGGGAAATAGAGGAAGAGGTGGTTGATGTGTGAAATGGTGCAAAGGGAAGAGGACGTGGATTTGAGCGGTGGATAAACGATGGGCGAGGAAAAGCTGGCGAGCCGGGCGCCAAAGGTGTTGAGTCTCGAGCGGGCCTCAGAGCAAGCAGCTCCCGGATCTGCGGTGAACGGTGGGCGACAGGACTGAGGGCGAGGGAGGGATCCAGTGCGCAGCTGGCAGGGATGGAGTGCCAAAGCCTGGAGTAGTGAGTGGCTGCAGCGCAGGTGGGCGAGAGACAGCGAGGGCGCGGCTCGAGCGCAGACTCGGAGGCGAAGAGTTGACAAGAAGCGCAGCAGGGAATCTGATGCTAAGCTGCAGGATGCAGTAGCGCAACTGAAAAGTGGGCAGCTCGGTGGCGTAAGAATTCAAGCGTCGAGGACCCAACAGAACTTGACAAGCCAAGGCTGCACCTAAACAACTGGCAGAGGCACTAATGGCGGGTGAGCATGGGGCAGAGGAGTCGACGACGCGGTTGTGGTTTGGTCTGGGTGAAAAGGTCAACGCCAGGCGGAGTTGTCCAAGAGAAGGCAGTGGGGATCGGCTTGATATCAGGAGTCGGAGTCGTACGAGTCTCATGCAAGACTGGGAGGGAGGGTAATAAGTGAGCGCCAGGCGGGCCACCAAAATCCCAGGCGGTGCGTACAGTAGTGAAGATGTTCAGATGCAGAAGCGAACACAGAACGCAGAGTTGCAGCACTGCAGCTTCTTATGTGGCGATGTGTACCTGTTCTCTACAGTGTGTTTGCCGCATCATGATGGCTACGATATGTCTTCCTTGTCCGGTGGGATTACAATGTACAGTTGTATTATTATCGCAAGCGAACTGCTCCAACAGAATTTGTGCATAAGTGGATGGCAATTGTGTGGCGGGGGAGACCGGAGAAATTGGTCTGAAACGTTTATGGGACTGATTAGTCGTGCAAAATGCGCGAACACGGCATCAATTGTCCAGAAAGCGCCATCAATTGTCCAGAAAGCGCCATCACCTCCACTGGAGATGGCCGCATTGAGATGCATCTGGTGGGAGCAGGGGTGGTATGTCCTGTGGTATGCTGCGCTTTACATTTGCATTCTCCCCCGAACAAGGTGATGCTTTGGTCGCGTCAGATTTGTGTGCGAGCATTGGGCTTCTGCGATACGGTCATAGACTGGCCGGAAACGGATACCCGGATGCGGGAGCTGACGGGAATTTAACGTTAAGGTAGCGAGAGTAGTGGTAGCTGGTACGTGCTACTTCAGCCAAGCGCCCAGTAGCAGGAGGTACCGGGTACCTAGCGCAATTACTACCACGCACTTAGTTTGGTAGCGCAACTTTTGGCCCAGGCTGCAGTGCCAGTGGCAGTGGTCCGAGCACGATTCAGGCTTTTCCTGTTGCCGGGTGCAGCCAGCTTTCCATGGTACCGAGTGCTACGGCTGAGACCAGGAACCTACAATATACATTGTATGTACAATTTTCAGCTACAGTCCAAGGTTCTGGGAAGGCGGGCACCTAACCTACCGGGTACCGACAGAGCTCTGGCTGGACTGCAATGCAGTGCGGCGACTCCTCTCTAGAGTTCAAGCAACAGACGTACCTAACATTGTAACATTATCGCATCCTCAGGCAAAAAGACACTGGCACGGCCTCATGTGCAACCCCCACTCAGCTCTCCTCTTCCTTCCAAAAAGGCAGTGGGCTGCTGGGTCTGTGGCTTCACTCTCTCCACCAGCCGTCATGCTCCAAGTCATGATCGTTGTCACGCTTCAGGAGTCGTGGTACTAACTCCGGGCTAACAGCATTATTATTGATATCAAGATTCAGGAGAGGCAGAAATAGCCGCTGACGCATAAAATTTACTTTCGTTTTGCATCTGGTGCACACAAATTAATAAAAATACCATCCTGGTACCTGTAAACACAGGCATGGGTCAAATCAAACTTTGCGGCCACCCCTGCCCCTTCTCGTGCCTCTCCCAAAATAAATTGCGCCCACCCGCGCTCTCCGACAAAGTTACAATAACATGATTGTACAGGCAGTCACTACTACCAAGCAAGAAGATGCTGATGCCGTCACACAATCCCCGTATTCTGTTGTTGACCAACTCGACAACTTGAAGCAGCTGGCGTTTTTCTGCTGTACATTGCAAGTGGCTCAGCAGCCTGCCGTCATAGATTTGATTCTGCATTGGTAGTACCGTTGATGCTACTAATTAGTACCTAGGTACCTGTCGTACCTCCCGCTTGAACCTGTCCGTGTCCATCCTTGCAACAATACTCCTCCTGACCGCTGTCCTTGCCCCATACTATCGACTTCTCAGACGTGTTAACTGCCCCTGTCTAAAAGTCGCCTTTGCTTCATATTCAGACAAGTCACTTGCAACCTCATTGGACAGGGTGTTCCCCAGATCTCAATCTTCTCCGCGTCTGCGTGGCGCTTGGCCAATCTCTTGCCATGACAGAACTCCCTGGCAAGGCCAAGCTATCACGGTGACCTGTAAAAGCCAACACCAACACCAATAACAACACCCCTCTAAGGACCTTTTTTCCGGCTTCTCCTTAGAACGCACTCACCACCTCAACAAGCAACATACACAGACCACAGTGGACGTCCTAGGTTACTGACCAAGCACGGACTCTTCCTCCCCACGAACAGGAGGCCTGCGGCATTCCAAGTGCGAATCCGAAATCCAAAGCCTGTGTTTATTGGCCTCTGGGGCCGCTCCCCGGCTCGGTACCTGGCAATTCTGCATGGGGAACGCCGATCCATGTCTTTGAAGAACCTGGAGTGACTTGACCAAGACAAGGTAAAACAGAACGTTGCAGATGGAAGAATATGTACAGCACTCACGAGCTCATCTAACTCGCGTCATGTACCTTTCACCCCGGACAGGCAAATACTACTATAGCCGCTGAGGCGCTCCAGGCACTGCAGAGCCTCAGGAGTGTTTCGTGGTAGCTTACCACTTGGCTTGGAATGCCGCTGGGCCTCCCTTCGGCGGTCAGTGCCGGCCCCAGATTGGGCGCATGACCTTGAATAGTGCCACGCATGACGATATCAGGGTGTTCACGGCAGTTGATGCTCTGAATATTGCTTGTGCAGCATATTGGGTAGAGAAGGGCCAACACAGCTAACGTTTTCTTGGTACAGAACTTCAACCAGCAGAATCCAGGTTTGCAGCCAAAAAAGTCCTAGTACTTGAGGGTAAGCCGCTGAAGCTTTTCTATTCAGCCCGCCATATCCGGCAACGTACAGTCAAAATAGCAGCATAGTAGAGGCCATGTTTCGTGAGAACAACACCGCATCTTGAAAAGCATCTCCAAGGATTCCAACCATGCAAGCCCATCGACCTTCCACGTCCTTTGCAAAGGAGTGGCTGTTCTAGCCGGTGGTTGGCTCACCAGGTCAACCATCCGGTCAAGGCGGTGAGGGCACTCGTTTTGCAGCCATGATAGGTTGACGGTGTCATGTACCTACAAAATCCAGTGGACAGACGACTTTTCAACGGCGGCGCCTTCTGTGCCACTGTCCTACCAGGTATTCGTGTGGGCATCTGTTGGGTTGGTTCGCCTCCAGACTCTAGCGGAGTATACCTCGCTTAACATCGCAAGCAAGATGATATCCTTCCGGATCTCGCGGCAGCGAGGGTTCATCAGGACGTCGAACTGACATTATCCTTGGAATAGGGCCATCGTAAAACGTGCTTTCTCTATCGACGCAAGCCATAGTGCTAGCACCATTCCCCCTCAGACGGTCAAATGGCACAATGCTGTCGCTGATAACAATGACGTATATCAAACGTGCGCACTGCTGACTGTAGGTCTGTCTTCTGCAGGAAAAACGTTCTCTTGGATTCGACCCAACCAGAAGAGCATTCCAAGCTTCGAAGGTTCTAACAGCCAAGTCTCGTTAACAGACTGTTGATAAGCACTCGCAACATGAATGGGAGTAAGCAACTTGAACCCCAAATTGGAGGCGTTGACAAAGATACAGCCAGCACCAATCATTTCGACGCGTGGTGGCATCGATTCCTGGCTGTGGCAGGTAGAACTGACAAGACAAGCCCGGGCGGTTCTTCGAAGTGGTGTGATTCCGACCAGATCCGGCCTCCACACCTGATCCATAGATGTGCAAATCCTCAGACCACACACACTTCAGGACCCGGCTGCTCCTCGCCTTGTTCCAACTGGGCCAAACAACGACGGGATTCTACCCATTTTCTTACAAGTCCAAGCCGTCCGAAATCGGCGGCTCAGTGCTCAAAATTCGTTTTGGATCCTCTTGTAAGCGTATGGATCTTGCTGAGGAGAGACCCTATGTGTATCTGACTGGGCAGCGAACCTCACGTTCTAGCCAGGAAGACCCTTCTTTGTGGCTGGATGCGGAGCTGGAAAGTTCCTGCTCCATGATCTCAACAAGGGCCCTTGATCTCTGGACCGGCATTCGAAAGGGTCAGAATTTGTACCCTCAATGGACCACGCCGCAACACTAAACACGGCCTTGGACCTTTGCTACTGGAACGCATGCGTATGATATCACAGTATCATCAATTTATTCCAAAGGCTCTTAAGGGAATCCTCTCTAATTGTTAGAGGCAGAAACAGGCCTTTTCCCAAGTACCTATGAGGAGACAGGCTGTGAGAGTATGTGTAGTTGTACATTACAGCGGTAGAGTAACTCTTCCCCGTTGTCTACTAAGTCTACGTGTCTGGCGGGCATTAGCATTCATGGATCCCTACCACAAAAAGTGAAAACGCTTTCTTAGCTAGCATCCGCGAGCCAGCAGAGCCAACAGCTTACAGCGTCTAAGAAGCCGGCCACATCATCCTGAATGATGTTTTGGTAATTGATAACAAACCTGCCTTGGTTCCTGGCGAATAAACCCCACCGGAGCCGCAAAAAGTGACAGGTGGACTACTGTTCCCATCTCTGCCGCCCATACGGCTTACAGCATGAATTCGCCTACACCAATCGCTGCGCCTTTCCCTCAAAGCCAGCAGGTGGAATAAATGCGTGTCAAGTATTCAGGCTCTTTAGCGATCGACTATACCTGGGGTTTCTTAGGCCTCTCCCTGACGGCCGGGATCTAGAAATGTTATCCAGAGGTCCCTGCGCCGAGATGTCATGAAGATGGCATGCCATGAGGATCTTTGTGTACTACTGGGTTTGTCACGAACCCCTTTTGCAGGGCATCCCTTGGTGGTAGTAGTTACCGTCTGTCATCCTCCTCGGGCAGAGCGCTGCCAGTGGTGCAGCACCATCAAGTCATCAGTGGGGCTCAGAGACGAGAAGACGCTCTTTGCAGCAACGGAGTCGGATTGCTTGGCTCGGTTGCGACCTACCTACCTGGTATTTACCTAGGGATAGTCAAAGCCTGAGGAGGCAGGAGTGGCCATCGAACATTGTCATTGTCGAACCAAAATGAAAGTTACTGCGCGATTACGACGAAAAAGGCCACGTCCGAAGCGGTAGCTCCATTCGCTTGCTCGCCGGCGTCCAAAGGCGCACTTGTGGCTTGATCATGCTGTTTGGCATGTGAACGAACACTCCCACTGCTGCGCTCTACCGACGTACAACAAATGTGTACACATTATTGCACCACTGCACGGATTCTGAATTAACTAATCACTTACATAAGATATCTGGAAAAGAAAATTCCGCAGGTACTATTGAACTTGAGCTGCACACGACTCGCCCCAGAGATTGTGTTTGGCCCAGTTCTGCGCTGCTTCCATGGCATCGTATCTACCTGGTAGTCATCCTCCACCTCGAATACTAAGGGTCGAGCCTCGTTGCAACAATGACCCGACGCAGAGTCGCTCGCTTGCGGACTGTGCTATGAGACATGAGCTGAAGACAATCTCGACTATGGTGGTGGCAAATTGCATTCTATTACGGCATAACCAGTTTTCAGCGAAGCGAGAAAATCCCCAACGTTCTTTTGACCTGGTCGTTCCAGTTCTCGTCCTCCATGTTGTCGTTCACTTTCCCCAGCCCTCCAGAGTCGACGGTCCTTGAAACGATCCGTGGAAATCTCTGCAGCTTTCTGCATGGATTCTCCACAAGCGACTCTGAGTTATGCCTTTAGGGCTACATGTTGCCAACGCCCAAGAGGCGGTGTATGCACTCCGCAAAATTGCGCGAGGATGTGACATGATAGTTCAGCCGCTCAACGAATCAACGTGACAGTGGATGCCCGATCCCTGTCGTCTGTCTGTCCAGACACTTCTTGATCCAGCCGCTGATTGAGTTCTGGTTTTATTAGATGCAGCAACAGTCGGCGTTCAAGTTTGGCGACTCCACCGTTGCTGGGTTTATTTGGCAAGCACATTGTGTTCAACAGATCGTCTGGTAGCAGGGTTAATGCAAGCCACGCTCGCGCCATCGCTCGCTCGCTGATACTGGTCGTCCCGGCACCAACGGGCGTCGCGCTTGGCTCAGCCTGTCCCAAAATGAAGCCCCCTGCTACACGTGAAACGCCACTTCTTGATTGCAACGCTACGTGGACGGACGGGAGCGGCTGTGTGCCTATCACATCTGCCTCAGCGAACACCACAACGGGTGCAAGTGTGTGCTGAGGCCTGCCAGTGCCGCCCGTAGTCCAGGCCAGAATTGTTGGGACAAGGTCCCTTGCCAGACTGCTGCAGAGAATGGCGGGGTGCAGCCTCTGCCCCACGCCCTCGACTCCTTGCACTTTTATCATGGCGTGTTGATTTGACAACCAAGCAGGCCATATGCATTCCTTCAAGTTGCTTTTGACATGTGAAAGTCTTTCTCTCGTCCATGCCCGCGCACCACGAACATCCCACCTCCATCAGAGTGATGGCGACTGACTACTGCACGCATCTGACTACGAAGCAGAGGTGAAGGATCCAGCGGGGAGACCTGGGGGAATGCTTCGAGGAGAGACCACACTGTTCCACAAGGTCTACATAACCTTCTTGCTGGATGTTGTACAGTGTTACACGACATGAACACGCATGCCAGTTTGTCAGCCGTCGAACACATTCTCGAACCCTGAACACGAAGCATTGTGTCTCTCCGTGATTTCCCCTCCACGGGGTGCAAACCCCCACTGAACGGCTAAATTCGAGCCGGTCAGGGTCTGCTGTCGCGTCTCTTCACGGCCGGCGGCCTCCGGGTAGGTCCTCAGGTAGGTAGGTGATGATGATGTCTCACGGGCAGTTTGCGGACCACTGGAGAATACAGCAATGCAAACTCTTTACCTCGCCAGTGGTGGCGTGCACTGCATTCACTCATCATCGAAAGGGTTCTCGCCATCGAACACATCCCCTGGTTAACAATCTACCAGTTACTCCGAGGCTCCCCTAGCTGCGGCCACAGTTGCCATTGAGAATTGTGTTGGGTGACCCTGTTCATCGCGCATCATTGCGACGATCTGACGATCGCCCGCACCTCCAGCAACTCAAGGCTCCAATCTTTAAGTCAACATCCTTCCTCTGTCAGTTTGGGTGGTGTGGCAGACTGGAGTTTCCTTGCTTCTTTACATGGTGGCCCGACACCGCCATCGAGGCGAACTCGAACTATTGCTTGAATTGCCCGTTTCGGCGAGCCTTTATGCTGTTCCGTTACGTGTTTCGAGCTTTGATCAAGGCGCGCAACAGTCGGCCAGATGTCGTCACACGACGCTGTTACTCTCACGCAGTGCAAGTCATTCCAAGGTTCTTCTTCCCACACTCCGTACCAGTTCATTCTAGTATTCTAAGCTATAGTGGAAGAGGTCTTAATTTCGTCATTACTTGATAAGACTAATAGCTTAACTTCAAGTTATTAGACTTATAATACAGGTTCGATAAAAGAACTCCTACCTACTAATATAAATGTCAATTCGCGATTACTCCCTAAGGTAGAGTAGGAGATAAGAAACTATCTTTTTACGCCTGAATTCTACCTCCCTACGGGAAGAAGGATACCTCGGACTGGGTGCCACTGCGGATGCCTGGATCTGCCAGTGCTGACTGCTGCAAAGGTTACACAGTATCGATTGATCCTCACCAAACAGAGGACCCATTCAAAACTCAAATCATATGAGCGGGATTTCGAAGCCCTTTTGCCTCCATGCGATGCAATACTCTTCCTCATTCATCCAACTTTCTTCCCTTATCAACCCTTCCAACAACAAATCAGGTGATGACCCCGTATGCTCTGATAGCACTAAGTCGCCGGCTGTCTGTACTTCTAGGCCATCAAGGTCCTTCTTCAGGTGCTTGAATGAGGTGAACCGGTTTTGAGACCAGCATGCTTCGATCACTTCCTGATACGATTTCGCCGAGGCTGAATAGGGATACTTGCCCGTCTGGAGGTCTTCTCGGATACGATGGATGTCGGCGGCACTTTTGGCCTCTGCAAAAAGATCAATCCCAGTCGCTAGAAAGTAGATACAATTGGCGGCATTGGACAGGTCTTCAAGAACTTGATGTTCAAAATCATCGTCCGTTTTGTGAACCGCCGAGCCAAAGTCAAATATTTTCAGCCTATTGTCATAGCCGATACCAATGTTGGATATCGTGATATCTCCGTGAAGGTATCCGAGATCTTGTTCCAGAAATGACAAGACATCAACGAGCTCGAAAATCCAGGTTCCACGAACCTGCTGCGTCGAGTTCCTCCAAGATTGCTCTAGTGGCTTGACTCTTTCGAGGACGATGCAATCCGGCTTGCTGGACTGAAATCTGGTTACAATGTTTGGATGAGGGTGCTTTGACAGTATTTCATAGATTCGACTTTCTTGCTTATAACATCTGAAGCTTTTCAGTGACAGTGCCAGATGATCGTTCTGTTCGTCGACAGTAGAGCCGTTGCCCACAGGATACTGAAATGGTACTTTGATCACAGAGAAATCATCAAGTTCGTACACTATTCCCTGTGAAGGGCCAGAGCTTACACTTTTCAGAGAACATAGCTTGTAAGGGTTCGACCATGTGTTGTCCGGCATGACGAAAAGAATTCTACCATCTGACAAGCTGGTCAGAAGTCAATCTGTGAGACCATAATGAAAGAAGTAGTGAATTTGAATTGCGAAGCAATACCTTGGAGATTACAGGCTGTAGGTGTTCCCTTGTCGGTGCACTTGCTGTGAAGGCATGGCAGGTATGCCGAGTAGAGTTCTCTTAACCTTTTTGGCTTGGAAATGCTGGATGCGTCCCTGTGCCTTTCTGTTGCAATGCCCAAACTGTGAGCCACAACGGCCCTTATTCCTTCTGCGATCCTTCAAGTGTAATGGCCCTTGCGCAACAGGTGATAATGTGTGCATGAGGCACTCCGAAAAATGAATGCTTGCGGGGAGATTCGCCAATGCCCCCTGCCAAGATGTCCCTGAAACCCCCTCCAGAGTGCAGATTTTGATTCCACAAGGCTATCGACGAAGAGAAAGGCTATTCTACAAGTCAGCAGCGAGCGACATGGCCTACAGCATCGTCAAATCCGGTCCCCCCACCCAGCAGGAAAAGGGCACCGACGCCTCACGTGGCTTCTGGGGACACTATCATGAGCCTTGGTGCAGCGGAGGCTAATGGAGAGCCTCTGCGCGAGTGCGGCCATTTTCGAGATTTAGCACATCTATCCTATTGAAACCGGCATGAATTTCCCCAACCAACTGAGCCGAGAGCAGCAGGGACACAGGAAGAGAAGCAGAAATTAAAAAAGGACAACCAAAGGTAACACAGGAAGCAGGTATACAGAAATCGCCGTCTTCCACATCATCTGCTCTGGCGTCGAACATTATCAAGCGTGCTTGACGTAGCACTACCGCCCAAGCAGAACTATCTGTGCAGAATTACTTCGACAAATACCTCTTGATTCGATAGGGATTTCTTCTAGAGCGACTCTGAGTCCGTGGTAATTGCACAATGCCGTACAGACCGTTGTTCGAACCCCGGGTGAGCATAGAAATCAGCCGGCAGGGTGAGCAGGAACACATCACTATATCTAGCAAGACGGCATAGCTGCCGATCTGATGTCCCCACTGGCAGAGGGCTTCATGTGAGAGACAATATCTGTCACATGCACGGCAAACATAAGTTACATAACCACCTAGATGTATATAATGAACAGATTAGATGGAATTTTAAATATGAAAATTCCAAAGCTTTCGAAATGATTTATGAAAAATAATCTTCAATCTTTGTGCTTAATCAAATTCTGTGGTGGCTATAATCAAAACATCCATCGTAAAAGCATCGCATCGTGTCGCATGGCATCATATCCCATAGCATCATCCCATTGATATCTCAATTTAGTTCGCTGGGCCAAAAACTTCGATTCGTCTCACCCACACCTTGAACCGCTCCTGCACCCTTCTGCCCGTGTCGACCTCGATGCCCTCAAACGTCTCGTCCCGGGCCCACAGACCCCAAGATGTTTCTGCCAATGTTGCCAAGTCCCTTTCAATGGCCTCTTCTTCGAGACGGCGATAACCCTCGTTGCGCACGCCTGGGAGAAACAGCGCGTGCCATGACATGTAGATGTCTTTGGCGTGACGATTGGCCAGGATGGGCGTGGTGAAGTATTGGATTTCGTTGGTCGGAATAGTTGTGACGACTGGCACAGGTGCGGGCGTGGACACAGTCGTGCTAGATGCTTCGGCAGCGGTACCAGTGGTGACAGAGACATCGACGGCCACATGCATTGTTGGAGAATCTTCACCAAAGAGACCAATGTCGTCTTGATTCTGCCGGCCCTGCTGCTGCTTGTGGTCCTGTGATTCTGCCCGCGACATGCCATTATCACCACCATTATTGTTGGGATTGCTGCTGTTGTTGTTCTGCTCAGCCTCCTTGTCTTGTGGCACACTCAAGGGTGTTATTGTCTTCTCCCATTCCACGGCGAACAAGAATCTTTGCTGCATAATTCTCTGTGCTTTGGCGGCCTGGTACGCCTTTCGGCTCAGAGTGACCAGCTTCTTCTCTACCCACACCCTGGCTTCAACCCCCATATTCTCTCCGACCATGAGATGCTGTTCGATCAGGCCGTCACGGTAGGAGACTTCCAGTGTCCAGTAACCTGCATCAACGCCACCTTCAGGAGGGTGTTGTGCGAGCACACTCTGGATAATGCTAGCGACAATCTCCTTCGCACGTTCAGGCTTGTATGTTGTCTTGAAGATGTATGTGTCGGCATCCTTGTAGATCTCGACCCCGGCGAACGCGCCCAGCACGCGGTATTTGAAGATCTGACGTGAGTATCCATCGTCGTCATCCTGTTCATCGTTCTCATCTTCGGATGAGTCGAGATCACTGTCGTCGCTGATGGCGCTTGGTTCAACTTCCACTTCTGGTTCTGCAATGCCCTCGTGAACGTCTTCTGTCAAATCTTCACGCTGCGTGGTCGATGGCTGTGCGGCCGCCATTTGTTTGTTCTGCATGCGCTTCAAGAGCTCTGGGTCGAATTGTTGCGCTGATGGAGTAGATTGTTGTTGAGCTTTCAAGGCAGGCGTTTTACTTTCCATTTGCATGCGCTTCAAGAGCTCTGCGTCGAACCGCTGCGTTGACCCAGTAGATTGCTGTTGGACGTTCAATGCATGGCTTTCACTTTCCGTTTGCCTCGCATCCTCCAGCCGGTTGATTTCGTCCAAATCTTGAGAAATCGCTGCATCGTTGTATCGGGGCTCAGGCTGAGACTGCTGACACATATCTGGAAAACTTGGTGGAGCTGTAAAGTCCGTTGCCGTTGCTGTGCCTTCTGCTTGGCCGGTCCAGGAAGCACCAAACACATACTGCTCGCCCGCATCTTCCTCGCTTTCCTCGTCACTCTGCTCATGCCACTGGTTGTGCTGCTGTTCATGAGACTGGGACAAACTTGCACGGCCTCTCTCTGCGACAATAACTTCAGTGCTGGGTAAGTCGATGCTGCTTGTATGTGCATCTTCTTCAAATGCCTCATTTTCCTCGCAGGCCTCATCATACTTGTCTCCGGCACCAGCTTTGCGTACGCCATAATCTATGCGTGCCTTATCAGCTTCGCGTGCGTCTTCAGCCTTGCGTGTGGCATCATTGAAAAGCTTCAGTTTGGCATTGATTGTGTCTTTTCGCTGGTCTTCAGACGCATTTTGAGCCTGCCGTCTGTTTTGAGTGGGTAGTGCTGTGCTTTTCTTGGGAATATGCTGTGTGTTTGCTTTGTTCGGCGGTGCCGCAGGAGCGGCTAACGGTGAAGTAGCTGTCCCTGTCGCCCCTGCTGCTGATGGTTGTGACGTAAACCCAGCCAGCTTGCCACATGCACGCATTTTCCGTTTACCATGCTTCGTTCTCGAGTTGTGTCTCTTGGCCGAGAATGCGGCGCGGGTCTTTCCGAGCTCCTCGACCAATTCGTTGATCCTAGCAAGCTCTCTCTGAACGGCGTCCATTGTGGCCTGAGTGAATATTCGGTCTATCCATGTGGCAACATCGGCACTGCTGGGCTCGAAATATCCCAATGTTCTTCTCTTCATATTGTCCCGGATGTTCTGGATGCGAGGTCGAATCACTTTGCCGCACTTTTCTTCGTCGAGGATGAACGATATGAACCGATGAGCTTCGGCGAGCTCTTCCTCGTGACTTTCGGTAAAGGGACCAAGACACCGTACTTGTGCTATACTCTGAGTGAGCCGCTCGATCATCTCCAGGTCTCGCTTTCTCTCCTTTGCAATTTCGTGTTCCACAATGGCCTTCTTCTCGTCTTCTTCGTAGGTGTCAAACTTGGGCGGAAGAGTCAGTCCCTTTTTGGGGTCGGCTAAGGCTGTTGCCATATCCATAGGTGGAGGCCCACGGCGCCGCGATGAAAAGGGTGGAAGGATAGTGGTTCGGTCCCCACCACCATCTCTCATCCTGTCTCTGTTACCGTCGACGTCCATTATATCCTGTTGCTGCGGCCGCGACAATGTAACTGCGGGTTGTCTGTCTCTAGCTGTGTCCCAACCATTGATGCGATCAACAAAATCCTTTCGCTGTTGTCGCGAAAGTGGGTTTCCTGGTAGGTTGTCTCCGGCTGAGTCTCTGTTTTCAAAGTCCGATATGTCCTGGGACTGTGGCCGGTACAGTGTGGCTGCCGGTTGATTGTCTCTTGCTGCGTCTTGTTCATCACTGAGGTCTTTTATGTCGTCATATGGCCGTGATAATCCAGGCCACGATACTCCAACTGCGGTGTCTTTGTTGATGTTGGCATCGTGTGAACCTTTCATCGATAGCATCTTAGGTCCCGATGGTCGAGGAGCTGGAGCAAAGTGGACACGTGGACCGTCACGAGAGATTGTCTCCTTTTGTTTTGCGCCGGAAGACCAGTTTATCGAAATTGGAGATGCCCCTGGTGGCAGTCTAGACTTGCGCTCATTCCGAGTGCGCTCAATGTCGAGCTTTCCGGAAACCGTGCTGTTTGTTGCGAGCCGATTGACTTGAGTATGTTGACTGGATCTAATCTCATAACCGTTCCGAGAAAAGACATTACCATTGACTGGCGATCGTGAGCGGCTGCGGATTGGTTGGCCTCGAGTCCGATATTGCGCCTTGCCAGAGGGTAGAGAGTTGTCGAGGGTGGTGGCATCCTCCCCATGCTGCTTTGATCTATTGTATCCATAATCACTGGAATGTCCATCAGCCTGATCTTTGTGAGTAGCGTAGCTCAGACCAGCTCTTGGTTCGTGTTTGGGTGCCTGGGAGCGTTGTACGGTCTGGCGTGTTGTAATACCCGTGGACACCTTTGTCTTGCGTGTTGGGGTTTGAGGAACAAAGAGATCCGAAATCTCGTCGCTGTCTAGGCTTGGTGACCTCAATTGTGGCGGATCACTAAATTGCCGCTGCCGATCCAATGTCACCAAGGTGGGACTGTCTGGGGCCACCAGGTTTCTTGACGACTTGCGCTCCCGCAACATTGTGCTTCTTGCCATTGTTTCTTCCTGGTCTTGTAGCATGTACTCCCTGGCATTTTGAAGATGATCGCCCTTGCCGAACATATCCGCAGTGTGGCCAGATTCCTCGCCCGATACGGCAGGTTTCGCAAGAACAATGTTGGGTCGCTGTAGTGCGGCCAAGGTCTTCACCAGGTGTTCCTCCTTCTGATCTTCACTAAGGTCACCGTTGTCACCCGGAGGTGTCAAGGAGAAGGATGAGTAACCTTCGTCCTCTGAACCACTTGGTGAGCCTTCACTGTTGAGGAACAAGCTGCAGCTTTTTGGCTTGGAATCAGTTGTCGCAAGGTGGTCAAGTGTAGTGTTTTCCGCTGTGTTGTTCTCTTCCTTCTCAACTGCTGCCTCAGTGCTCAGGCACTCTAAAGCAATCTGCAGGGCCTGGTCGGTTGGGACTAAACGTTGCTTCTTGTTTGAGGATGGGACATCTGGAGAAGGGGCTCGTTTCGCGACGGATGTGTTGCCTTCTGAGGTTCTAGGCTCTTGAATAGGGGCCGACTCGTAAAGATCGTCACTGGAGTCGCTCAACCGCCACCCTTGAACTGCAGCGGCTTGTGCTTGCACTGCCTCTCTGCTCTCGACTGGTCGAAGGCGTCGATATGGAGCTGGCGTACAAGAAGAGGACCCCGACAGTTGTTGTTCGGTCTTGATCTCACGAGTTGTGTCGACGTTGTTGGCGTCAGGTTGGGACTGGGTTGCACCCATGGTTAGTTCATAGCAATATGGCTCACCATCTGTGATGCCGATCTAAAAATATCGCTGGAGGTGAGATTTATCCGTAAAGATCGGATGATGTGCAGGAAAGTTCGCACTTAGAAAACCCAAAAGCCTTGCAGTAACACCCCGCAATGACAAAGGGGTCACAGAGATCGACGGTGTGGTTGCTTGATGTCAAGGGTACCAGAAGAAAAGTAGGTTGACAGCTCACAATGAGCTGCGGTAAAGAGGAGGAAGAATACGGAGATTGGAGGAGAAAAGATAACGATGTGATGAGAGAAAAATGAAGAGTGAAAGATATGATCGATCTTCGGACCTGGTCAGACGTGGACAGATAGGTCAGCAACCGAAAGTGACAGACCCGATCGCAAGCTGATATTGGTCGCTAGACTGAGAGGTTGTGCCCTCAGAAAATGGTGTAGAGCTCTGCCATGTCGAGTGGGAGTGTCGTAGGAGATCGAGTTGCTGGCCGAAGAATGATGAAGAAGGATGAAGGAGAAAGAAAAAGTGTTGGTTTAAAAACAAAGTGGTGACACGCCGGTGGTGCAGTGAAGCGGTTGCGACGCCTCATGCTAGTGAGGTGAGCAATGGACAACTGGGGTCAAACATCGGACGTGTGGAGTTGAGGCATGTGAACAGAGAGAAGTGACATTCTCCTATGGTCCAGGAGCCTGACACACCTCCCTGTATAATCTACTGGATTGTGAGCTTTGCTCCCTGCCCAGCAGTTTCATTGCATTAGAGCTATCACACTTCACCGGTAGCAAATGACCGTGAATAAGGTTAAGGCCACCGCTGAGAAGGACTAGGCCAAGCCACATGGAAGTCCCAGGGCCATGGTGAACCGCCGAGGAACACGCAGCACGAATGCGATGTTGAACACTCTCAGAACATAGGGCTTCCGACTGTTGATCCCGTACCGCACGAACACTCGGAAGAATCCTGACGGACGACGGAGGTGAGATAAGGCCGTGAAGAGATGCGCTCATAACTGACCTGGTGCGCAAGGCTGCAAGGCTGGCAATAGAAAGGGGCAGTTGGTTCTCACCATGCAACCAAACAAGCACGTGACCATAACTGTGCTCTGGCTGAGCCTGCCCCCATAGGCCGTGTCCGAAATGTGATCTGCAGCAGTCTGCAATGTGTTTTCTTCAATAAAACCAATGAAAAGGCAAGCATACCTGAGAAGCAGTCCCGGACCAACGTCTTGCTGGATCTCACGCCAAGACGTATCCCAAAGCTGGAACTGTTCAAGATTTTCCGTCAGTGCCGTGTCCAGGAAGTCGATTGACCACAATAGAACGTTGTCGTTGTGGGAATGCATGGGCGACCTTCCCAAAGATTGAGCAGCTCAATTCTTTCGATATTGTCTGTATAGGTGCTGAGATGCACACTGTGGGCCGTTCCGCCATTGCCTCTGACGGTTTAGTCGGGAGAGGAGTCCTAGGTCAAACAGAAGCTACTCAAGCATGCGGTGGTTCAAGCAGTACCTCACCTTCCACGGCTTTCCTGCATTTCAGATAACCATGGAGATAATGGGGAGCAATGTATCAAAGGGGAGAGCCCACCTCGACAGTGCTTCGAGGGTATTGGACCTGATCCTATCGCATTAGGAAGAACACGTTATGACAGAGTCGCATCGGCTGGCACTCTCGGAGATAGGCACGAGGTCAATGAATCGAGAACCAACACCTTTTTCTGCTCATAACAAAGGACAATACTTGCCAAGAGGAGGACCGAGCTGGATTGGACTTGGGTTGGGACGTAGGATGCCAATTTTACGGGCCTCCCTTTCCGTGATTCAGCAGCCAGACATGAGACCGCTCTGGACGTGACCACTGGCAGTCGACAGGAGCAGAACACCACCGTCAAAGAAGTGAGAAACTTTGGAGGTCAAGATGGAAGTCGGGAAACCTTCCTTCAAGATCCCCAGAGATGCTAGTTTATCCACTAGTACAAATGGGGACTAGTTGTACGAACTCGACGCGTTACAGTAACGAAGCCCAACTTGAACGCGTCGTTGGTGCCCATAAACTTCAAGGTTGACTACTAGTCCAGCCTGGGAAGCCAACCCACCGACTACCACTGTTTGAACGACATCTCTCGTCCAGAAGGTCTACTCCAGGACGTCCTCTGATTTCTTGGTCCGGTCAGGCAAAGAGATAGCATCCTACCACCCGAAGGGGCCGAAATCATCGACCAGACACCAGCAGAACAGCAGACCTCGCAGGACCCAAAATATATGCCAGGCTCGCAAAACGAACACAGCGCATGGCATCCACGACGTTTGAACCGCAGCCCTTGAGCGCTCCTCTCAATGACCGCGCCATTGCCGCGATTGAGGCACTCGCCAATGGAGACCGCGTCCTGGGGCAACATGACAAGAAACTGCGAGACCACCTCGCCGCGGCCGTGGAGCAGTTAACGGAACTGACGGGGAGACTGAACGACCGAGCGTACGAGCGTCGAGCCAGGCACGAGCGAGAACAGGCGCGGCGCCGACAAGAAGAAACCGAGCAAGATGAGGAAGTCGACGCGGATGCCGAAGCGCAAGCAGCCGATCGAGCGCATCGAGAGTTCCAGCAGAAAGTCGAGTCCCTGACGAGAAAGATGGACTTGAATATCCGTGGGATCATTGACGACCAGATCTGGCTGGAAGATCTCCCCACTGCGCTTCGACAGGCGGCGCAGCATGCATGTTCTCCGGCTCAGCAGGCGACCCAGACCCAAGGCTCTACAGGCTTCACATCGACCCTGCAAAGCACACAAACCCGCACGCGCAGGCGCAGGCGCATCAGCGACGGAGGTAGCGATGAGGGTGATGGTGACGAGGACGGTGATGACCAGGAAGACCGTAAACCGTCAACCCAGGCCGCACCAGACACAGCCACACCTCACGTCGTCCTCGCAGCAGCGCTGGAAGCTCAAACTCGAGCATGGACCTCCAAGAGCCTGACAGAAAGATACGCCCACAACAACGACTACAAGGGCTTCTACCGCGTATTATACGATGCGAAACACCCCGGCGAAAGTGCACCTCCCATGCCCGACGAGAGATTGTGGTTTGCGGCGGAAGAAGGGCGCGAATTAGTCTCGACTCAACGTCGACACCAGGGACATTCCAATAATGACGATGCAGAAGACGAGGACGAGGACGACGCCGAAATCGAAATCGCCGCCGAATCCATCCGGATCAAATGTCCAATCACACTTCTTCCCTACGTGGATCCAGTGACATCGCTCAAATGCAGTCACTCGTACGAGAGATCGGCAATCCTCTCGATGCTGAGCACCTCAAGCGACCATGTACCTGTGGTCTTGACGGCCGCTCAGATCGCCGAACTCGACGAAATCTCTCGAAACCCGCGCGACCGGGCCCGCCGCAATCGAGAAATCCAGTTGTTCCACCAACACCCTCGCGTGCCACTGGTCAAATGTCCCGAGTGCAATGTGCCCTTGACCGAGCAGGACCTCAAGCCCAACCCGGCGCTGAAGAGGCGCGTGCAGAGACTGGTGGAACGGGCGAGGCGGAAACATGCCCGTGACAATGGACTGACTGCAGCGGCAACGACCAGCGATGTGGATCCGGATGATGATGGCGATGAGGACGAGGATGAGGGTGACGGCCATCGTAATGACGGCTTTGAACTGGATGAAAATGGCGATTTGGTTCCTGCAGCCGGCTCCCAGCGCAGAACTGCCGTGAAGAAGAGGCAGAGGCAAGCCCAGATCAAGAGTGAGGCCAATAATTCACGCCTGCCTTCGGCTTCAGTCGTCCCGCAAACTCAGTTGTCTTGAGGACTAGGTCTTCGTGAGGCAAGCAGTCCCACTCCGATGAGCCATCTGCCAATCATGATGTCCAAGAGGATGAGACCTCTGATCTTGTGGTGTCAATGTCGATATCGATTTCATTCCAACAGCCCATTTGGCTCGGGCCTGTTCTACTAGTAACCTGTCATAGGCCAATACCAAGATTGTGTATGGTCCCTATGTTTATACGAGACCGTTGTAGGCACAGGTTGAAACTTACTCATCTGCTCCATATCCATATCCATGGATGGGTACTTGTACTACAGCTAAGTGCCGGGGGCGAGCAGAAATTGACAGGAATAACCTCGCGGACATACAATGGGGAAAACCAGCGCTGTAAATATAAAAAACAGCGCTACACCTTACAGACGTAGGATGAAACAGCATTGTTCTTCCTACATAGCTTTTTCAATGGCATATGACGAACCCTCCATTTCCCCTCTTCCTTAGACCAGCCAGCCACCTTCAAACATCAGTCCTCGTCAGAATCATAATCATTGTCTGGCAAAAGACTTCGATAGCGTCGACTTGCCAAATCTTCCTCAAGACCTCCCTCGCTTTCCGGGTCGATGTACCCTAGTATCCAAGAGTCAGTCAAAAAACTCTCGTTTCAGCTATGCGAGAACAAGCGATTCAAGACCTACCATTGCCGCCGAAGAAACTCAGCGCGACCGGCAAGAACACCAATGCATGGGAGCTGGCAAAGATGACCAGCGCCAACCAGATGCGGAAGTAGTAGATCTCAAAGATCTTGCTCCGGGTGAAAGCCAGGACGGCGACACCAACAAACTTGGTAATGGTGATGCCACTAAAGACGCTGCCGCCAACGTTGATCAAGGCGGTCCAGGCCCTGAGATCTTTGCCCCGGAACTTGTGTCGTGCACGCTCCATGATGGACTTGCTGGGGAACATAAATGCGCGGGCAATATGAGCGCAGAATTCCACCCCGATACCCACGCAGATGACAAGGTTGACCAACGACACAGCGTTGAGGGAGACATTGGCCAGAGCCATGACCCCGATGATATCCACCAGGATCATAACCACAGTGATAGCCACAACTGCCCCCGTCAACAAAGAGCCCAGGAGCAACGAACTAAGCACGAAAATGATGGCAACGGCCACGCATAGCAGAGTCGCGGTCAAGCGGATGATGCTGCTATATTGGTCGAAGAAGATGTAGTGTTTGCTGTAAGGGAAGACATCAATGTCATGACGTCGGGATATGTCGTTGGAGATTCTCCTGGCCGCGGCATACGACTTGATAAAGTCATCCTGGCCTTGCAAAGGCGTGTGGAAAGTCCGGAAATGGCTGGCTGGTGTGTTCGTGTGGTTCTTGTCGATGACAACAGCGTTGGAATAGGCCGCTTGCCCACCATTAGGACACTCTTCGTTCGTTGGAGCATGAATCCATTTGGTAGCATAGTGGACAAACTCTGCACCTTCTGGCATGCCATCAAGTGTAATGTTCCATTCACCCTCGTCAAAGCACGTATTCCCGTCGTCGTCTTGACAGCAATCCGAGATGGGGTTCAGCCAGTAGAAAAAGTCATCGATCCAACTCGCAGTGGCCGAGTTGATGTAGCTCACGTTTGGCCGCTTCGACTCTTGCTCTAGGACGTAGGCCAGAGAATACTCGTCGCAAGTTGTGAATCTACCACACAGCTGTTGTTGGTGGCGTCGTTCGGTCACATTGACATTGCGGGTGACAAAGTAGACTGGCGGGCCCGATCCGAAGTAATCGTACAAATCATTGAAATATTGAATCATGTACGAGTCTGATGGGATTGCAATTCTTTGGTCCAATCCAAGCTGTACTTTCGGAATCAGGGCGATACCTGCGGCAAACAGAGTGACGAAGAAAGTCATAACAAAAGTCTTGACCTTCTTGTCCAACAAGCTGGGGGCATACTTCTTGCGGATGGAACGTTGTAACCAGCCTTCCTCATCGCTACCGAAAAAGTGACCTCCTGGCATGCTGACCGAGTTGGCACCCCTAACGGTGACAAACGGGAAGCAGTCTGCTCGGAGACTTTCGACACGTCGCTGGTTAAGAGCCAGGACTGACACAAACATGGTCACCTGCAAGAGCGCGTTGATGAAGACTGCACCAGCAGCGTATGCTGCAAAATTTTTGACAGCAGGCATGCCAACAAAGGCGCCCATGGCAAAAGCAATGGTTTCGGTTGATGCCGACAGTAGGATACTTGGGCCCATCCGCCCCAGAGCTTTTGCCACACGCTCATCAATCTCTTCGTCTGGATGGCTGACGTTGACGCGTTCGAACTCATGAACTATCAGGAAAATGTTGTCAACACCCACAGCAAGGACCAAGAAGGGAATGACCTCTGCAATGATCAAGGTGACTTTCACTCCAGCGGCAGAGAAGAGGCCCACAGATCCAGAGACTGACATCAACACAATCACTATTCCTGCCACGCCCAGTGTGAATTTAGACTGGACAAATGCATTGGCGGGATTGTTGAGAAAAGAAGACACGGAAAGACTGGCCGAGCCCAAGGCCAGCGATGCATAAATGAACATGACCACATAGCTGATGGCCACAATCTTCGCATCAGTGTTTGTCGACTTGTTAAGCTCCTCTTCTAGACTGATTTCCGTGTTGAAAGAGAGCCGAAGGCCGCGAGATTCGGCGGCTTCTTGATATATCAACAATTCATGTTTCAAAGCTTGCTCCCACTCTTCGGCCCGAGCTTCTCTTTCCGTACCAGGCTGATCGTTGTTGACAACCCAGGTGGTAATCAGTGCCTTAGAGCTGGCAACATCGTCAATGCTGTCATATCCTCCAAGCACACGACCCGGCGGGAGCGGGTCCATGAATTCCGGCAGGCACCTTTGATCGCCGGGATGGGCGGCGCAGAGCTCTATCTGCTCTTTCCAATCGCTGGTCAAGCCAGCCCCGAACCAGCCACTGACTGATTGGACCACACAGGCTGTCCCGGTAGGCTTGAAGCAGACATCTTTCAACGTAATACCATGCTCCGGGGTCATCATGCGCGATATGCGGTCCTCTACGTCGAACCACCACGAAAGAGTTTCATAGCTCAAGACAGAGCTATTGGCCGACGAGTCGTTGACCAGGAAAGCCTGCTCGGTTCGGTAAAAAGGACCGAAGTTTGTATCGAAGAAGGCCTTCTCTTGAGCCGCATCGGAGGTTGGACTGACCCATAAACGAACAGGATCCCTCTCGACTTGGAAACGTAGCCACCCAAGGCTGAGCAGACCAATGAACACAATGTTCGTTCCAATTGTCAAGGCGGGATACCGGGCGCAGAAACCGCCTAATCTGTTGAAGGCTCGATCAAGTATCAGGTTCAGATAGTAATTTCTCTGTGGTCGTTCGAGGAAACCAGCATCGTGGACCAGATCGCCCTCGTCCTCACTATCACTCGGGGCGGCATCCTGCAATAGCTGGAGTCTCTCCGTCTTCCGTTGTTTGTGTCTCCGATATGCGACATGTCCCGAGATTGCCGCGATCAACAGCAGTAAAGCTACAGAATAGACGATGATAATGGAGAATGACAGACAAGGGAGTTTCCCGACGTGGCAGTACTCGACTGATCTGACGGGCTCCAGCGTAGGACAAACTTCCGGGCAATCAACGCAGCTGCAGCGGAAGTTTGGGTCGGTGTCATTGCAGGCATATACCCTGGGATCACTGGCAACCATGCCCTGCTTGTCATCATATCTCGGCTCTTCCGGAAAATTGATCTGAAACGGACTCCCAAGCAGCTTTTTGTCGCCCAGGAACTTCAGAAACTCGGTATAGTTCTCGGCGCCGCCTCCAATGAAGGCCATGGCTTTGCCGCCACTCGCTCCGTTCTTCACCTCTTTACAACTGTCATAGAAGCCGCTCTGGTAATGCTTGGACCATACATTGTCGATCTCAGTGACCACTTCCTTGCCGTTGGAGGCTTTGCCGGTCTGCGTGACGTTGACGAACAAGGATTGGTCCGGAGAGCAGGTGAAGGTACAAAAGAGGTTGAAGAAGTTCTCTTTGCAGGCTGGACAAGAAGCAAGGATCCTCTCAGCCAACTTCAGGTTCTTGCGCAGTGCGTCAACTTGTTCCTCCTCGCAGCACACATCGGTGTCCTCCCACTTGGGTCCGCAGAGGTCGACCAGCTTGTCACGAATAGCCTCTGTGGGCGGCACAGCCTTCCCATTGTCAGGACAGGGCAAATCAGAGCCGAAGAAGCCTTGTTTGCCGCAGTGACCCCGGATTGCGCAGCGGCCGGCTTCGTGGAGAGGAGTGGCACCGCTGGAGGCTGCCAAAGGGATGTAGAAGAGGGCAGCCAACGCCGCAAAGGCACTCCGAGAGAACAGCATCGATAGCGGTGGGTACGATGACTCGGAGGATGTAGGCACTTGGACAAGCTATTGCCGTAAATACCAGTGCACAGTGTGTCTCGTGGGAAGCAGGCAGTCGGACGGTTATAGCATCATGCGCAACGGTCGATGACCCCGGTGGGTACAGCAGCCAGCAGCCAGCAGCTAGGACGATCAATAATGATAGCACGGCGTTTGAATGAGATGGTCGACGATGTAAATCTACACCGCGAGGCACAAATGATCAAGGTCAGGCCGAGAGGCAATGGCTAAATGGTATTGTTTGTAGAATACCCAAGCAGGCAAACGCAAAGCAGCCAGTGTTCAACCCCGGCACCGGCAGCGCTGCAGACCGCACCGTGACTGGCGGTGGCTGGAATCCTCCCACGTCACCATCTGAGCTTATTCCACGTCCACTAGAAGTCTTTGGCAACCCTTTTTTCAGGACGGCGAAAAATGGACAGAGCGGGGCTACCAAGTACACTAGCGCGCCAATTCGTGCACGTACTCGACGGGCTCGTTATATAGATACTCGTTAGTAATCTTTCTAGGAGAAATAGTTTACACTATAATTTTACCCTAAGTTATTCTACTATAAAAAAAAAGATATACTATTTCTATCTCTAAGCCTTCTTATAGAGTAACTAGTTATATAAATAGTAACTATTACTAGCGAAGTTCTCGACGTCGATAACGTCGACGAATCGTTCGATAATACTATCGACGCCGCTATCGTCGCTATCGCCGAAGCCGTTACGTTAAGTACTAGTATAGTCTTATTAATACTCGCCGTCGACCCTTCCTCTATCCGCTATATACGCCGTTCTAAGGCGATACCGTACTTAATATTCTAATTTAATATAGATAATTAGTACGAATATACTATTAGATACCGCTATCGCTTTACGTATAATAAGATCCGGCGTTTTCTACTCTTCCTAAGGCTATTAGAGATCTTCTAGACGTATTAATATTAACCGAGCGAGAAGAAGACTATTTATATAGCCCTAGTAAGACTAGCCCTTAAGTTATATCTTACGGACCTATTTGAGTAGTTCGGATATTCGTACGGCTAGATATCGAGTATCTTAAACGACGTCTATATCTATCTATCTCGGCTATTTAGAAAGAGACTCTAATAGAATATAAGATTACTAACTATCGAGCGCCTTAACGAATTTATCTATACGATAGACGCTTAGGGCGGTAGTAAACGTATCTAGAGCTAGATAGACGGGACTCTCTTTAAAATCGCTCGTTCGAAGCGAAATTAGAGACTCCTCTATACTCGGTTTAAGAAGGCGTACGCTATTAAGTTCTAGGCTATAAAGACCTCTAACGGCCTTATTACGTCCTATAAGAGGCTATTTAGTAGAAAGAACGGAGACTTTAGGGTACTCCTTTAAAGTAGACTTATAGAAAAGGTTAAGAATCTTTAGAGAGTAAATAGGGTTAACGATAGCGATAAGCTTTATTTATATAGAGACCTCGCCTATTCTAGCTTCTTCGTTTATATCGATACTTATAAGAAACTAATAAATAGTATACTAAGCGTATCTTAACGGGAATTTAATACGATAATAAGTACTTATCGAATTAAGATCGAGTATAGGTTTACTCTTACGAAGAACTTATAGAGAATTCTAGAAGTAAAGAAGCGCTTACGGATATACTCGTCGCCCGTTAGTACGTTCGTAAGATACGCTATTCTCTTTAGTAATATCTTTACGTATTTAAAAGGTAACTAGACGTCGTAGAAGTTCGAAGTAAAGCCTCTAAGTATAGAAGAGTATCTCTCGGAAACCTAAAATAGAAGTTATATAACTAAAAAGTAGAGAATAACGTCTATTTTCTATCCTAATTAGGCTTAGTATATTCGCTAAAAGCGAAGGAAACCTCGCTTCTTAATCCTAATTAGAATTAGCGCCGCTAAGAATCTAGAGTACTCTACGTTTTTTGATACGCTAGTAGAATCTTAATATAAAAAAAAAAGTAGATTTACTTCGAAAAACCGATATTTTACTCGAAAGATCGATATTTTTATCTATTCTATTTAGATATAAATTACTATATTAGTTACTAGCGTTATACTTTATTTAGAACGTCTAACTTCGATAATAGCGTACTTAATAGCTTATTAAATACTTACTATTAGAATAACGTCTATTATTACGCCTCTCGAGCCTTCTATTAGAATCTTTCTAGTTATTAGAGTCTCTAATCGATTATTATCGATAGCGTTAATATTATCGACGCTCGTACCTAGATAAGACTCTTTATATCTTTACTAAGCGTCGTAAATCCGTTCTTAAACGTATTATTAATTATATTCTACTATAATACGGCTATAACTCGGCGAGGTTTCTTCGATCTCGATATTACCTTTAAACGTATCGATTTAGCTATCGTAACTAGTATTAATCTTACTTCTATCGAGATTAGACTTAATTAACTAAATACCTCGTTATTATTCTCTATCGACGTACGAATAGCGCCTATAATTTCTTTAAGGTTACGCTCCGTCTATTAGGTCTTCCTATCTTCTATCTACTCTTCGTTATTCTCGATAGAAGATAAGTTTTATTTATCGGCGCTATCGAGACTTCTACTACGCTTTCTAGTTATCGGACGAGTAACGAGGTCTCGATAGATACTATTCTTAATCGCCTCTTAAGTAGCGGCGGTCCTCTAACGCGCTATCTTAGCGAGAGTCTTCTTCTTTCTCTTCGCCTATACTTTTATCTTCTTCTCGTTAACTATTTAAAGCTAATCGTCTATTATCTAGAGATAGAACTCGTTATTCTACTTCTTACTACTTATCGACTCTTCTCCTTTCCGATATCGCTTCTAGTTCTTTATCTAGCGACCTCTCTTCCCTAAAAGACGCCCTAGCTTAGAGTAATCCTTTCCTATATAGAGATTTATATAGAGTCTTAGAGCGGTTATCTAGAATAGTTAGATACCCGTAATAAAGAGACGTACGTAAACGAGATACTATTTAACGATAGAGACTCGATTCTTCTAATACTTCTAGTCGATAGTATACGCTCTTATAAGAGGTCGATTAGTAAGCGCCTATACTAGTTAAACCGACTCGAATCCCTCGAGAGGTAGATCGATACTACGAAGAGTAAGCTCTTTATAGGTTTTAGCTATTTTATAGAGCTAAAATCGATAATTTTACTATATATAGCTTACTAGAGAACGTTACTCAATATCTTTTATACTTAAATCTTTATATAATTCGTATATCGATTTATAACTCCCTTTTTATACGCGTTTATTTATAAGACGTATTAAATATCGAGCTCTATAATTAGATAGAATACTATCCTATTCCGCTCCGTCTAAAATTTTAACTCTACCGCCGTCTAGAACTATTTAGTTCTAGACGCGGTAGTAAATCGAGAAATACTTATAATTTTAGGACGGTACTAGGCTAATTCGGGACGCGCTAAGCCTTTTTAAGCGCTAGAGGGGGGGGTACGACGGGTGGCGCTTTTAGCGTTATACGAGCGTTGTACGGGTATCCGCACTATCCGCATTTCGTCCAAAAAAAAGGGTTGCCAAAGACTTCTACTGGCACTTCATGTTGCCCTGCCCTACCGTGGCCTTGTCTCGAGCACACCTGCTCCTGCTACTTTTAGCTAGATATACATACTAGTACCTAGGTAGTTACCTACCTAGGCAGCTACACCCCAAAGCTTAGTCGAAACAACACGAATCCTGCATCTCTCAGGTTCTGCCTCTTCTTCTCCTTTTTCCAAGGCAATCCATGAGCCCGTCGAGCCTTTTGAAGGATAAACCGGGGTGCCATTAAGGCCTCAATGTCAAAGACAATCGGATGTCGGGGCAAGTCGTTCTGTAGCATCCTGTAGCATTCTGTAGTCGCGCTCAACAGCGCTCTTCTGTTCTCTGTTCATCCATTGCCAGTCACGTCGCGACTTTTCTAGCAAGGCTAAAGTAGAAGGTAGAATACACAAGGGCGAAGGAAACGTCTTCAACCCGGGAAGCTAGCTCCAAATCCCCATGTCACATTGGGCTTCGGCCTGTTCAACTCCGGCGAAGATATGGCCCATTTTGACAACCTAAGGCGCCTCCCATAATGCACAAATCCTGTCCTGTCGCTGGAAATCTCCTGTCAAGGTCTCGACTGCTCTCCTGCAAAAAGTACAGCTCAAAAAGCAGGGCTCAAAAAACAAGCCTCTCAGCTATCCCCAGATGTGGCTGTCGGCTTAGACTCGTTGGGCTTGGACTCGCTGGGCTTTGCGTCCGACGTTTCGTCGCTGGTCTTATTCTGATAGCTGCCCCGTCCGCTTCCCCGTCCACCGCGTCCGCCTCGATCGTCGCCTCGGCCGCGGCCACGCCCACGGAATCCGCCACGGCCCCGTCCACCTTCACTGTCACTCGCTCCCCCACTCTGATATCCTCCACGAGCCGGACCACCGGCTGCCGAAGCTGCACCGCGGCTGCTGCCCTGCCATGTGCCTGCGCCCCCTTGGCTGTGGTTTTGATTATCGCGGTGATGGAAAGGAGTGCCTCGGTCTTCAAAGAATGCAATCTTGGGAGCCTTGTTGCCGCCACTCCTCATCTTCTGGATCTCGGCTTGAGCCCGAGTCAATGCAGCTTGCGCAATGTCGTGGTTCTCAAATTGCACCTTCCAGTTATTGAACTTGTTGCCCATTCTTACAATAGACTTGACCTTTTCTCGATCCTCCTCAGCCAGACAATCCTTGACATGCTGCTCATTGTCCGCAAACGAGACGTAGAGAGCAGTTGCGGGTTTGCGTTCGACCGGAGGTGTACTGGCCTTTGTTTTGGCTGCATCGTCGGCTTTGTCTGCGCCCGTGCCATTCGTAGCGGGAGTGGCAGGCTTGGCAGGTGCAGATGCCGTTGGCACTGCTGCAGATGATGGTTGAGGGGTAAGAGGCTTCGCTTGCGTGGCTGGAGGCGCAGGTGAGCTGGCGGCAGGTGGCGTAGCAGACTTAGAAGCAGCTGCCGGTGCCGTCTGCGGCTGCGGAGCAGGTCTTGGCTGTTGCTGTGAGGGCTTCTGCGGTTGTGGAAAAGGCTGCGTTGGTGCGGTGAATGCTGGAGTACGGTTTTGAGCCGGGCCGGTCGGGACAGACGTGGGCGGAGGGGCAGCGGTAGTCGTAGAAGACTGTGCAGCTGACGGAGCAGGTGTGGGCTTGCCTCGGTGAGCAAAGTTGAAACCTTGTGCACGCATTTCTGTGCCGATTCGGCCGCCTTCGATCTCGAGGACGAGGTAACCAAACGCAGCATCCGCAAGATTAAAATTCCACATATTCTTGAACGCGCTCTCGTCCACCTGGCCGGCGGCTGGCCCTCCACCAACAGGACCACCGAAAGGATTGCCTCCGTTGGCAGTACTGGGCATCTTCTCAACAATCTCCAGAGCACTGTGAAGTAAAGCCTTGTGACTAGCATTAGATTCGATCGCTTGCTCGACATCCATTTTGACCGTCTCCCAGACATCTTGAAATGAGGCCTTGGAGGCAGCCAGTTTTCCCCGATAGTGGTCCAAAGACGGATTGACGGAAAACTCGTTGTACGAACTGCCATATCGGAAATGCAGACCCGCAGAGATGGAGAAATCTGCTTTCAATGTGACCGACAGCTGGTTGAGTATTCCGTCCCGTGCAGGCGAGGCGTGCGTCAAGAAGATTCGTGTTTCTGAAGGATCGTAGACACGGTTGGCTGTGTCAATCAGAGCGCCGATCTGCAGCAGCGTCGTCCACATTGTTCCTTGCCCTCCTGCAATGTACGTCTTGCCCTCACCGTTGTCGAAGAGCTTATGAATGACGACCGCACCACCCAACCCTAGCAGCCGCAGCTTCACTCCGCCAATGTCAAGCAACCGGGAGTTGACTTCATCAATGATGTGTAGATTATCCACCTTGTATTCCCCGGATCGGAAACGTTCCAATACTCGGACATCTTCACAAGCACCCCACACCGTGTAAACAGGCACGTCCAGAGTTATCTGCTTGTTCAGGAGGAGAGGCAGCTCGGACAGCGGCAGTTGATCCGGCGAGAACATTTGCTTGATCGGTCGTGGCGGCGCAGGTTGAGTGATCTGACGCTTGACATTCTCACTGAGCAGCGGGGAGTACTGGGCGACATGTTTCAAAGTCCTGTGGGCAGGTCAGCCACAAGCAGCATGGTTTGTTCTGCAGTTTTTCCTTACTTCTCAGCGATTCTCTCTAAGGAGGTATTGTCGTAGAAACCGAAGTCGCCAGTGTGGAGGATGTAATCGGCTTTTGCGGTTTTGGCAAGTTCATTCAGAGATTTGAGATTGCCTTCACCCGAGCGTTAGTTCTCGGTCCGCTTATTCAGAACGGTGTGGACTCACCTCGAACGTCTGCGATACACAGAACTCGGACCGGGCCAGACTGAATAATGCGACCATTGTTCGGGAGAAGAGCTTGGGCTCCAGGAGTAGGCCCAGAGCTTGTTCCGTTGGGTAGGTATCCTTGATTTGGAAATTGAGGTCGAGGCTGCTGGGATGTCAGTGGAAATCTGCGCTGTCTCATGCCGTAGGCCGCCATTTTCAAAGTTATCCCGAGTGCGAGGTAGGCTGACGATCCAGGAAGAAAGAAGGACTGAGACTTACTGAAGCCATGAGTAACAAAGAAATCCAGAAAGGCGCCTGTCAGTTGGTTGTGTAGATGAAGCGCTAGTGAATGAGAGCGCAGGCGAAGTGACAAACGATTAGGTGAATTAATATTAGGACAACGTCAATCCCGGAGGGTATGATGGCGCAGTGACTCTCGAGGTAGTGAAGCACGGAAGGAATCGGGCAACGGGACGGAGAGGCGAATAGCGAGACGGATGGTCCGAATTGTCTAGAGTAGGAGTATGTATGAATTTGACTTGCTGGGGGAACTTGGTCTTCACAACTTCAAGTTGAAGGGAAAGCAACTTGAAGTTCAAGCCTGCGTTGCTCTAACGGCGGCGCCAGGCCATTCCTCTTCAGGACTAGCGCGCCTGCCCCTTTCGCCGCCAGCCATTTACTAACTTATTACCTCAGCTGGCTCCCCAAGGCTGAGGCTGATTGATACGGCTCAGGCTGTGCAGAACCCTTGTAAGTTGCAGTAGGTCTAGATATCGTGATGACCGGATGAGTTTGTGGACCATGTAGTCAAGCAGTCAATCGAATATGTTACAGCATTTACGGGACATCCCCTAGTCTGCTAAAAAACAATCATTAAATGAGTGATTGCCTCTCACATACGCCAATGTGGAAGCAGAAAGATTGTACACGGCCAAGGTCAAACGCCTTGCAACCGTAGACTCCGTTGACCAACTGCATGGCTTCATGGCTCGTTTCGGCTGGGTTCTTCGCCAGGGTGCCTGATTTTGGTGGTATCATGAGATCTTCCAAAGTTCTGCCCATGCAGTCCTCAATGCGAATTTCGAGGTTGGAAACCCGCTGGCATCACCTCAACTTTTAAACAACCTATTCACTTTGCAACCCCCAAGATCTTATCAACATCTTTTTTGTCAATGACCGCACCGCCCTCAGAGCACTTGGCCTTCGCGCGCAATTCGCTACACAGATTGTCGATATCAATCTCGCCATTTCGGAACTTCTCCATCGATTGGAGACGATCCCTAGAGGTCATTTCGTTAGCATATGGTGTGTTTTCTGTCACTGGAGCCACCAACCATATCTTGTTACAAGTCATCGGTTGTTCCACAGATCGAACAGTCTCGTCGTTTCCATTCCTGGCGTTTTCAACTTGCTGCATTAAATCATGCTTGGGGGCTTGGTCAACGGCTAGGTCGTTGTAATTGTGCAAAGGACTGCCCAAGTCAGGGAGAGGATAGGCATCGTTGAAGAATGAACCGAAATCTTGTGACAAAATGTTGTCTTGTGATTCGCGATAGTCGCCGAACAGGATAGGGTCAAAGCCGTTGTTGTTCTGTTGAGCTAACCAGTTGATTCCATTAACATCAAAGCCCGGATCGGCGGCATATTCTAGAAGATTGAAGTCAGATATCATTCAGCGTAAGAGGTGATGGGTCCCCAGAGTAGGTACAAGGCTTCTGGAGTCGATTGCAGAGGGGGTGCTTACCGCCAAGTGAAGGCTGGTGCTCTTCACTGATAGGATTGAGGCTGTATTCATTATGCTTGTTGGCCGGAGAGTTTACCCCTGGCTCCGGGGAGGTGCCGATCGACGAAACTACGTTATGCGATTCTGTCGAGGAGCAGGGGGAGTCCGAGTTTGAGAAGCTAGAGTTAGAATAGGCCACAGGCTTGCCGCCTTGGACAGCATGGTCGAGGCTTCCCCTATTACTTTGAATAGAAGTATTATACGTGGTTTGGGGAAAGTATCCGCCCAATGAGGCTTTTCGACTGGCTTCCAGAATGGATGGACTGAACAGCCCCGACAGGGTGTCCACGCTAGAGTGATGCACGCTTTGCTGGTTCAGAGGCTGGGGAGAGGCGGACACATTGTTGCTCATAGGTGACTGGCTTAGAGACCCTATCCGCGCAGGTTGGTTCTGCATACTGGAGGTCGACCGACGGGAAGCACCATTTTGACTTGCAGGAGTCGAGGTAGAATTCGGAAGGCTTGTCGTTCTGCTCGCGCCCGGGCTCGCCTGTGCCTGGGGGGTACCATTGTTGAACGTGTTCGTTGTGGGCAAAGATGGCATATCGCCAAACTTTGGGAACTCGAACTGAAAATCATTGTGGCTAACAACAGAGTTGGGTCCTTGATGCGGTAAGAGACCTTGTGGCCTATTGTTGAGGCCGTTGCTGCTGATCCAGGAAAGCCTTTTCCGGTATTCCTTCAACTCGACTTGGAGCCGCTCTACTTGCGCCCGGAGAAGGCCATTCTCATGATTGGCAGACTCCGAGGCCTTCTCCAGATCTTCCACTTTGGTTTCAAGATCTCGCAGATGCTTCTCCTTACGTTCACGGAAAGCTCGTTGCGCCGCTCGGTTCTGAGCCTTGCGTTTCTATGTTGCGTTAGAAGGAGGAAGAAAGAATCCGCACTGGACTTACAGAAGTTGGTTCAGATGTCAGCGGCTTCCTGCCTGGTTTTTTGGCCGTCTTATCCTCGCCTTCACGGCGCTTCCGCCCTCCTTCAGCGTCGTCATCCCCACCCTCGATGCTTTTTCGCTTATCGTGGAGCTCGCCAGGAATGTCGCCAATCATGCGGCTATTCTCATCGAAGTCAAATGTGTCATCGCCGAGCTCGAGTTCTGGGTCAAAATCGAGGAACGGACTGTCGTCACTAAAGTCCAGATTTCCTGAACCGGGAGCACTTGACATGGTTGGCGTGGAAGTGGAATTCGGAAGTGCCGCTTTTCGGTTGCCGGGTACGGCCTTCTGAGAGGGGGTTTGGTTGGCATTGAGCGCCGCCATTAGGAGTTGTTCTTGATCAAGAGACAGAAACAAGCCTTCAGTAGTAGAGAGAGACATGAAAAGCCTCGCGGGATTGGTATGTCGGGATGCAATGGAGGAATTGAGGAATTGATCTGGTCGGCAGCAACTGATCGATCGGAGATATAACACCCGCAGGCTGCGGCCGAGCACTATCTGAGGGCCTAGAGCAATGCCTCCCTCTACCGCGCACGACAGCAGTAGCAAGAGGCGCGAAAGGGACTGCTAGATTATCCGAATCTCAATCAGGATTGCTGAAGCAATCAATGACTGGAAAGGTCTGAGGTGGATGGCCGGAAGCGTGTGGTTCGAGCAGCGCGGGGCGGTCACAGGTTATCGGCGAGGAGCGGAGGGCTTAGAATTGCAGACTCCGGTCGAATCAAGACAAAGTCTGAGAGGGAAGAGGTGCTCAAACAGACGAACAATGGCAGTATGAGATCGGTGAACCCATGAATTGCGATTAGAGTGACAATGTGTGCCAGTGTAGTAGTGATGCGCAATGAGATCAGCAACGGGTGATGGAGGAAGTAATGGCAGAAGAGAGAGGAGAGTCTTTGCGACTGGGCTGAACTTGGGCGCATGGAAAGTACCGTTATTGGTACTGCTGCTCCCAGCAGGGACTGCCTAAAGGTTCACTACTCGTCAAGCGCCACTCTCAAAACCGCCATAAGCACGAGTTTTCCGTTGGCCCTAACACCCCGTTATTAGGCCAGGACCGCTTAAACACTCTTAACTACAACTCCGTTGTTCGATGCCCGTTCAAGCCTTAAGCCCCGCAGCTCTTAACTACAGTGTACTTTGTAGAACTGAGCAGTCCGACATAGTGATATGTGTACAGGGAGCCGCCGGGATCAAAACACTGGGTTCGGGTCCCTAGGTGTCTGCCTGGCTCCCTAACGATCGGGATCTGAACTAGCGAAGTCTTCAAGGTCGTGGTACTTTGGATACCGTAGCCTCAAGTTGAGTCGCAGACCAACCCGAAGTCCTCTACTCGCGGATTTAACACCCTCTCCCACTCTCTCGTTTGCCTCCTGTCCGGAGTGACGGTCGTAGCAGAATAAACACCTGCGCCCTACAGCGTTGTATGGCCTGGTGGTTGACCTACCTAGGTATGCTCTGACTGGAGGAAAACCGCTCGTGGGCCTGTGTAAGACTGTGGCAATACTACCAAGACGGGAGCGCCTCTGGCTGGCCTTGCGTTGATTTATAATCGAACTGGAGACGCGGCTGGCCCATGCCCTTGACTAGATCCATCCGTACCTAGGTAGGTATTCATGCCAATCCCATCCGACCCGCCCCAAGTCCAACCACCTGGGCAGGTATCGTTCCCGCTCCTCTGCTCAGCTTCTGCGTCCAATCGAGGCATCACTTTTCAGTTTAGGCCGCAGAATGCTGACCACTCAGAGGCGCGATCCGGCATGTGTGACTCGCATGCTGATCCAGGGGACTCGGGCCTTGGGTATAATGGTTGAACAGATATTTAGTAGTCGATCCGACGCATTGGAAGTCATCTCTTGTAGAGATACATGCATGCCGAATCAGTGACTGCAGAGTATGAATCTTAGAAGTCTTCCGGCCATGAACCGGTTGTACGGGGATGTTTGGGTGTGGTAGGTAGATTTGTTGCACGTGACTGTCACTTCCGTCACTTCTACTAGTCCTTGGCGTCTCGCAGGCGCAGGCGATTGCAGGGACAAGCGGCGGAGAGGCTCAACTTCATGTACAGAATAACTCGAAAGAATACAAGATAACGTGTATATGTGCATACGACATCCACAGCGCGACAACTTGTGAACTTTGGACTAGGAGGCAGACAAATCCACTTGTCTACGGGATTAACAACGAGATACCCCGTTAGACTTCCTCTTCTGCACTCTCCATCGTCGCAATGAGTACCGCCGATGTGGCTGGCTTGGAAAATGAAGTCAAAGAATACAGACTGCAACTTGAGACGGTCCAGCTGAGTTTGCAGAATGACCCTGACAACAGCGAACTACAGAGTCTCAAATCAGAACTTGAAGAAGTTATTTCCCTCACCGAAGCCGCGATCGCAGAATTAAAGCCTGCGTCAGCACCAGAGTCAACCACGCCTTCCGCGCAATCACCAGTGAAAGAAAAATGGTCCAAAGAGAATCATCCAGCCTACCAGGCAGGTTATCGCAAGCCCGAAGTCGAACCCGAAGAACCGAGCGCTCCAGTGACCTTCTCAGTCAACGATACTGTAATGGCTAGGTGGAAATCCGGTGACGGCGGGTTTTATCCTGCGCGGATCACATCTATCACTGGATCTTCCAGTGATCCAGTGTACATCGTCATCTTCAAAAACTATGGCAACACTGAGACTTTGAAAGCAAAAGACATCAAACCTTTGTCTAATGAGGCCAAGAAGCGCAAGGCTGATGGCATCTCAGGGTCGTCTACACCAGTTCCGCCTCCATCAAATCCAAGTGTTATATCTGCGGCAGCCAGCGTCGATCCCGCCTTGGCACAGCAAGCCCGGCGTGAGCCCAGCAAAGTCAGCGATGGTCCAGTGCGACCGGCGAAGATACCGCGGAAAGTCAAGGCCAACAAAGAGCTGGAGGCGGGCAAAGCCAAATGGCAAGATTTCGCTTCGAAGACCAAGACGGGAAAATTCATCAAGAAGGAGAGTATGTTCAGAACGGGCGAAAGTGTCAAGGCGAGAGGTAAGTGTTGCCGGCGGCTCTTACTGAACTGTTGTACTGACTTGTTTCTAGTTGGCTTTACTGGGAGCGGGCACGAAATGCGCAAGGACCCGACGAGAAGTCGACACATCTACCAGCAGGATGCCCAAGATGACTAGGAGAGCGGCTGCGCAATTGCGACATTGCTCTTTGTTTTTCAGTTTCTCTTAGTTGTGAGCGTTTATGGATTGACGTGGCAAAGCTGACCACCTGGAACCCGCAGATCCAGCGATCCGCCGAAGGGCAGGCGTGTACAGAGCCGAACAAGCTAGATTCTACCAGACAAGTATTCTCCTATGCTGCTTCAGACGCTTTCTGACACGTTGAAGTCTCGCGGCAGGGTGTTAAGTGCTTGTAAGCCCGTTGGCCGCTCGGCTGTCTTTAGTGCGACTGTTTCGAGGATTGTGCCCAGGCTGATTCCTTTCGCCAGTTTACACTATCCGCTTACAAAATTTGTGCTTTTTGACCTTTCAGTGAGAACAGTGCAGCCCTGCTGATTCCAGGAAGCTGCCTCTAGTGCTGCAGCATGATTATCTCAAGTGTAAGCAGGGTCCTTACAGCATCCGGCCAGCACTTGACGAGCTGATTCGTCTGTTTGAACGAGATGCTCTTTCGTCGACGGCTCGACAGAGCATCTGTAGCTGCTTGCCTGGAGGCTTTCGTAGAGATATTGCCTCTCGATATCGGCATGCGGCGAGTACAGATCGCCTTCGCTAAGCAGCGCGGCAAAACTTCTTGATGCCAGCTTCGGATCTTTCCCTCACAGACCTCCCTGTATTCTGAAGCTGCTAACGACCAATACCAACATATTAATGACACCCCAAAATAGCGGTGTCCACGTACTCATCCTAAAATACCCAGCATTGTAGACAGCCCCTAAGACCAAGCCGACCAATGTGCCTGCAAGCAATGCCTCCAGACCTCCGAGGACAATATATGTGACGGGCACCAGCCAGACCCAGCCCAATGTCTCGCCGATGGGGTTCTCACCCAAGAGTTTCCTATTTTTGGCGCTGAGACGCCTGCCCTCCGCTGTGGATAAGTATTTGCGGCTCTGTGCCGCCGAGTGAAACTGCATCAACACCGCCCATGCTGCGACACACACATGTGCAGCGCCAATGGTAATCATCGTCCAGTACAGCGTAAAGAGGTAGATGTCCGTGTAGTGGTAGAGGTACTGGGGCTCCCCGGGGTTGGCGCGAATTGGCCAATATAATGCTGGAAATTGGGGAGTTTGGTAACCTCGTGGGATACCGGCGCCGTAAGTTGTCATCTTGTCGAGTGGCTGGACGCAATGGTGTAGCTGTTCAGTTTCTGCCGGAAGAGTCCAGCGGACGGAGACATCAGGACGGCATCGAGGACGGTCGCATCAACAGATCAACAGTTGGGGGGACGTTGCGCAAACAGACAATCGGATGGTCTGGCAAAGTCACCACGGCATAACAACAATTCAAGTTCAAGTTGTTCCTCGTGTTGATACTATCGGGTGCTGTTTCGAAGCATTGTATGACAGAGGGTGTTGGCACTGTCTGCATGACACGAGGAAGGGAAGGTATGTCGAGACGAATGACGACAGCTCACTGGTCCGCATCCATTTCTATTCTACTAGTAGCACCAAAGTTAACAGGCGTCCCTATCAGGAAGATCACGTCTTGCCATTGGTCAGCCTGCGCTTCCCCGGATTTTGCCACGCCTGGCGTGCTGGCACTTACAATTTCCTACTGATTTTGTAGATACAACTACAGGTTCTACGTGGCAGACACACTATGATTGCCAGAGTGAAACATGAACAGCAAGTGAAGATCTACAATACTGCATCATCATCTGCATTTCACAACGGCCTGCACAGGCGGTGTGTCTAGAAAGCATGAGCACGGAATAGAAACCCGACTGCGACGGCGACGGCCGCAGTACCTCACTGCATTTCATCATTACAGCGTCATACCCTGCTTGACGTAACAGATGCTCGCTTCAGTGCTGCAGCCACTGCCACTGCCGTGGCACATCATTTGAGGACTCGGACATGAGGTGAAGTAAGTACAGTACCAACGTATTGGAGGTGAGTGCCTCTGCTCCCAGCAGCTAGAATTTGTACTATATTACCCTCCCCTTCTCGCGTTTCTGCTGTACATTTTCAAATGCCACCGAAGCTTCCAGTTCGAATCCCTCAACCCATCCGACTTACTACCAGTACCCAGCGTACATTCATCACAGCAGCCTTGACACACCCTCTTCGTCGACCGCACCTACCCTTAACCACGGCTCAGTCTCGTCTCTCAAGTCTCAAACAGCAGTTCTCTACCTCTCCCACCATGTCTGTCAACTCGCACAACGAAGAATTCAAGCTCGAGAAGCTGTTCAATGTCAAGGACAAGGTTGCCCTGATCACCGGCGGAGGCAGCGGTATCGGCTTAATGGCTACACAAGCGCTGGCAACCAACGGCGCCAAAGTCTACATTTGCGGACGGACAGAAGAAAAGTTGGAGCGTGTTGCTGAGGTCTATGGCAAGGACATCCCAGGCTCCATCATTCCCGTCACAGCTGATGTCAGCAAGAAGGAGGACATCAAGAAACTGGTTGACTTTATCTCGGAGCGAGAAAAGTGCCTGTGCATCTTGATCAACAATGCTGGTATCTCTCTGAACACCCAGCAGACCGAGGCCGAGTCTGCCGAGGAAATGAAGAAGAACCTATTCGATGATCCCAACGAGACCTTTGAGAATTGGACCGACACCTACCGCACCAATGTGCCTCAACTCTTCTTCATGACCACCGCCTTCCTCCCTCTACTCCAGGCTGCACACAAGCACAACGATAACTTCTCCGGTACTGTCATCAACATCTCGAGCATCAGCGGTATTGTCAAGACGGCTCAACATCATTTCGCCTACAATGCATCCAAGGCTGCGGCAATACACCTCACGTCGATGTTAGCGAATGAAGTCACCCAGAACGGCCTCAGAATCCGCATCAACAGTATCGCACCGGGTGTTTTCCCCAGTGAAATGACGGCCGGAGAAAGCGACGACAAGCAGAAGTCACACATCCCAAGGGAGAAGTACCAGTCTAAGGTTCCTGCAGCACGCCCAGGTGAGGACAGAGATATGGCCAACGCTATCTTATTTTGTGCCAGTAACCAGTACCTAAACGGCCAAACGATTGCAGTGGACGGTGGTTACATTCTGAGTGCTGGAAGCGGTCCATGAGTTAGGGTTAGGGTCAGGGTTAAATGACTTAGGGTCTAGGGTTTGGTGTCCTGGTATTGAAGGATTCGATGAATGAGATGAATGCAACGCGAATGCGCTGGTTTAATAACAGTCTAGTGTATATGTTTCACTGTAGTGTCTATATGGTCTTATAGTGAACAACTATTCGAGCATATAGTATTCCCCTACATAGGTAGCTAGAAAAACGGAAGTGACTTATGATTTGCGATAGCAATACCGCTATATACGTACACTTTAACTTAGTTCTGCTGTCATTTACAATGTAATAATACTTTACTTTTTTATATTAGGCGTCCACTTCTGACGCGGCCCAGCATGAGCGAAGAGCCTCATACACGATATTGAGTCCGTATTGCATACCCACGCTCGCCTTCGGCCTCTGCTACAAACGACAGTCCAGCTTTCAACCTCCATAGTCGGCCTTGCCTTGAATGGTCCGCGAAAATGCGTGGCCTTGAAGAATGTGCCATTCCATATCGGGGGCCCTCCTCAGGAGCCGTCGTCAAAATTTCTAACAACCGTATCTGCAACGACTAGTCAACGTCGATACTGTGTTGTAGTGCAATGCCATTTGCGATCCAGTGCCTGTTGTATAGCAGAAGATTTCGTTCTGGGCAGGCTTTGTATTCGGTTCCGTCGCCCCTTGGTTGGTATCTCGGGATGAAGAGCTCAGAGCAGTAGAGTCAGAGTATTCAATTGCCCGAATTTGTCTTTCTGTGTTGTTACCCCAGGTTGTCTTCGGTGCCTTTTCTAACTTCAGCCTCATTATAGACCAGATAGATATATCTGAGGGAATGAGACATCTTGGGTACCGGCAACCTTAACAACGCCTCCGGTTCCGCGACCACTTCGACAGTCGATGAAATCTGTCCCAACCAATCGATGTTGGACAACATTGGGCTTTCTTTCCGCGTATCACCTCCACTGACTGGCGAAGTGCGGTATCAAGCGGTCCCCAGGGACAGCAGGTAGATCCTTAGCTGCGTCGGCTTTGCTAGGCCACATACACACATTCCGAATGACAAGCTCTCAGGGAAGGACCAAGGACTCATCTCGCACCAACTCATCAAGCCATTCTATTCTCCGTCAAGGCTGCCTTCTTCAATGGGCTTCGGATCTTCCGTGCGGTACCACTCGCCATTGAAGGCGTTGATCAACCAGTTGCTCAGCTTGTCCCAAACAATGTGATTGGCATTGTGGAAGAAAATGCTATGGTCGCTATCAGGGAAGAAATGGACGTCGTAGTTCTCGATTCCGGCCAGATCGAACTTGTCCAACAGCGTCAACGTGTTCTGCATATGGACATTGTCGTCGGCAACGCCGTGCATGATCAAGAACCGTACGTTCTGGGCCATGGCTGTGACATTGGAGATGGCCGAGTTGTCGTACCCCTGGGCGTTGTGCTGCGGCATGCGCATGTACCGTTCGGTGTAGATGGAGTCATAGAAGCGCCAGTCGGTAACAGGCGCAACAGCCATACCGTACCGGAACGTCTCGCCCGCGTCGGTCTCAAGAACCTTGAGGGTCATGAACCCGCCGTAAGACCAGCCCCAGATGGCCATGCGCGAGGCATCGACGTACGACTTCTGTGCCCACATCTTGGCCGTGGCAATCTGGTCGTGAGCTTCGTACTTGCCAAGCTCGTTGCGGACAATCGTGCGGGCTTTGCGGCCGATGTATCCAGTTCCTCGACCGTCGACCGTCACAACAATATAGCCTAGAGCACCTGCGATGTAAGATTGGAAGTCGACGTGAAATTTGCGGTTGACCATTTGTGATCCGGGGCCGCCATACAAATAGAAGAGGACGGGATATTTCTTCTTCGGATCAAAATGGGGCGGACGCCGTTCGACCACTTGGAGTGTCTCTCCGTCGAAAGTGACGTTCTGGAAAATCTGCTGAGGTAACTCGTGTGAGGAGGCCATTTGGGCGAGGGCCTTGTTGTCCGCCATGACCTGGTCAATTTTCTCTGGATTGACAGGAGTGGAAACAACCTTCTGAAAAGGGATTCCTGGGCCCTCGTAGAACAGGCTGATGTAGCCTGCCCCAGTAGAGAACTTGGATGACCAGTACCCGGATTCACTGGTCGGTACAAGCGACTGCATTGATGATCCATCAAGCTTTACGCTGTATAGATGGCGCTGCGTTGGCGCTTCTCTGGCAGCGACAAAATATACCAAGTTGTTCTTCAAGTCAACCGCAGCTGGTCCGCCGTCCACCTCCCATTCCCCCTTCGTAAGCATGACAGGCGTTGAAGTGTTCAGGGGAGAGAAATAGGCCAGGTGGTTGCCGTTCTCGGCAACAACAGTATCAACATAGCCGTCGAAAGGTCGACCATTTGCCGGATCTGCTGGGATATATCGTGTGTGTTGTGTAGGTTCGATCCAACCCCCGTCAACGTCTCTGAGGTCAACTGTCCTAACAGTCTGTCCGGTCCGTGTGTTAACATCGACCAAAACCACTCTGACACGGTCACTTTCCCGATTCGACTCGGACACTAACACTTTGCCATTGTCTGCCCACACAGTGTTGAAGATGATGCGGTCCTCGTCGGGAAAACCGCCGGCAATGTCCACCGTGAAAACCTGCCCCCTAGAGATATCGTAGAACAGCATATCAACCACCGGGTTTGGTGCTCCCGCTTTCGGGTATTTGATCTCCTTGACTTCAGGGTAATTCTCCAGGCCTTCGACGGGCTTCTTTCCGCTGGGTCTTGATAGGAAATACTGGACAGGATATTCGGGCACAACCGTTTCGTTTGTGCGCAGGAAGGCAAGATAGCGACCATCCCTCGCCCACCAAGTGGCTGTATTCGTGCCGAAGACTTCTTCTTCGTATGCCCAGTCAGGAATACCGTAGAAATATTCCGGACCCCCATCATTGGTGATAGCGGTGACTTTATCGGATTGCAAAGACCTCAAATAGAGATTGTTGTCCCTTGTGAATACCACAGAGTCACTCTGAGGAGACCACTGCGCGAGTTGAATCCGGGCATCCGGCAAAGATGGATCCAAGGGCTGAACTTTCTGCGTCTCGACATCCAGAATGAAGTAAAGCCCGACGAAGGAGTGCCGAAACACCTTCTCTCTCTTCGCCATAAGGAGGACGTGCTTCATATCTGGACTAATCCAAAAGTCGTCGGTCCACACTTGCGTTCCATTATATTGGATCCATCCACTCTTGAGCAAAGTCGTGTTTCCGGAAGTGCTTCTTGCTGAAGAATTGAGACTATGGATGTCCTCAACAACCAGATAATCCTTGCCCGGTTGGTTGATCTCCAGAAGAAGGCCATCCTCGCCGTTGGGACCAGCCGCCCAGGCAATGGAGGCATACCGCGGCTGCCATTGTCCCTTCTGTATTTGTTCGAGAGTGATCCTCTTTCCCGAGCCTTTCATAGGTGTTTCATGGTCATAGTCCAACGCGGACGCGTGTTTGAACTGACCACCTGCCAAAAAGACGAACAGAGCAAACGCCCAACCAATAATGGCCACGAGCGCGGTGATCCATAGTGCCCGCCGCAACCCTCTCGATATATGCTGTCCGCCAGCCGCGTACCTTTTGTCATTGCTTCGGGGCAATTCCAGGTCGCTATCATTGTCCCGGTATTGCGACGGCTGCAATGGGTCTGTGACGGGCTTGATTGTGTTCAAGTTCTCCAGAACTAATGACGTGGTAGATACACTCGAGGAACTCTCTAAAGAAGGACGAGAGTCTGCAGAGCTGGGAGCAGACGCCTTTTCTGGAATGAAGGCTTCCCTCTCTTCATCGATAGTCTCATCAACTCTCTTCATGGTTGTGTCTGGCGGCATCCGCTTGGAACTGCAGGCGGAGTTGTCGCCAGTGAACGCGAGCGAGGTTGACCTCGACTGCGACGGAGGATCGTTATCGTAACATAACCGATGAATGTTTCCAAAGTGCGACACAACACTGTCAATGCTGCGCGCAGATGCCGGAATCCTTCTTCGAGGGGAGACCGGAGGAACTTCTTGGGTGAGTAGATCTGTGATGATCGTCAAGGATGGACTGTCAGATGTTGCGATTGAGGCGCCCTCGCGGGCTTCCTGGCGACTCTGGGCCGCAGCCAGCCCAAGCGTCCCCATCCTACGACCTAATTAGTACTGCCGAAAGGCGGTGTGGGCGGTCCTGCCCCCAGATATGGTCACGTGCCAGTATTACGCCAGCATTACACGCCGCTTTTGCACCGGCTCAAATGACGACTGGGGACACTTTCCATAACAAACCCATCTTTAATGGCCATCAAACTGTCTCTTGTTGCCCTGATTCCCTTTATGCTCTGTTATTTGTTTCGTTGGGAGCACACCGTTAGACAAAGTGCCGAACACAGTTTTGAGAATGCTCTCCCAACTTGAAAACAGCAGAATCCTTGATTCTCTTTCCGCTTTTGGAAATGCTGAAACAAGCCGTTTCCGGTCACCACTCAGATTGATGTTTTCGAAGGCACTCCTAACATGATTGACTAACGTGCACCCGTGGTCGGGATTGAGACACAATCGGCGATTGCAATCCTGGTAACTTGTATGTCCTGACGCTATCTATGCTAACTGCAACTACAACTCGAGTTGTGTGGCTACGAGCGACCAGACGCCTCGAGAGGTGTAGGTAGGCCGGTCGCCCAGATCTGGGCTCCTTTTCATTTCACACTCTAGAGGTCCGAGGTATATAACAGCGATATCTGTGGCCTGCTAAGCTGCCAGCAGCAGCGTCAGCAGCGGGTGATGCTGGTTGCGGTATACAAAAGCAAGTAAAGTTGACCACTGCAGCTGACAGACGCAGGCAGCCCAGGCAAATAGGCATTTGATGTTGACGGTGGAATTGGATCTGGAAAATGAGAGGTGCGAGTCTATAGTTGCTGTACAGGATCTACCCGCACCCGCCTGTTTTGATACAGTAAACTCAAATGCTACCGCGAGAGGAGAATTGAAGTGGAGAGTCGCGTTCGTTCGCATGTAGCCTTCAATAGATGTTGGGTATTGGGTTGCCCGTGGAGGAGGAAGGCCAAAAACAGATGTCATGTCAGATAGGTCGGTGGTCGACTTCTTCTTTTCTTGCTTCTCCTTGTTAATTCCCCCTCCATCTTCACTCTCCTCTGCCAAAGTAAAGAGAGCACCCTCCCCACACCCGTCCCTGGGGCCGGGAGGGGTTGCGAAGCTGGCGGGAAGAAGGAAGAGTGTTCATTAGCGTGGATCTTGGAATACATAGAGATACACAAGTCCGTGTGGTCGCCGTCGTCGTGGATCAATCGCGGTGGGGCATAATCTTACATTAGAAGCTCTGACAAGGTGATGGAAAAACCCTCAGAGTTCCCTCTATTCAGCTTGGTTCGGGTCGGCTCGACGTTGACTTGCCCAGATCAGGTCACTTGCCCTGCTCAAAGTCGTTCATAATGTAGTCCCATTGAGCCCAATCCAGAGGCATATCAGCCATGGCGAGGTCCTGAGCAACCGTTGGATCGGACGCAAGCATGAGATTATTCGAGGGACTATGAAACATCTGAACGGACTGAAATGGCGGGAGTGGCAGTTGAGTCCGAGCAGCAGATTGGAGAGCAGCTTGACTGGACGACTGGGTATCGTAGGGGATGGTGGAAGAGGACGGGCTAGCGGCAGTGTTTTGGGGGTATGCACCGCTGGTGTTATATTTGATATCGTTGGGGTCGGGGTCTGATGGTCCGACAGACGACATCGAGGTGAAAGTGCCGGGACCTGCCAACGGCAAAGAAGCCGTTTCTGTTTGTGGAGGAGGAGGGCGCAGAGGCTGATTTTTACGTTGTTCTCGGAGCGTTCTGATATATTCAGGCACCACCTTGGGGTAGACGCCGTTGGTGGATTCACGCAAGGCCGCCTCCCTTGCGCTGTATGCCTTTAAACACAAGCTTCCGACCGCCACGTGCAAAGGCTTTTTGTTGTCCGTGACAAAGTTGGCATGGTGAAGGAAGACCTCGTCTACCTGCTGCCACGCCCGATCCACTTCGTCGCCTAATGTGCGCGTTCGTAGCTCGTCGAGAAGGTATACCAGCGCTTGCCAGACGAAGTAGACATTCGTGTGCCACATGAACCGCCGCAAGCCTTTCGAAGCATGGGCCAGGTTGTCCGCCTCGAGCAGCTTGATCGACAAATGGAACATGTAGTCGCGTTCTGACGCTGGCAGGTCTTCCGAGTTGCGGTATTTCCGTGGGTGGCGGGCCATGAGCCTCATGGAATTGATGGCCGCCCTGCCGATGATGATGGCCATGAACTGCACAGGTATGGAGGGATCGCAATATCGCAAGAATTTTTCTTCGAGCCGCTGCTCAAGCTCGTTGATATTGGCATCTCGCGTTTCCAACGAGGTGTTGAAGGGCGATGCGAGCCGGAAGTTTTCAGTGCTTATGCTCGACCGGTTCAACACCTTTTCCTTCCAAAATTGCCCAAACTCGCAGCGAAGCAGACATGCGATCATCTCGGTAGGTCTTGTATGAGGCACGGGAGCGCTCGTCATGTCAGGCTGAATGTCGGCGTCGTTGACATTACTCGGGGGTTGAGTATCCGAGAGATGGAAGTCGGCAAATCGCCCGGAACCGCTAAGCTCTGCTGACCGGAAGTCTAGGATCGAGATCTGCCACCATAGCCGTCGTCGCATCTCGGTCTCAAAAGGCGATACCCCTAGGTGTGTACCATCTCTGTGCAAGCCCATCCCCTGTGCAACACGACTCGCCACGCCTGCCAGCGTCCAGGTCGTCCTCGAGTCGTATGCTTCACGCATCGTTATGATGTAAAGGACGAATGCTTGCAGAACCATGATATCCGACGTGCCCATGAACCTGGCCCGAGCTAGCGCTTTACGCGTCGCGTGGCGATATCTCGCAAGTAGTGTCTTGCGAGACTCGCCTAACTTGATTTCACATTCGTCATCCTCCATGGAGAAGATAGCGGCGCTATAGATGGAGAACATCAATGCTTCCAGGCTTTTTGGCAGGTTGTCCAGATTCGCACTAGCTTGAACGAGAGTCTCTTGAAACGTAGGCTGATGCACAAACTTGGTCATGGGGTTGATGTTCTCGAGAAAGATCTGCCAGAGCAAGAATATCTGGTCTGGTGAAGGGTGGAGTTGTTGGATCGTGTTGTTTGAGGGCGTATAGCCGAGCATGAACTCGGAAGTGTCTTCGATCCCAGATCCAGCCTCATCGTCATCCTCCGAGTATTCGGTAATGGCTTCTTTGGCTTGGAACTAAGTGTATGCATGATTAGATTTGAGTTTCGCGAAAATCAAGATGGTAGATGGGGGGTTTCTTACCTCGGTAGATACACTAGTCCATAAGTTGTTCTCAATGAAGCGCGACTTGCCATGGTCGACGATTAGCTGGCCGGTCTTATGGGAAGGTGGCACAAAGAACTCTGAGCCAGTGGCCGTAGCATCTGGACTGAACTGGCCTGCGCCGGCGGGAGGATCGGTCGGGGCAGCTGGCGATATGGGAGTGTTGCTGCTGTCGACGTCGACGCCCATCTTCTGGAGAAGTTCTTCGCACTTCTTGAGTCGCGCAAGCAACATTTCCTCAGGAGGACGTTTCTTCCGGCGCCTCGGCGCCGGAGGCACCCGGAAGATGCATTCAACATTGGACTTGACGCAGTTTGAGCAGGGACTCTGCTTGTCGCATTTCACTTTGCGCTCGAAACACCTGATACATGAATAAGCCTTAGCGGGCCGCTCCCCGGCGGCACTCATTGTTGGCAGATCAAAACGCTGGCCCCGGTTCCCGGCATTCATTCATCATAAATCTGGCCAAATCATGGTTTGTTCGTCGTTGCTGATCGACTCGCACTTGCACTTGCGCCTGACAAATCCCCTAACTGCAAATCTGCTGCCGGGGGAGGGCTGCTGTGACTGCTCGGAACCGGAGGGCTTGTTGTTTTGGAGGAGAGGGCACCCTTACATCAAGGACACAACCGGGAACGGTATTTCGACATGTACCTTACCATAGATGAACCAGAGTTATTGTATAGGCTAGTGGGTATAGGGCTAACAGGTAGCAGATAACATTGGAATCCATGGATTTCAGGCACCAGCTGAAGAGCAACCACGTCTTGGCACTGCGCGCTGACCTCCCATTTAAACTCAAACAACAATCAGCCAAGAGGCTTGATGTTGGCCTTGAATCGGTCAACATACCACAGTAACTATAGGTAAGCATTGGGTTCGCCGTGTGTGGCCCCTGTCTATGGTGGCCGGGCACGAGGCTGTGAACAGTGGTTCGGCCTCATGAGCAATCTTCCAGGAAAGGACTACGGGTCACACCTAGGTAAGGCTTAGACTGAGCAAGTCGGCAAGGCTGCAGCTTGGCAGTGGTTTTAATGCAATGCCCTGATTACACACTAGATATACGTTCCGAGATCTCCGAAGCCCGCCTATCATGCACTATTTACTTCGGGTGGGCTACTTTTCTGTCATGAAGCATGTTGAATCGTTTGGTCTTTTCCTCACGTCATTCATTGCCCTTAGCCGTTGACAACAACTCCCCCATTGGGGTGTAGGCTCTGTCCACTGATCATGCTGCTGTCTGCGCTGGCCAGGAACACAAAGCATGTAGCAATCTCGCTGGGCTGCGCAGGTCGGCCCAAAGGTGACGTAAATTGCTTCTGGGCATCTTCCGACATGGTAGCTGGAATCAGTGGCGTCCAAACAGGACCTGGGCAGACTGCGTTGACGCGGATGCCTTTGCTCATTTGCTGGTTGGCCAAGCCTCGCGTGAAAGACACAATAGCTGTGTATCGGGTCAGTAAGAGGCAGGCACATGGACAGACACAATACTTACCTCCTTTCGTCGATGTGTAGTCGAGGAGATCAGGACGACCGATGTAGGCATTGATAGAAGCGCAATTGATGATGGTATCGCCTCTCTTCATGTGCGGCAGCGCAAACTTGGACAGGTAAAAGAACGAGTAGATGTTGGTCTCAAAGGTCCTAGCCCACTGTTCGATGCTGATGTCCTGAATATCTTGCTGCATCATCTGGTAGCCAGCGTTATTCACCTGTATCAGCTTGTTAGTGTCGTGTTATGGGTGGAAACACAGTCTTGGACCATCCGGTCACATACCAAGATATTGATTCTGCCACCGAACTTTTCCAGGGCAGCGTCAATGACTTTCTGGCAATTATCAGGCTTTCGCAGGTCGGTGCTCATCAGGTGGCACTTTCGGCCATGTTTCTCAACTTGACGTTTTGTCTCTTGTGCATCCTCTTCTTCTTCCGGCAGGTACGCAATGAAACTGTCGGCGCCCTCCATGGCATAGAGGATGGCAATTGCTCGTCCGATCCCACTGTCACCACCCGTGATGAGGGCTTTCTTGTCCTGCAGCTTTCCAGCCGCTTTGTAGGTCTGCCATCCACCGTCTTCCGTCGGCAGCTTGTCGTTGACAGGTTCGAAAGGTAGGTCACCTTGTTTTCCAGGCGTGTCTTGATGGGTTACAGGCACTTGGAAACCCTGTTTGAAGGGCGAGTCGAAGTCGGTCGCTTTCTTGACGTCTTCCATGGTGGGCGATGTCTAGTCAGAAACGATTCTTGAAGTCAGTGATTACAAGACAGGATGAGAATGTCTCAAGAATGATTATGACCGAGCAGTCAGTCTTCGAGGAAATCAAAATCGAGTGCAGGTCTAATATGTTCGATCTGTGGTGAAGCGAACGTCATAAGTGAACGCTGATGTCACTTGAGATCTGGAAAGAACGCGATGAACTGGGGGCCCATCTCCGCCGCAAACACGCAGTCTGCTGCCGTCCACTGGTTCGGCAACAACATGAAGTTTCGAAGAGTGGTTGACTTGCATTGCAGACATGGGAAGAGCGCTGCACTACCTGGAATCATCATCAAGTTCACAAGAGCTTGTTGGGCAGGAGTATTCCCATGTTGACAAGCGAGAGAATACCCAGGTAGTGATGGTGCTGCAGTGGCCAACGACCGCGCGCCGCGACTGGCTTGACCAGGAAAGGCGTATCACGTGATATACGGAGGACCAGTCGTGCAGTTATGATATGTGCACTTTCGCCGTTGTGATCCGTCCAAGGTCCGCCCCTGAAAGCTCCGCGTTTCTGACTGGCCCGGACCGCAAACTTTACTTCGGCCCCGAGCCTTGTATTCAAAGCTCATCCATCACGGCTTCACCAACGCTCAACAACTGTCAAGCAATCTCCAACAACGTCCGAAACCCCTGACGATACGATGTTTCTGGTCTCCACGATGGAGTTCATCTGCGCTGTACTTCGCGTCCGAGGATTCCAATTCCTCTCCTTCTGTCGGGGGAATGCCTGCGTGAAAATGACGTTTCTTACAAAGGTAGGAGTCGGGAGAAAGCTCTCAGCGCATTGAAAAGCCTGCGCTGCCCTCCCTTGTTGCACCGGTGAGTGTTTGACGAATTGTAAACTTGCTATCTCTACCAAAGCGCTCTATCTCTCTTCGAACCAACCCAAACCAAAAGATCATTTTCCTCCCTCCTCCAATACCCACATCAACATGACAGCGGACCGTGACCTACCGGTCGACGACAGCAACACAGTCACTCGTGAAGACAGGGCCCGTTGTACCATGCAAGAACAGCATGATTCCGACAAAGAGGAATATCCTCCAGCGGCTACGGTGTGGATCACCATGATGGCAATGATGTTGTCCTCGTTTCTCGTTGCATTGGTACGTCAAGCTGAACTGCCCTGAACCCCACGAAACCTTATGGACATAAGGTTAACCACAATGACTCTAGGACCGAACCATCATTGCAACAGCCATACCGGTCATCACGAACCACTTCAACTCCCTCGGGGATGTAGGGTGGTACGCGTCATCGTACCTCCTAACGTCCTCTGCGTTCCAGCTACTCATGGGTCGGGTCTACACGTTCTACAATCCGAAATGGGTGTACATAAGCTGCATAGCGTTATTTGAACTCGGCAGCCTGGTATGTGGCATTGCGCCCAACTCAACGACACTGATTGTCGGACGGGCCATTGCAGGCATTGGCAGCGCGGGCATCTTCTCTGGGGCGATCACGCTCGTTGTGTTCTTGGTGCCACTGGATAAACGACCAGCATGGACGGGTTCCATCGGCGCGGTGTTCGCAATTGCGTCGGTCGCCGGCCCCTTGCTGGGCGGCGTCTTCACCGCCAAACTCAGCTGGCGATGGTGTTTCTACATCAACCTCCCCGTTGGGGCGGTGACCATGGCCGTGCTTTTCTTCGTCCTCCGCCTCCCTGTCCATGGCCGCCAAAGGGCGAAAGTGCCAGTGAAGCAACAATTCAACCAGCTCGACCCCGTGGGCACGGCCATCTTCATGCCGGCCATTATCTGCCTCCTGCTAGCCCTTCAGTGGGGCGGTACCGAATACAGCTGGTCCAACGCCCGGATTATTGCTTTATTTGTGCTCTCGGGCGTGCTGTTGACTGGATTTGCGGCCGTCCAAATCTGGCGGCAGGAGTTGGCCACGATCCCGCCACGAATCCTGAAGAACCGCTCCATCGCCGCTGGCGTGGCATACGCCTTCTTGTCCGGCGCGGGCATGATGACGCTCGTCTACTTCCTGCCCATCTGGTTCCAGGCCATCAAGGGCGCGTCGCCGGTCCATTCAGGGGTCAAGAAACTGCCAGCGGTTTTGGGCATCACGGTCGCCGGCATGATTGCTGGCTTCGGCACGCGTATCTTGGGATACTACACTTTCTGGATGTATCTTTCATCAGTGCTGACGCCTATCGGCGCCGGCCTCATCTCGACCTTCACCACGGACACGGGCCACGCCAAATGGATCGGCTACCAGGTCTTGTGGGGCATGGGGTTAGGTGTGGGCATGCAGCAGCCCAGCGTGGCTGCGCAGACCGTGCTCGCCCGCAAGGACGTGCCCACGGGTGCGGCCATGATGTTCTTCGCCCAGTCTCTCGGGGGCTCCATCTTCGCCAGCGTTGCCAACAACGTCTTCGACAATAAGCTGGCCGACGCTCTCAAGGCCGTCCCGGGCATCGACGCGGACCTCGTCCAGAATGTCGGCGCCACTGACCTGCGCGATGCCGTGCCCGAACAGTTCCTCCATGGCGTCTTGGTCGCCTACAACGCGGCCCTGCAAAATGCCTTCTACGTTGGTGTCGCCGTCAGCGCTGCTACCATCTTTGCCAGTCTGACTATGGAATGGAAGAATCTGAAGGTCGTGGCGGCCGAGCGAGAGGCTGCCGCCAAATCTGCCTCTCTGTCCGCAGACAAGGCCGGTTCTTCTGCTTCTGCGAGCGACTCACTACCACAGAAGCGCGCAGCTGACGAGAAGGACCTTGAGACTGTTTGATCCTGGTATATAGACGGCGATCTGTTCTTCTCCCATTTCATTTCACCTTTCGTGTTAGATGCTTCGCCTTGAACTTCTTTGAGACATGATTGAGAGATCACGCGTCTACAGTATTTTTCGGTAGGAGCGGCGAAAAGGAACGTTTTGAAGAATTTACAAATGACTGGACTAGTGATCTATGTCATAGAATTAGAATAAATATAATATTACCACCGCAGCCCGAGGATTCTGAGCATACCGTGTGAAACTCCAGTGCACCTCGCAAATCGAGAATACCTTGTACCTCCTAGGTAGCACAGGGTATTTTTACAGAGACGTACCGTGAGACGAAGTAAGTAAATTGATTCAAACCCTTTGTGCAGGAAATTCTCAAAAACAGAGTTTGTCATATAAGTATGGGAGAGTTACCTAGATCCTACAGTGGCTATTGAAGCGGGCGACGAGTAATGACTTTGGTAGTCTAGTCATCCCTCGATCTCAACAGGACGAATGCCGCCCCTAGTTCTCGACGACCCTGTCCGAGACATGTCGCGATTCATCGTAGGCATCAACGTGGTACTTTGCGAATTTCCTGGTCGGAACCTTGGCCGCGAACATAAGATCGAGTTCTTCGTAGGTCCGACCTCGAGTTTCGGGGAGTCTGAAGAAGGCCCAAACTAGAGTGAGGAAAGCGGTACCGAACCAGAAGAAGCCAGTATAACCCTTCCAGTTGAGCTCGTCCGGGTTCATAAAGTAGGGTTCGATGACGTTGGCGATGATCTGGACGACATAGTAGGCGTTTCGAGCCAAACTCACAGTCTTGGAGCGGAGGCGTGTCGAGCTGACTTCGGCGGGGATGGCCCATCCGATGGGGCCGACGGACAAGGAAAACGAAAAGAGCCACAAGATACAAAAGGCCGACTGGGTCCACATGGACGAGCTGTGCTTGTCGAGGGTCAAGAAGCCGATGATCAACAAACAAATGCACATGGAGGTCATGCCGCCGATGTAGATGGTGCGGCGGCCGGCAACGCGCATGAGGAACCAAGACAAAATCGTGCCCACAAAGGCAACGGCAGTGCCTCCCAGACCCAGCTTATAGGCGTCATCGGGGCTCATGCCGGCTTGTTCGAAGAAATAGGTGCCGCTGTAGGCGAATTGCGAGCCCGACAAGACTTGGCCGGCAAAGACGACGCAGGCGACTTCAGTGCGGCGCAGGTCGTAACCTCTGAAACAGTCCAAGTAGTTGCTGCCCTTGGTGGTCTCGAGTTCGATCTCGTTGGTGTGCGCAATCATGGCCAGCACGTTCTTGGCTTGCGGCTTCTCGTGTTCCGCCATCAGTCTCTTCAAGCTGTGCTCCGCTTGGTCCATCTTGCCTTGTCGTACAAGCCACCATGGAGATTCGGGCATGAACCACGCAACGAGCATCAATGGTGCTGGCCAGATCCACTGCACTGCGTAGGCAATTCTGTACGACCACTCGTCCTCGCGGTGCAACAGACTTTGCAGGACACCGGCACTAACGAACTGACCGATGGCAAAGCACATGTTGGTGTAGGCCGTCATGTAGGGCCGGAACGCCATCGGACATAATTCAGACGCATACGCAGGCCCAATCGTGGCGAAGATACCCCAGCAAACCCTAATTACACAAAGGGGTCAGTATCTGGTCTTCCAGTCTCGAAAAATCGTGTGATATAAAAAGACTTACCCGCACAGCACCTGACCGACTGTTTGTAGTTCAATGCTCTTGCCAAAGAAGCTGATGAAGATGAACCCGTTCATCAAGATCAACCCGAACATAAACACAACCTTGTAACCCCAGCGGTGGATCATCCAGCCGTTGAGAGTGGCGCCAACAATACAGCCTGCTTGGGCACCGCTTCCCAGAGCAGATTGCCATTTGCCGGCGATTTGAAAGTCCTTTGACACGTTCGAGTACTCGCCGAACTGGTTTCGGAAGGATGTAAAGCCGAAGAAGGACGGCATCAGCTGCGTGTCGTAGCCTTCCATGATGATGGACATGGACACAAGAAGCGTCCAGAACACTGCCCACGGGTAGGCCCTCAGTGCCTGCCTGACTGTCGTTGTGTGTTCATTCAAGTTGGCTTGTTGAGCATCGCCAGTGCCTTTTCCAACGGTCGAAAGCGTATCCTCCTTTTCTGTGTGGTGGCTGTGAGCCTCAACATGTGCCACATCATCCATCTTTGACGCCATGGTTGCTCAAGAGGTAGGTTCCTCTGGGAGGTGTTTGGATCAGGGCCTTTGGTTCTTTCTGTTTGTGGACCGAAAGAAAGACTCCAGACTGGTCTGCGATGATCCGGGGTACGATGGCAACGCGGGTGAGCAGGAATCTTATATAACTGCCCGTGTTATAGAAGCACATTATTTCAAACAAGATGTTGTCCTTTCGAATCGAGCCCAGTCTTCCCGATCTCGCTTGTTTAGACCATGGCTGACGACTCCACTCGCGGAGCTTTCCATCAATCATTGGTGGGAAAGATGCTTCTGGTCCCCTTCGGCTGCCACTCGGGCATTCGCGTCCCCCATATTCGTGGGGTGATACCAGTACAGAGGATAAAACGTGGATCCCCAGGAATTCAGCCTTTAGGCTATATTCCAGGTTGTGGGGATCAGAGCAGTTTGAATGTCTTTGCTTTACTTTGTCTTGTCCTTCATCGGAGCCGTTGAATGCCAATATTCGCGCCGAGAATGTGGCCGGCTAGGGGCTCATCGCAAACAGGTTAGAGGCCGGTGGCTGGATGTATATGCCTCGAGCCTCGACAGTTTCAGAGGGACCGTTCTCCCCGGATTTCACCATGCTCAAGCCATGTTGAATGGCATACACTGTGCTGGAGACAACAGGGAAGTTTCGGCATAATTTCCAGCTGGGGCCCCTCAGACCACGGCGTTTTGTTGGCTCCCCGGCTCCACCGGGCACTGCACGGCAGGACATTTACCACAGTGACCGTAACCCAAGACAGTAGCAGGGCAGAAAGATGGAGACGCGATGTTGGTCACGGGATGACCAAGGCTGGCCAAGGCTGGCGTCACTAGGCCAGATCGGGCAATAGCGCACTCCGAACATGCCGAGGTTTCACAACTCAGGGACGAAGACTGCGCACGAGCTCGAGCGGGAAAAGGGGGCTGAAGCATTGTGGGAGTTGTACCACGACAACATTGCGCAATACCAGGACATGCATCACGGGTCCGTCTATAGCGGATCGCATGTATTTTGCTCGGCTAAATTGTAAGGACGATGGGTACAGAAATTTGGTAGAAGGAAGAAAGGGCCATCATCTAGATCGCTCGATATTGTCTATTATTTCCGAATCTGTTGTCTTGATGGTTCACGGCAGACCAGTGCAGGTCAATATAGCTGAAACAATGATCTTCTATATGTCTGGAATCTCACGGCCACTACATCTATTACAGTGAGCGCAGACGAAACAGTCTGGCAGAGACGACAGCAGGGAACTGGACGTCCAAAGTGCCTTCCTTTCCGTTCCAGCTGGCCTGGGTCTCAAACTGTGCTGGATAGAGCAGCTCCACACTGACGTCCGATGCCTCCTTCAGGGGGGCAATCGGCAGCGAAAGCTTCTGTGAGCCCTTCAGGTGCCACACGGCAAGCAGAACGTCACCCTTGGTCGTGGTAAGTCCTAACGAGTGCCAGTCATCTTCCCATTTCGGCAAACCAATTGGCCAGAAGGGAAGTGCCTCAGCAAGCTGGCCACGGATGTCTTTGTACACATTCATTCCCGTGGTGATAAGGTCCAGCTGTGAAGGGGATAACAAGTCGAGTCTGCCGCTCAAATGGATCCGGCCGAGAAGACTGTTGACCACGGTCAAGGCATTGGTCTCATCGTCCCAGACGGGCTGAGGATATGCCCATACGGCACTTTGTTCGGGGGTCACAGCCGTGGGGGCAGCCGCAGCAATGGATCCATACCGAACAGGATCTTGCTGGTCGCTGGTGGACTGTAGCGAGTGTGTACCAAGCATGGCGTAGTCCAGACGCTGCGCACCGGACGAACAGCTCTCGATCACCAGGTCTGGGTGTCGGTCATACAGCCCGTTGACCCAGGACAGGTATGCTCGCTGGTGGCCAAGGTGGGCGTCACCGGTACTGAAGGCGTTGGCATCTGTGCCCTGGACGACCTCGATGTTGTAGTCAAACTTGAAGTATCCGACGCCATAGTTCAACACGAGATTGTCAACCACCTTATCCAGTCTTTCACGCACCGCTGAATGACGGAAGTCGAGCTGGTATCGGCCTTTCTCCACCACTCTGCGTCCGTTTTCCTGGAAAAAGGCATCCTCTGGCAATTGGTGGGCGACGACACTGCGAACTCCAATCACTTCAGGTTCAAGCCAAACTCCGGGGATCATGTTATGCGCCCTAATGTTGTCCAAAAGCTTCTTGAAGCCTGAGGGGAATCGGACTTTGGAAGGCTCCCACAAGCCCACGTCGTCCCACCAGCTGTTGTCGTCGGAGTACCAGCCTGCGTCAATGACAAAGAATTCAGAGCCGGCCTTCCGAGCTGGTTCAATCAACGCAGTCACCTTGTTTTCATCTGGATCTCCCATCAAGCAGTTCATGTAATCGTTGAAGATCAATCCAAGAGTCTCGTTGTCCTTGTGTTTTCTTCGCATGCTGCGTCGATACTGGGTCAGCGCCGAGAAGGCTTTGTCTTGATTGCCCTCCACGACGGTGACTGCCGCAGGAACACTTGTGAATGAAGCTCCCGGACTCAGCTTGTGCTTGAAATCGTGGTCGGTGCCTCTTGGTCCACTGGCGGCGAGATAGAGCTGATCATAATAGTCTCCCAACTCCCATTTCCACGATCCATTGTTTTCGATCTGCCACAGCCAGGTCTGCTTGCCGTCCTTGCGCTTCAGCATCCCCATCGGCAAATGGCCCGCTGTCGAAAAGCTACCGCGGTTCCCAATGGAGTATGAGGCCAGAGTTGCAATGTTCTGGCCAAACTCAAGGACACCATAGTCATCAAGCCCAACGCTCGACAAGCTGCTGTCATGCCATTGAGCCTCTCGAAACCATTGGTTGTTGGCGGACGAGAGGACATATTCCTCCCAGTACTTTTTGGCACTGGTGGTCAGACCGCTAATCGCAATAGAGGCCACTTGGGACACGATGATGTCCTCCTGGGACTCGTTTTCCAGCGTGACAGTCGACCTGACCACTGGAATCTCCGGATAGACGGACAAGTTGGCTATAGCGGTGAGACCGGTTTCTTTGTCATGAGCCTTGATTTTGAGAGTCTTCAGGCCACCGCTTTCGCCTTCTTGGTGGCTTTGGTACTTGAGTCGATCTGAAGCATAGCTTCCGATCATCGACTGGGAGCTCTTATGGCTTCTGTTTCCCTCGCCTACCAAGCGAACGGCAAACAAAGGCACAGCATATTCAGCTTCTTGGGCAGAGGTTTCCTGGCCTAGTGTAGGCCCAAGTGCTTTGATCCGTGGGAGTTCATCTTCTCCAACCTGCACAACGACCTCGATTGGCCCTGGACGCCAGACTATATCCTTTGTACCGGCCATATTTCCCAGTTTGTTAAAAGAGTATACTTCCAAAGTCCTGTTTTCTGGATGGAATGAACAGGTAATGAAATTTGGTCTAGCTGATCCGGGGGAAAATACCCCTTTTTTCAATGCCGACACTTTTGAGCGAGCAACCCATCTGACCAAATATCATGTACCATTATCCATAATACAATATCCATATACCCCAACCGAGGTTGAAAGTTGCGGACATTATGGTGTGCGATTGGTGGAAAACAGCGGGTAGTGGTTGACAGTACAATAAAACCAGGATGTGGAGATGGCAGCCGCCCTTTAACCCCTTTATGCCCTAGCCTTATGGGTCGCCCAAAGTCAGACGACGCCGAAGAGCTTTCTCACCACCCCATGTCACCCCGTGGCTAAATACAATAATGTCCAGAGTAAACGTGCCGTCGTGGGCGGCGGGGGCCCTGAAAACGTCCCCGGGCCAGCAACGACCGGTTGAGCACTTGTTGTTGTCCCTCCACGGGGGTTCCTATCTGCCATCCTTTTTATCCTGAACCCGCGCGCGGCTGTTTTCCACCACTCAGCAACTGGGACATATGCACTTACCATATGTTAACCCACAATCCGGGAGACCGTTGCTGCAGCATTTCCTCACACGACACTCCCGACTATGCGGTTGAGGAGAGATGAGGCCTGCAAATGCATGCAAGTCATGCCGGTAAGCGGTTCTCCCCCTTACCCACATGTCCGGTGGCACCTGCTAGGCGCCTGATAATATTGGAACACGAGACTGGAACTTGCGGCGTGGTTGTCAAAAGAGACGACTTCTTGTCCTGTCGACAGCTGGGTGCTGGTGTCGAACGAGGCTATGGCATAGATGTCCATCAGCTGACTTGGGCCTCCTTTTGCCTGGGCAATACAGGTTCCATCGAAGAAAGTGTCGAGTCAGGAATCCCGACGAGCCATGCCAACGATGCATTGATTTCAACCTTGTATGCAGCAACGTCGACTCTTCTCCTTCGCAGAGACAGTCGGTCCCTGTGAAGAGACCGTTGCCTGCGTTGCGAGCCCGACGAACACCCTCGTCGTCAGAACCTCCTCCCCCTGCCACTCCGGCCGCAACAGACTATGGCAGTGGATTTATCGAGGACAACAAAACTCACCATCTTCAGAACAACAGCAATGATGCGCTGTTCAAGTCGGCAGAACTCCAGAAGGAACTGGTGCAGCTGTACTTTGCCCATATCCACGACAAGCACCACTCTCTGTTCCACGAGCCTACCACAAGATCGCAAGTGCAGGATGGCAGCTTGCCGAAAGTGCTATTGTATGGAATGATGGCCTTGGGAGCAAGGTACGTACGTATGCACAAAGTAGTGCGTCCTCTGGCGGACGATGGACGAATGCATTCGAGCAGCCAAACGCCATTGCATCTTACCATGAATCAGAAGCACAATTTCTGACTTGTACGCACGTTTTCTCTCGACATTGACAGATTCTCCAATGCACCCTCGCTGGCTTTTATGGACCGCCGCGTTCGTGGAGCATCCGCCGCCCAACGAGCAATGGCCCTGTTCGACATGACAGACACGTCTGTGACGACGATCCAAGCAAGTGTTCTGCTTGGCACGATATGTTTTGCCGAGTCCAAAACTGAAGCCGAAGCCATGTACTACGCTGTAGCGAACCGGCTCGCACAGGTTTTGAATCTGGCACATCGGGAGGCGGACAATGAAACCGAGAGACAGGTCAACTTGAGGAGTGAGTAAATGTTAACTGCTAAGAAAGGAGGATACTGTGGCCATTCTCTTCTATTTGAGTTCTGCCATCCCCAGTGAAGAAAGGTTCTTCCGATACGGACATCGACTAACTGTTGTACTATGTTGTCTAATAGTATGGTGGACCCTATACATGATCGACATATGGTGTTCAACAGGCCTGCACCTCCCACGCCAGCTTCAGACCACTGACATCAGCTTCATCGAGTTGCCCGTCAACGAAGCCCTCTTTCTGGGGCTGGAGCCGCGAAGCCTACAGTCGGGCACGGCAAGCAGTGGGATCTGGGCGGAGATGGTCAAGCTTGCACACATCTGGGTGGACATATTCGACCTCAACCAAAGCGTGATTTTGCATCACGAGACCAAGGATCCCGCGGCGCTCGAAGAAGCCGTTGAAACGCTATTGAGGCGACTCGAGATGTGGTCCGCGTCTCTACCATTACACCTGCGCAAGACCCGCTCCAATCTCGAGTACTACACTTCCGTCGGACTGGGGTCCGCGTTTGCAGCGCTTCATCTAGGATATCATTACTACACGGAAGTGCTGTGTTATCAGTTTCTGGCCGAAGACGAAGGTCAGGGTCATCAACAGTGGCATCACTCTCAACATCAACATCCTTGGCCTGACTCTGACGAACCACAAACACCACAATACTCCACAACATCGCCATCCTATCCTCCTCAAACAAGCAGAACCAGCACCCGTCACGAATACGCCGAGAAATGCAAAGACCACGCCCGCCACTTCTGCGACCTGCTATATACATGCCAACAACTCCCGTCCGCCGAATGTTTGTACATTATGGTGGGCCATATGCTCGTCGTCACGTCGACGGTGTACATCCACACATTGGTGTTTAGCGAGCGCGAGGACGAGATCGCCGTCGCCCGCACCCGGCTCGAACGCAACTTCCAGACCCTCATGCATCTACAGTCTTACTGGGTCAAGTTGGACGTGTCGCTGTCGCGGTTGCGGGCGTTCCACAACGCCTGCAAGGTCTCGGCCGAGCACTCGTTCGCCATGGACAAGTGGATGCTATGTTTCCTGCACGAGCACGGCCTCTCCCTGCCTGAGCGTCACATGGACTTGAACCTGGATCCTCGTGCCCATTTCCCACCAACCTCATGGAAGACGGAGCGGAATAGGAGCGCTTCGGCGGAATTGACTTTGCAAGATTGGTATTCCCAGACTTTTAGCCAGAACCAGCACCGGACTCAGGACCAGAGTCAAAGTCAGAACCAAAACCAACCTGAACAGCCACCACCCCATCCGCAACCGCAACCACAGGACCAGGCTCAGGATGTCTAGTATGGCAATCAAGGGTGGTCTTCCCACCCCACTTCACTCTACATGGTGCTCGATGTGAGCATTCAGTATATCAGTATATATGTACCAGTATCTCGCCCAGTAAACGTTCCAACAACAGTCACCGAAAATTCGCCTCAAATCAACGCCTTTCGGGACACCAGACCGGCCATTTATTGCAGTGGTGCTTTGGTTGTGAGGCTTGACCCTGTAATGGATAAGGTATCCTTCTTCGTACACTATATAATTCGTCATCGAGGCCTTCCCGCTCGCCAACTCGTCCTTAAAAGTCTCTGCCCTCTGCTTCAAGTTATCAGGGCCATACTCTAGGGTCGTTTCAAGTTTGTCCTGAACCAGCTCGAAAAAGACGAAGCGTGCCCGCGCATTAGCCTCAAGGTCATTCGATAAGAATGTCCTGGATAAAACCAGTTATATCTGACACTGACCCGAGGGCGGCGAAGGGGGGACAAGCGAGACCAGAACAGTATGAGAACGGCAATAGTGTGATGATATATATTGGGCTTCGCATTTCATGCACCGTTGTTCATACTACACATTCAACTGATGATGACCTCCTCGTGTAAGACCCTTTCCACTTCTTGCTGCCTTTCCACCTTGCATTGCAGCATCGCAGAGGGTGGCTTATGTTCATGTACGTAACCCGTACCCTAAGACTTCGATAATTCCTCCACAGGACGATTCTGGCCAGGATCACCCATGACCTGATCAACCTACTCTCAACGTTGATGTGCGGCGTGTTCCAAAGTCTTGACATATCTCACAAACGCCTTCTTATGCACCATGCCCCGAAACTCCCCCTCATTCAAAACGCATATGTACCTCAACCCAAGCTTCACAAAACATTGATAAACCAGGTTCATTGGCGAATGCATGTCTAACGCGACAGGCGCAGGGTCGATGTAAGGCGTCAGATCGACCGAGTTCGTATTAGGTGCCTCGCCATCTGATTCCCGCCCAGAATCATATCCGGCCTCATCAAATGCTTCCCAGTATCGCTGGTGGCTGCCGTGGCCGTGATTAGAGGTTGACAAGAGACACAACGCATTGTCCTCGTCCTCAATCCTGTCGAGCGCAAATTCCAGGTCTGGAGCAGGGATGAGACCGACGAGGATCTTATCGCGGAGGATAGGCAAACCACCGTCAAGCTCGCCCAGGTATTGCAAGCGACGGAGTTTGGCACGTAGATTACTGGCCTTGACGAGAGGAGATAAGCTGATGTCGATGACCTTGTCACGTCGAAACCGGGGTGTAATGTCCCCGAGTTCTGAGTCAAAGACGGGACTTCCCTTGTTATCCAGGAAGGGATATGAGTTCATGTCCGTTAGAAGATCATAGATGCTCAATGGCTCGACGGCATCCGCTGTCCACTTGGCACAGAGTACGCCCAAAGAGAAAGGTAGTACATGATCCAAGCTCCCTGTTAATTCGAAGAGTATGACAGCCAGGGTAACAGAGAGCCGTGTGACACCGCACATGACGGCACCTGCAGCAACCAAGGCATACACTCCAGGAGTTACACAAGCCTCGATGTCATCGGACGCTTGACATTCGCTCCATAAGAATGAGCCAGGATATGTCAGCACAAGATATTGAGTCAAGTGCCCTACCATGCGACCCATCAAGCCACCGATGACCATGGAAGGCACATAGATGCCTGCAGGCACCTTTAGTCCAAAGGTGATGATGGTGAGGATATATTTGACGACGAATGCCCAGCCCAAGTATCCAATAACCGACAAAACCTCATCTTTCTTTGGGCACAATCCGGTGTTAGTATTCTGATTGCAGGGACTGGCCAATTCAAACAAAAGCTCGCTGACAGAAAGCCGGGTGTACCGATTCCAGAAGCCAACGACTCCAGTGACGAGTGCAACCAAGAGAACCTCCAACATAGGATGGCTTTTGACGACTGGTATCCGGCGGAAAGTCGTTGCCCAGAAGCGAGACGCTTTGATGAAGAGTGCTCCGACGAGGCCTCCAGCAACACCTAGAATCACAAAGCTAAACAGTTCGAAATACCGCCAGTCTGAAAAGTATCGAACCTCAAAAAGGACAATCTTGTTCGTGCCGTACGGATTGAGGAATTTCAAGGATAATGCCGCCACGATACAACAACAAAATGTGCGAAATAACGTCTTCGGAGGAAAATAGTAGCTCACTTCTTCCGAGCTGAAAAGGACACCGCCTAGAGGTGAACCAAATGCGACTGCAACACCACTTGCGGCACTTGCTGATAGCACTTCCCTCCTCTTCGCATCATTGAAGTCGTATTTGGAAAACAGACGACAGGCAATGTTGCCGACGCAAGTGGCAATATGGACATATGGACCTTCTTTGCCTAGACTCATGCCAGATGCCACACTCAGAATGAGACCCACCGTCTTCAAGACAAGGACTCTGAGGCCGAGGTAACCGTGCAGGACGAAGCCGCTCAAGATGACTCGAACTTCAGCGACACCGCTTCCAGCAGCCGCATAATAGACGCTTGAGGGGTGCGAGTCGGGGCCGTTGATGGCCTGGTTGCCACCAGGCTTATCCTCCTCCGTATTTTCGTTTTCATCTCTTCTCGCAGCGCCCAGATCCTCATCCAGAGTAGAGGCAATATTTGACGGGACCTCTGTCTTGGAGAACAAGGTTATATAACAAGACAAGCCCGCCAGAACCATGGATCCAGCGATGAATGCGATGTAGTCAATCGAAGTCTCCTCTACCCCAGATGGATGAATAAGTTGCGACCACGTCCTCCAACCCTCACAATCTTCTCTGCCCGAGCAGCAGCTTGAGCGTCCTTGATACCAGGCGGTCCGACAAATGCCTCGTTTGATGTCGAATATAGCAGACTCAGTCACGTCGACAAAGTACGCAATGCTTGCGGTGATGACGCCAATGAGCACCATCAGTATCCATCCTTGCGTCGAGTCGAAGAACCGCCACAGGCGTCCTCGGAAGCCCCTCATCTTCCTGAGTTCGAGTACTCGATATCCATCGGCGATGCTGTCGTGGACCCAATCGGTTGAGGTAAACTGATCGTACCATAGTCGGTCGTCCTTCGAGAGTGAACCCACGAGGGACTGCTGCATTTTCGGTGTCCGGAGTCCGGAACTTCGCATCCACACGGGACTGCTCGCTCCCGATGGTCGAACGCTACAGTATCTTCGCCTACGCAGACTTCCGCTGGAGCTATTCACCCTAGATAGTTGTCTTGCCCTGGCATCCTCCAGGCCGTCCTCTGTGTACCTGCGTATCGAGGCATCACTCTCCCCAAGCAGCCCTGTCGTCTCCGTAGGTCCGGACGGGAGGTTCAAGGAAGGCGGCATTCTTGCCCTTACTTCGCTCGTAGAAAGCAAAGGCGACTCGGGTCTCCGCATTGTTGACGGCGACGGAGGGTGAGACGTATGCTGGTGCGACGAATGCTGAAGGTCATCGTGATCACTAGGATCTTGAAAAGACACGTAAGATTTCGGCATCTTGACTGTGGTTTCGTTTGGGAGTACGAGAGACGGACACAACACGAGCAAGCGACAGGCAGACCGAAAGCCAGCAGCCGCGCCTCTCTATAGGCAGCCGGCGCCTTCCAGTGGTATTATCATCTGGCTCCTGACTGGAAAGGCGGCAGAGTGCAGTGATATGAGGAGCAAGGCACAAGGAGATAGAGCTTGTTCTAGAAGTCAAGTGTCAGCATTGGACCGAATGACTTTCCAGGAACGTGATGCCTCCCAGGTCTGAGGATTCAGCATACACAAGGACTCCTTTCGAGCTGGCAGATCAACGAGAGGGTGTGCTGTCTCGCTCGCAGAGGATCATCTGAACTGACAGGATGGTTTGATCCGTCATCATCTGACCGAGCCGGGCAAGTAAGAGGGAGGGTTTGGCGTGTGTCGGAGAAGTCACTCTGTTTGCGAGTGTGGGAAAAGGAGGACCGAGTCACGCTGATCCGTCACTGGAATGCCCCGCCAGACCGCCTGAGGCGCTTCCGCAAACGATGCCTCGCCTGGTAATTGCGCATCGCAGCTTCACTGGCGATGTGGAGAGCAGACGGTCTACGCTGGAAGAGAGACGAATCTCGAGGAGGGACAACATGTTAGCGATGTGTTCGGCCGGAAGCCATCAGGATCAAAACGCAGCTTGTTAGTGGTGCTGGTGAAGAAACACCCGAAAGGCATCCGTTAGGTCGCCTGCAAATCCAGGTGCTACTGTATGTGTGACGATGGCTTGCAGATGGCAGATGGAATTTCACCAGGCGACGGCACTGGCATATGCAGCCACCAAAGACGAAACACCACGATTCGTTCGATTCGACGCGTCTGCCAGATGCAGTCTTCGGCTACTGGCGCTGGAGGCTGCCACTGAGATGTCTCTCTCGCCAGTGTCCAGTGAGTTTGTGCGCCCTTGCTGAGGAAACCCAAACAAAGCGGGCCCTGCGCGCTGCCAGATCCCAGCACATATGCCCGACGCGGCATTGTATAGTAGTAGGCATGCACCTGGTAGGTATGCTCCTGCACGTTCCCTCATAGAATTGGAAACTGTCTCGCCAGCCTTGTTCGTTTTCAAAAGGGGTCCTCCTCCAGCAGTTTCTCTCGTCTATCGTCTCTCGCCAGATATCCGCAAGCGAGCAATGTCTCACTCACCCGACCTCGCTGCCTCCTCACGGTCCATGGCCCCTCGTTCGAAAACGTATCCTCAGTTCATTCTATTTGGGGATAGCATTACTCAAGGCGCGAGTCATGTCTTCCAGTCATCTCTGCAAGACTGGTATATGAGACGGGTGGACGTCCTCAATCGAGGATTCAGCGGATATACAGCCCCTGCCGGCTACGACAACCTCCTCCAGTTCTTTCCACCTGTCCTGCCTTCCTCCTGCTTTCCCCGGGTCCAATTGATGACCATCTTCTTCGGTGCGAACGATGCGTGTCTTCCAGGCAATCCACAACATGTTCCAATCGAGCAATACAAGCAGTCTTTGAGAGATATTGTGAACTTTGAGGGGGTCAAGCTCCATGATACGAAAATCATCCTTATTGTGCCAGCCCCGGTCGACGAGTGGCAGCTGGCCACCGGCGAAAGAAAAGCCTCAACCACGGCCAAATACGCGGCTGCCTGTCGAGAGGTGGGACAAGAGCTGGCTCTCCCAGTCCTCGATCTTTGGACCATCTTCATGCTCAAGGCGGGTTGGACAGAAGGCTCAACAGATCCCTTGATCGGGAGCAAGGCTGCGCCGAAGAACAAGGTCTTCGAAGAGCTGTTGTCGGATGGATTACATTTCACGCCTACTGCATATCAGCTTGTTTTTGATGAACTGGTTAAACTCATTCACGAAAAGTTACCGGATCAGCTGCCGGAGAATCTGCCGTCTATATTTCCAGACTGGAGGGCTAAGTTGGGCGTCGTAACATAAACATGATCTACTAGTAGAGCGATTGAACGAACAGTTTGTACTACAATAGAGGATAGTCCTGTTTATGAAAGAGAATGGAATTTCAAGTCTAGTTACACGTTTGCGCCGCGGACTCGGAGGCCTAGCCAGCACCCGGCCTGAGTTTGCTGCCGGGGCGCTGATACCGAGAGGAAGGAATGACCAGAGTGAACTTCAACAATGAGCATGGTTGCCAGAGAGTGGAGTTTGAAGATTGGGTTGCTCTGTCATACCGAAACATGACAGAGTACCATCAAGTGAGACGAGCAGTAGACAAGTCTATTCTTCACCACTCTCGTCTTCACTCTCGTCATCGCTCTCAGCCTCGTCGAGCCATTGCAAGAATTTCTCGGCAGCCTGGCGAACCTTTCGGCTGGTGGCAATGTCGACGTATTTCCTGCTGGACTTGCCGCCCCATGCCTTGGCCACTTCCTCGCTCAGAAGGTCGTTCTGGTAGTACCCCATAAGAATCGCTGGCACTTGAGAGATCAGCTCAGGATGATCGTTGCCAATGAATCGCTCAGTGCCTCCAAGGAAAGCCCTCATGTGTTTCTCGGACTCGCCGATCATGGCTCTGAGCATCTCGGCACGGGCAGGAATCTGCTTGACAATGTTCTCGTCAAAAATGGTCTGAGCCAGAACAGTCAATGTCTTGTGCTTGGTCTCAATGCCCAATTCTTTGGCCTTCTTGTAGATTTCAACATCCTCGACTTTGTTGACCGATCCTCTGGCTTTAGTTTCATCGATGATCCATGTCCCAAGCTGGTCGTAGGCGCTGATGCCACCCTCCTCACCCTCTTCGTCCTCGTCGAAAGCGAGAGAGCGCTTCAGGTCGGTAGGCAGCTCTTTGGCACGAGCGGCAATGGCTTCGGCCGAGGTGTCGATAGCCCATTCATCATCCTTGATGTCGCCATTAGTTTTCGCTGCGATGCGGGTGGCTTCGGCGGTGATCTGCTTAGTGAATTCGTCGTCGCTACCAGCAGCCAGCTCAAGGTCGCCCTCTTCGGCATCACCCTTGTCGGAGTTGGAGTCGTGCGGACTGGCACCGTTGACAGAGCCGTTTTCTTGACTCTCAGCCTTTGCCCGTTCACGACGCGTCAGCTTCTCCTTCTTGGTTTTCTTTCCACCCTTCGGTTCGTTCTTGAGGATGAATCCGCTCAATTTGTGGCGCACATCGACTTCAGTGCGTTGACCGCAAGCCTTGCAGTCTAACAAGATTCGACCGTCCTTGACATTGATGGTGGTCTCGGGGTTCTTGCAGGACTTGCACAAGACGAACTTGGAGATGAAGCCATCCAAGGAGTCTTGCAGCTTGCTTGATTCGTGTGCTCCATTGATGATCCAGCGATCGTCCTTGGGGTTGGTGTTTGTCTGAGCTCCAAGCTCGAAACCGAAGTACTTGATCACATAGGCGGGAGGACGGGCCAAGGAGGCAGATACACTTGGGAGATTGGCGACGACGGTCCTAGTCACAGTTAGTTTGACACGCAACAGTGGTTAGATGAACGTCAGTTGAGCCTTACTTGATCCCGTTTCCTTTGCCTTCAATCTTGGACTGCAAGCGTTCCATCTTGTAACGGTAGAAGGGATCGGTGACATCCCGGCGGATATTGATGGTTGCCATTTTGAAGGATGTTGATGAATTTTCCTAAAAAGGTGCTTGACTCAAGAGCCAGTTTTTTGTCTTAATGTTGTGATTGGGTGTGAGGAGTTGAAGAGGACGCGATTCTCTCAAGGCGACCAGACATGCGTGGATATTACCACCGGGTTGTAAGATTGAACATGAAGAATAGGAATTGTGTTCGGCTGATCAACCATATGATGACCTTGTAGGACTACAAGGATGTCTGCTTGCCGGAAATATGTCCAGCTTCTGCTTGGTTTTGGTTTTGGAGGAGTGAAAATATGCCCGATACATGAACAATCGAGACTGCGTTTGACCAAGAACGTGGGTTCTGTAATAGGTGAAGTGGAAACCAGCGTTAGGTGCGAGGACGCAAAGCTGTGCTGGCAAGCAGCGTACGCCGTTGACTGATAGACGAGGACTGGATTGCGATGAGGATGAGAATGCCTGGTGAACAGGAGAATTCTCAAGTGGGTGAAAGTGATGATGGTGGGAGAAAGAAGGAGCCGGAAAGAGGCGAGAAACAAAATGTGAGAGGGAGGATTTGGTCCGAGTAGAGCAGAGCAAAGCAACAAACTGCGCAAACAAGGCGGCGCTGCGGCTGTGCGGCCGAGTGACTCGGGCTACTAGTACTACGACTAGCAGCAGCGGAGACGGCCGAGAACTTGAACTGCCACTGCCAGTGAGGCAAAGCCGGAAAGATGCATAATAAAATTTTTTTGATCGCTTTCAAGTTGCCGTTGGAGGTCGGCCAACTTGAACTTGAATCGCGGAATCGACAGGTGGGGGTAGGCGGGAGACTGTGATTAGATTAACTATAGGTACCTTACCTACTAGTAGGGGACCTTAGGTGAGCCAGGCGCCCGGCATCCTCTATCTGTGATTGTTCTGGGGGCGGTGGGGGGTGCGAGGCTTTTTTGCTTTAACTGTGCTTGCCCGGACCCTACCTGAGGGCTGCCTATGCCAGCGCCTGCCACTCCAGCAAAGCCGGAGGTCAGGCACTGCCTGTGCCGCCAGCGGGCATGCTGCCCCTCTGCATTGTTATTTGTTGTCTTGCAAGCTCGCCCTGTGTGTCTGGCATCCCTGGCCCGCGGCGATTGTTGACACACCTTGACCATGGATGCCTAGGTGACTTGTGACACCAAACATTTCTCTCTCAGGGCACAGAACATGCATTCACCACGGTAAGTCGATCGAATGCTCGCAGTGATGCTGACAGCGGGAGATCCCATGAGTACCTAAGGTGGACGGTCAGCACCTGATCTGACCAGCATCCACCTTCCCTCGAACGCTTTACCCGTAACAGCAATCTCCAACTGGCGAGATGACACAATACTTTATGCTGGGCCTTTTGTTCTCTGTCCTACCAAACATAGCATCATCCTTGGTGTCCCATTCGACAAGACGGACATATCCAGCTTGAGTCATTCGTAGTCGCCTTGAACAAAGCAGGCTGTTGTTCTTCTTCTTCGCCAACAGCAAACAGAAGAGGAAGAAGAATGCCGTGAATTGAAGCGCAGGGAGTCTGATTTTCTACAAGCAGCGAAGTCTGGAACGTGAGGAGAGGAATCCCTCGGAAACAAGATGGCGCAAAAAAGAACAACAATCGACTGGTCACTGTACCTAGTGACGGACTCCACGCCAGCAATCCTCGGCGACAAGGATATTGTCAAGGTAGTTGAACAAGCCATCCAAGGTGGTGTTACGGTGGTCCAGTATCGCGACAAACATGCAGACACGGGAGTAATGGTCGATACCGCCTCAAAAATCCATTCCATCACTCGCAAATACAATGTTCCCTTACTGATCAACGACCGATTCGATGTGTGCCAGGCTGTGGGCGCCGAAGGCGTGCATATAGGTCAAGACGACATGGAATGCGTTGAAGCGCGGAGGATCCTAGGCCCCGATGCCATCATAGGGGTCACAGCCTCGTCAGTCATCGAAGCACAGAAGGCCATCGACGATGGGGCTGACTACCTCGGAATCGGCACAACATTTGCAACGCCCACAAAGACAGATACCAAATCTATCATCGGCACACGGGGGCTTCAGGAAATCCTTGCGTCTTGCTCAACCGGAACAGAAAAGTCCATCCCGTGCGTTGCCATTGGCAGCATTAACGCCTCCAATGTTCAGCGTGTCCTACACCAGTCCGCCCATGGCTCCAACCGCCTCAATGGAGTAGCGGTAGTAAGTGCCATAATGGCATCCACGGATCCCCAAGCCTCAGCCAGATCGTTGCTCGAATTGATCAAGGCCACCCCAGCAAAGTACTACGCTGCGATTCCGCCGCAAGCCACACTGGTGACTAATCTCGACAAACTGGTCGCGCAAGTCCCTGGCATTATCCAATCCCATGTATCGTCCTCCGTGCTTTGCCACAACATGACCAACACCGTTGTGCAGAACTTTGCGGCCAACGTGTGCCTCGCGACCGGCGCATCACCTATCATGTCTGAGAACGGGGTGGAGGCTCCAGACCTGGCTCGCCTGGGCGGCGCGCTCGTCATCAACATGGGCACGGCTACCCCGGCGAAAATGGAGGCCTTCACCGCAGGCATGAGAGCATACAATGCCGTTGGGGCATCTGTTCTTTTCGACCCTGTAGGTGGTGGCGCAACTGCGAGCCGTCGGAATGCCGTTAAGACGCTTCTTGCGGCTGGGTTCTTCAGCGTCATCAAGGGCAACGAACGTGAAATAGGCGCCGTGGCCGGCACGTCTACGACACAGCAACGGGGTGTGGATTCCGGACCCTCGGCTTCTACAGCAGAAGAAAAGGCCAACCTGGTCAAGGACATCGCCCTCAGGGAACATTGCATCGTGCTTATGACGGGGAAGACGGACTATCTCTCAGACGGCGTGCGGACCGTTGCCATCAACAACGGCTCTCGGTGGCTAGGCAATATCACTGGCTCAGGTTGTGCCTTGGGCTCGATCATCGCCAGTTACGTCGCAGTGCATCCGCAAGACAAATTCTTGGCGGCTCTGGCTGGGATCTTGCATTATGAAATCGCCGCGGAAAGAGCAGAGGCTCGACAGGACTGTAAGGGTCCCGGGAGCTTCATCCCGGCATTCCTGGACGAGTTATACCTATTGGGCGAAGATATCAAAGAAGGCACGGGCATCGGCGGTCATGGCGAATTCGCAAGGCATGTCCGAGTCGAAATGCTCACGTCTGCATGAGGACGAGACAACACCACAATGTGGCATTAGTACACTGATGTAAGTTATCCTTGCATATAGATGTGGGAAAATCAAATGATGAAAATACCTTTACAAAAGCTAGGTCTGCCGTTCTGCTCGTCTTCCTCCCCTGCCTGGCCCTACACTTGTGGCCTCGTGACTTCGTCTAAACAATGGCATTTTCCCTCTGCACAGGGTCGGATGTCTTGCTCGATATCGAGCCTGACCCACCGCTTCCATTGTGACCTGTTGTCTGTGGAAATATTCGGCTGCTGTTCCTTCACACCCCGCAGGGCTGTGGCCAGCAGAAAATCCTCGTCGTATGCGACCAGTTCAATATCAACATCCTCTACCTCCCGCCCGTACAGGAGCGTCTTCACCCCTCGCTCAGCCTTTTCCGGCGGTGTCCATTTGCCAACTTCATCTTCCCGCGAAAGTGTATTTGACGATAGGTGAACATTGGGTTTGTGGTCATTGTTGACAGTCGTTTGATGTTTTGATACTCCTTTCGAATCTGAACTTGTGGGGTTTGGTGACCGTGACAAAGGACGAGCAGGAGTAGACGTCTGATTCCAGCTTCTCCGGGGCATGCCAGTCGGCGATGGCGGAGCCACAACGTTCATGAACTCGAGTTTCTGCAGCCAGCTCGCCAGCAGTCCTTCGCCGACCATTTTGATATATGCCTCCTTGAGGGCCCAGTAGGCATAAAACCGACGGAGCTTCAGGTGAATGAGCTTCGCCTCTCGTGACGAACCCGGTTCAGCTGCTCCTGTGCCGTAGCTGTTGCCATTCGGTGCAGTGTCAGATGAGGACGTAGTGTCGCTGTCCCAGTAGTCCCCTTCCTCGCGCTCCACGACAGGAACGTGGATGGGCGCATGTCGCATGGTCCAGCGCTCCCTCTCCGAGAACATCTCGGCGAAAATGTCCACCCACTCGTCGAACTGGGCTTGCGTCGTCATATCTTGTGGCGTCCGTCTGTCTTCGTTTGTGCAGGCGATGTCCACCCCGAGCCTGATCTCATCGGCTGCGAGAATGGGTGTGCGGTGACCGGTCAAATCCAGTTGGTCAAGAGCCTTGTTGATCGTAGAAGAGTCACTATGAGTATGTGGAGTCGGGAGTTGAGCCCGGGGCGTGCTGCAGCCAATGATGGCGACAAGGCCAGCTTGATGCGAAACATTGAATTCTAGCCCTCCGATCTTGCTACACGTTTCCTCGGGAAGCTCGTACTCTTCTAGAGGCACCCAATATGGCCGCCGATGGGGGCCCGGAGTCCTCAAAACCTGTACTTTGGACCATGGGATTTTCGCTCGTCGGTGGATGAAGGTGTATTTCAGCAGAGCGCTTGCGAGGGACATATACCGGTCTGACGGGCGGATGAAGCGTGTGACGGCCTCTTGATCAGGGTATTGTAGAGTCGCTAACAAGGGCAGACTTTGAGTCGATTTTGTGTCCAGTGTCGACAGCACTAGTTGACGTGTGTCGATGTAGTACCGGTCAATAGTGGTGGTGTATTCTGGCGGTGATCGTACAGCCATTTCGTCGGGTTGTGGCATGTTCTGTGACCGTGGACGACAAGCAAAATGCTGGGATAATGGTCACTGACGGCTCGCCCCCCGGGATATAACTCCTCCAGGACAACGTGGGCAACTGATATAAGGCCGAAGCCTTCCTGTTCGGGCCCTGAAGCAATTCACCTTGCGAATTGTCCTTGGGAATTGCCCGAGGCCTTGCAATAGACAAATGTCTCTTTAGTCACTTTAGGGCTTCTCCTCTTCACTCCGGGAGCTCTTGAGCCTCACGAAAGCGTGACCAAGGAGCAAAAGGGCGTTACAACGGGTCGTGGTATCCAGTTTTCCTCGCCAACAGATTCATAGGTTACGGATGTCTTGAGAGCAGAACATGGTAGAAGAGAAAGTACTACTATGTAGTAGTAACGTCGATGTGACTTAATTTAGAACAGCGAAGATCCCGCGCTGTCGGTGGTTCGATAAAAGAAGGCTTTGGTAGAGTTCCACGAGGCTGAGAGCGAGGGTGTGCCTGGTTGGCCTGAGCGGCTGCTGATGCATCATGACTTCAGGCTGCCAGTGAGGAGATACATTTCGGACATGCGCAACTTCATTTGTTAACGAGAGTGAATGCAAGCCTTGCAGCGTTATTTACTTGGACAGACAGTGTAGCCTGGAGAATAATAAGCGATAGTCAACGATGATGATGAATTGATCATATCAGAGCAGCGAGATTTTCCGCCTTGATTGGCAGGGCGCATCATGATTGCACTTGCCAGTGGCAGCGGCTTCGGAGGATGAACATACCATCCAATCAGACGTTGCTTACATACGACAGTTGTCTCAACGATTTTTTGTGGCCGAACTTCATCTGGCGAACTCGGAGGCGAAAAGAAGAGAAAGTATAATACACTTGGACAATACAACTAATAGAATCTGAGGTTGATTTTACAAACATATTGCTCAGCCGGACACGCTATTTAAAATCGACTTCAATCACTTCATAGGCGCCTCAATGCCAGTTACAGTTGGCGTGTTGGCGCTCCAAGGCGCATTCCTGGAGCATTTGATTCTACTGAAGCGGGCCGCAGATTACCTGCAGCAGCATGAGGGAGTCAAAGAATCTTTTAATTTCATCGAAGTCAGAAATGCAGAACAATTGGCTCGGTGCGATGCCTTGATTATTCCAGGCGGAGAGAGTACAACTATCTCCTTTGTCGCTGCTCAGTCAGGCCTGCTGGAACCTCTGCGAGAATTTGTCAAGTATGCTATGCCTCAGTCATGGTTGTCCGCCCTGTAAAACTGACCATGTCACTAGAGTTTCTCGCAAGCCCACCTGGGGGACCTGCGCTGGTTTGATCTTGCTTGCCGAAGCAGCAAATGCCACCAAGCAAGGAGGACAGGAACTGATCGGTGGTCTGGATGTGCGTGTCAATCGCAATCATTTTGGCAGGCAGATCGAAAGTTTTCAGGCCGACTTGGATCTCCCATTCTTGAAGAGTGAAGGATCAATGTCTCAAGAGCCCTTCCCCGGTATCTTTATACGCGCGCCAGTGGTTGAGAAGATCCTGCCCAATGTCGACGGCATCCAGGACGGAGAGAAACAAGTCGCCGAAACCGTAGTTGCGCCCGCGAAAGCGGCCAAAGATGATCATGCCAAAGCGGCCATGAGTTCCCATGTGGACGTAATGGGGTCGCTGCCAGGTCGACTGAAGAAAGCCGAGGCTATGGGGGCTGATGTTCATGCTGGAGAAGAGGTTGGCGATATAATCGCAGTCAGGCAGGGCAACGTCTTTGGAACGAGCTTTCACCCTGAGTTGACCTCAGACATTCGGATACATGTTTGGTGGTTGAGGCAGGTCCTGAACAGCCTAGGAAAATAAGCTGAGGCTCGGCACTGAATTACAACCAAGAGGCACAGCGTCGCATGGAATGGGGGTTGATGCATAGCCGGTCGTATATTTCGTCGATTGCATGTAATTGAGCGTTCATCGTCCAGCTCCGTATTCTTCTTCCTCCTTGAGTCGCTCCGCAGCAATTGCCCGACCATAGCCTCCTCGTCCAGGGTCGAATTCATCTCGGTACTCGTCTCGTACCTGTCCGCCAGATTTTCCGCGGCCGTATTGTCTTCCTTCTTGGAATCCGACATCGAGATCCGTTCTGATGACACGCTCGTCAAGCTTCGTTCCGCCAATATACTTCATGCAATCAAGCGCATCCTGATGGGTGTAGTATTCTACAAAGCAGAATCCACACGGGGTCTTTTGGAACCGATCCAAGCCCATGACGAGGCGCTTGATCTCACCGCACCTAAAGTCTGTTAATAAAGACACTGAATCCATGCTAGGGCTATCGTACTTTGAGAATAACTCATGGATTTGCTCCTCTGTTGTGTAGAATGACCTTTTGACATCAGCTCGGGTGAACACGCCGCACTGGCAGGACTCTTGGACGTACAAATTGCCCACATATAGTGTGGTCGCATCCTTCAATTCATCGTCTTCTTCCGCTTTGTTGCCAGCGCCATCTCGGTCGTCTGGTTGGTCCCGTCCGTACTTGCGCTTCTTCTACAATGACCCCGTTAGCCTCATCGCAGTTACCATGTTTGCAGCAAACTCGCCTTTGCAGTGTAGTAAGTGCTAGGCCTGTCAAGGCGTTCAACAGTAGAGGCGGCCTGCATTGTGTTTGATATCCGCGGAGTGGCTGTTTGATGGAGAGAAAGGAGGAAAATGCGGTGGTTTGCGTTGCGGCGCGTCTTTGCGAACGCGGGTTGAAGTTGTCTCCAACAACTTCAACTTACGACCTAACAACTACATGTACACACCTTGGTCCAACCCACCTTCTTCATTTAGCTGTCCCTCACTCTCCCCCTACAGACGAAGGCTAGGGTTTTTCCAAGATGCCCAAAGTCATCGGTCATACTCCTCCCTGGCTCTCTCGTCCGTCGCCCGGCGCCAAAATATTCTCGGATCCTGCTCCTCAATCGCCCGCGTCTCCCTCAAAACGTTCGTCGTATCTAAGTTCCCCGTCCTCAACCCACTATCAAGGCCGCAGGAGGCTTGTAGCAAGCCGGGGAACAGAACTATTTACCGTTGTGGGCAATAAAATCCGATGGGCAGATCTGGCGACCGTCCGGGATGAGTGGGAAGAAAATGCTCAGTCGGGAAGCAATCGCTTTGGTCGTTCAAGAATTGGAGGGACTGAAACCACGGAAGAAAGCATCTACAGGGTATGCAATATAAAGCGCGACTGCGTACATTTCTGACAGGAGCAGACTCTTGATGTTTCCATCTACTATCAAATCCGCCAAATCGCCGTATCCCCTTCAGGCGTGTTCCTAGCCATTTCAACCGAACATACTGTCCACATCGCAGTCCTACCCCCTTCGTCAAGGCTGAGAGAACACGATCGCACACCTCTGAAACTCAAGACATACCAGCTTGGACCGACTATTCATGTCATCCCAGAATCGCCGTTGTCTGCCGTGCTGTGGCACCCATTGGCGGCTGCTGGCATTTCGACCGACTCAATCGTAACAGTCACTGCAGAAGCCGCTGTGCGTGTCTGGGAATTGGACCGGGCCAACAAATGGTCGTTCGAACGGCCATCTCTTGCCATTGATCTACGCAAGCTGGCGGACGGTGTATCATGCGACCAGGACTTTGAGCCGTCGGGCTTTGGGAAAGCTCGTGGGTTTTCGGTGGATGAGGTCGACATGGAGGTTTCCGCTGCTTGCTTTGGCGGTCGTGGTCGCGACGACGAAGATGCGTGGGCGAGCATGACCCTATGGGTAGCAATGAGAAATGGCGACATATACGCTCTATGCCCATTGTTGCCATCCAAATGGAAACCCACATCAACAACTATTCCGTCCTTATCTACGACTGTAGTATCCCGTATGGCGTCAATCGCGGGCGAAGAAGCAGATATGGACGAGCGTCGAGCAGTCGATCAGCAATATGAGTGGGTACAGGAGATCGACAATGAAGAACCGCTTCTTATGGATTCGACGGAAAGTCTTGGAGAGTTTGAGGTCCGGCTGAGGCCACAAAATCCAAGTGCTATTCCACGACTTCAGGGTCCCTTTGCCATCCAGCCTGAGGATGATGAACAGGACATTGAGATCTCGGATATCCTTGTTTTCCCAGCAAGACTAGACGGAGATGAGCTACTCGGAGAAGACGAGTATGAAGATTTCGACCTGGGCGCATACTCAGCCGTTCCTTTCACAACGCTGTGTGTGGCAACTCCTCAAGATGAGATGTGGGTTGCAATCGATCTTGACGGAGTTTCTGGTCAGTGGCTTCCTAGAAGAGGCAGAAGCGCTTTCAGTTTGCCGTCTTCTGATGCGAAAGAACTGACACTGATTGACACTTTCGCCTTTGATGATTCCAACATGGACCCGGCATCAAATTGGCCAATGTTCGCGGTTGATCTGGTCCACGACCATACCGCTTTCTTGACTACCTCCAGGCAGATCTACTCTATATCGCTAAATGAATGGGTAACCCGATTAGCCGCCGAACTCACAGGAACGGAGCCTGTGGACGCTCGTCTTAGGACACGTCTGGAGACTAGTTGTCAAGATCAGGTGTGTGTCGTGAACAAGATCATCGACCTCCCGGAGACAAGCGAAGTACTTTCTGCACCTACTGTCATAAACGAAGTGTCGCTAGGTTATTTTCTCATAGCGCCGACTCCTTCCACGGCGTATGCAGTCTTCTTCGACCAGGTGCATCTCCGGTCTTCTTTCATCGAACCATCGTCCCCTGAACTCACCGCCACCTCTCCGAGTCGTCTGAACTCCCAAGTGGCAAGAACAAACGGAGGAGAGGATCATGACGACCTGGAAACTTTGCCCACCAGGTCTCCCTATGTCCCAGCAAAGATATTCTATGCGAACCACCTCCAACCTTTGGAGCAGATACGTCAAAGGCTCCCACCTAATCTGAAGAGAGCCATGCTCGAGAGGCCAATGCGTCTGAGTCCAGCAATGTTGGAGATCATGACCTATGCCCATCGGACCATCGGTGCACAATCCGCGGAGTTGGAGAAGGCAGCAGCAGAATTGTTCCGCCGCTGCGACCGGCTCAGAGAGGAACTCGGCGACCAAGTTCGACAAATGAGCGAACTGGCACAACGCCTGCAGACTCTCCGACCGACCGCAGAAGGCGACGAAGAAGACCAGGACGGACAACCCAAGGAAGCAAAGACACCAGACGCCAGACTGCAGCAGGCCAAGGAGAGGCAGGCCAACCTGATGGCACGGTATGAGGCGTTGAGAAGAAAAGTGGGACGTTTGGGATCTACCCACAGAGATCTGACGCCGAAAGAGAAAGCATGGATGGAGGAAATCAGTTCTCTGGCAAAGAATGTTGGGGTCGACGTTGATGATAAAGACGCCAAATCCGCCACAGACGACGTCAATTCTCGGTTGCACAAAAGATTTGAAACGGTATGTCAAGGTTCACTATTCGGCAGTCAAGAGCGTTTCAGCGATGCCATTGCATTGAAGCACCAGCTAATCCTTCTGTGTCAAAAGGTCAAACACCTCTCCCAAGAACTGCTAGAAGAGAGCAAGCAGCTCGAGAAGCAACAACAGGGATCACAACAGCAGCAGCAACAACAATCCCTGGGCGCTGCTCCCGACAGAGGCGACTCGGCCATGACCTCTTCTCTGTCGGCATCCGCGATGTCCATGGCTGGGTCAAGATCTGTCCTCTCGACTAGCTCATCCTCTGCTCTTACACAACCATTTGGGGTCTCCAGCAGGCTGCAAAAAGAACGAATCGCCGAAGTTATGAAAATGGTGGAGCGCGAGGGCGCCATCATCGAAGGCGTCATGGAACGCCTGCAGCGTCTCAAGGCCGAGTATTAGATGTACTTGTTGGCCGTCGCCTTCGAATGCAAACCTCCCTTGCTGATAGTAACGATGGGCTGAAGCGGAAGTGGATTGAGCGCAACCATCTGGATCTGTCACTGGCTTGAAGACGCATGCATGCTCTGGAGGCAACTGACACAAACAGAGCGTGCTGGCAGATTCGGTCGTTGGCCTTATTTAGCTCCTTATTTTCTTCCCCTGCTATTCCGTCCAATACGAGAGTCGACGCATGTGAGAGTACGCTTTTGAGGCCCGGCGTCCAGTATCTTTGAACAATGTGGTTGCTACCGCCACCGTGAACTTTTCGCCGCTTTGGTTTTTGGATCACGGCGGGCCTCTTTATTGTAGCCTTTTCTGACTCCCGTACGCCACGCCCAAGAGCCCTCCGTGCTATGCTATGCTATAATGACACACTCTCCCCGCCTGTGTCCCATCGTGTACACGCATGACTGGAAGTACCTTGCTGTACGCCCTCGTAGGGTTCAGTTCGGGAATCTATGCGAAAAGGGAGCTGGAGCCACCAAAATCATTTCCGTAGTTCTACGAGTTTAAAACCTTACATCCCTCATCTCTCCTCTAGCAGTCTGAACATCATATTCCACCCACCGCGCGACGCCGGCTCCCCTGGCTGTAGTGGCCCTGCTCAACGCCAGTTCATCCACCACCCTCCCAGGGTTCATGACATGACAACCCTCATAGGTGATTGCAAACCCTGGTGTTTCGGCATCGGCCAACACCAAAGCCGTCGGTAAAGGGTACAGCGAGAGCGATGAAGTGGCATGGTCCCAGAACACAGGGCGGATTGAGGGCGGGAACGGTGCAAGATGCGACTGATCCAGAACGGTTTTGATCAATTTGCGCGCGGCGTGTAAAGTGTAACTGTTGTTATTGTTGCTGCTGCTGTTCGATCTTGTCGAAGGGATATGGGACGTGGCCTCGTGGACAGCTGAATCGGGAAAATTGTTTGCGTTGTCGTTGTCTCCAGGCGCTGCTGTATCTTCCTGGCTCTCCGCGCCATTACTGTCCGTTTGGGTCATGTTGTCCTGTTCTTCCGTTACTGTCATCATGACGTCGTCTTCATCTTCATCTTCGTCCAGTTTAGAGAAGCTGACGGCGTTCCTTCGAAATCGGCTGGTGATGTCATCCCGAAACAAAACGATTTCCTCCAACGGCCCAAACAAGCTGATTCGCGCAGGGTTGGACGTCCATACCGCCTCGCCGGGAGGCGATGAGTCCTTCTTATCCTTCTTGCCGTGGTGCTCGGCGTTGGCCGTGGCAATGGCTCGTCGGACCCTCGACGTGAAAACCTCGGGGATACCCTGCCGTGGAAGAGGGCATGCGGCGCCCGCGGAGAAGGAACTGGCCCATGGGTCGTTGTCGCCTGGGACGAATATGAGGGTGGTGGTCGATAAAAGAGTGGGAAACTCGGCAAGCATCGACGCCAGGGCATCAAAGTGTTCTTTGTATTCGACGCTGCCGCCGCCCTTCGTGGAGCCGGCCATGCTGGCTGCCGACACGAAGTTGCCCATCAGTACGATCGACAGAGGTAGGTCCACAATGTCACTGCTGGCCGAGGTGTAGGAGGACAGAATGGCGCGGATGGCTTCAAGCGTGCGCGGACTGTCTAGGTTACATTCACCCAGGATGGCGATCTTTGTCCGTGACGGCTGTTGCTCTTGTTGCTCTTGATCAGTGCCACCGGTATCCTGGAAGCTGGTTTCTGACCCAGAAGCGGAAGGTGCGGGAGAACCAAATATCCTTTTCTGAATCTTCCTCATCTGTGACCCGATGCCCTTCTCACTCCCTACACCCAGAAAGTCGATCCATCCATACCCGGCACCCACGTTCGTATGGCTGTCGTTCTGTTCCGAGGCAGAGCCTATGGTCATTGCTCGTCGCTCGGCTGGCGGCCCTGCCATCGTATCGGCAATGAAGTGGCCCTTGATCTGGCCCCCCACACCTGTTGCCGAGCCTAGCGAGGAATTGTGCGACCCGTCCTCTTCGTACGTTCCCTCAACCAGTACTATCATCCCGGGACAGAACCATGCCCCGTTTTCTGGAATCGGTCGGGCAATGGACATGTCAAGGACAACACTACCGGAGAGATCTGATAGCGCTAGGTCGCCAGCGGCAGAATGTACGAGCATGCCCAGGAGTAAATGTGATGTTCCGGACCTGCCCAGCAGGTTCGAAATAGGCGTAAGTTTGTACGCTTGCTGGAGTGTCGCCACGCTGCTTCCCGAATGCATGAGGCTCGGTGGTCGTGTAATCGTAGAAAATGTTGGTGCTTGGAAGGACTCGTTCCTTAGCAGTCGCTGATGGACCACATGATATCGGTTCCGAAACATGGATATTTTATGTTGTATAGGCGGAAGAAGGCTGGGCGGGCCAGCCATGGGCTCGAAGCACTTCTTGGAGGTCGAGTACAGCATTCGAGGCTGTTCAAACGCTGATATCACTTTCAAGTATGACCGGGGGTCGGCTTGCGTCTCTGCTTCGTGTTCATCCTCGTCTTGGTCTCCATTTCGCCCAATTTGCAGTCCCGAAACACCCAGACTCGTCTGGCTGTCATCTCTGCTTGCGCCGGGCCGGTCTTTGAATGAAGTTGTCCGTGAGATATCAGGGGTATTCGTGGCGCTGTTCGCTCTAGACAGTTTTGCTGGGTCTATCCGTCCGCCAGACATGCATGGCTCGAGTAACTTGAGGATGTTGGCCAACTTTTTGTCCGGCCCATCTTCCACAAAATGACCACCTCCATTTCTCTTCCATAGCTTCCCGACCTCGTCGAGCACTCTTTCTGCCAGGCTCTCGCTGCGCCATCCACTCCCACAGTATTTGCCGATAAATGTTGCCAGAAGATTGAGGCCCGAGGTTCGAAGGTCCAGATCATGCGTCTTGTTCAATACTTTGAAGGCTATCCGACGAAGCGCTTGCGGCGGGAGCAGGATGGGGAGTACCGTGGGCACATTGTCTACTGTCGTACTCGAATTCCCGCTCAGTGGTTGCTTGAGCTCTGGTGGCCGACTGACGATGGGGTATGCTGGGGTGCCAAATCCTGGCGAGGATGAAAGGAGCTGCTCCTTGGAAATCGCAGATTTGCCATTGAAAGGGGGAGGTTGCATCCGGGGAGTTGACATTGGGTCCTCCATCATGGTAGGATGCCTGCGAACTGGTCGCAGAGTTCAGATAGATGCCTAAATACACTGAAGTATTGCTGCCAATGTGGTTGTTTGTGGTCTCTGGCTAGTAAAACACTCAACGCGTGGAGACGCGTCTGAAAACTCGCGTCGTGAGTGGTGAAAGGTTATGTCATGCCATGCGCTTCAATCGTATGGCTTCCGTGTTTCTGCGCATTCGCGACTTTGAGTCTTCTTCCACTCCTACTCTATTGTCGCATTGCGAGAACCTTGTGCCGCTACCTGTGTTTTCTCCGTACGGCGTCTTGCTATCATCACCAGATCACGCGTCACGTTCGCCAAAATGTCTACTACCGAGGCAACCCAAGAGCCCGAGGCGTCTCCCGCCGCGGTGCAAGCTGACGAGCAATCAAAGCCAGCGACCCAGGAGCGGCTGGCCGAACTCGTTGCCAAAGCCACGGCCGAATACGCTGTCAAGCATTACTCGGAAGCCGCGGAGCTCTACTCGCAAGCGTCAGAGATACAGGCAGAACTCAACGGAGAAATGGCGCTCGAGAACGCAGATCTTTACTACTCTTACGGAAAATGCCTGTTCTTCCTTGCGCAACAGACCAGCTCCGTCTTGGGTGGCACCGCGACATCTGCTCAATTATCCCGCAGTAAGGAAAAGAAGACCTCCAAGAAGCGCAACGCAAATGGTGCTAGAAGAGCTGGACAAATCACGGACGAGGTGGCTGCGGGTGAGAGTTCGAAGACGCTTGAGCCACTGGCTGAGGGGCCATTACCCAACCTCGGTGATGTTGTACGAGAGGAAGATGTGAAGCCTGAGGAAAAACCATCCGACAAGCCTTTGTTCCAAATCTCTGGTGATGACGAAAACTGGGACGACTCCGATGATGACGAGGAGGAAGAACAAGATGAGGAGGCTGCGGGAGAGGAAGACGACGATTTTGCAAATGCATACGAACTCCTGGATCTTGCGCGTGTCCTCTACCTCAAAAAACTGGATCAGACCCAAGAATCCGTCCTAGAGGAGTCGGCCAAGGGAAAATACGTTCCTTCGATCGATTTGACACCTGAAGTCAAGGCCCTCAAAGCACGAGTTGCTGACATTTACGACCTTCAATCAGAAGTTTCGCTGGAGGGAGAGAAATACTCTGCCGCAGTCAACGATCTCAAGGCTTGTCTCGCCCTCCGCGAAGAACTCGAGCCTCCTTATTCGTCTATACTCGCCGAATGCCACTACAAGCTCAGTCTAGCACTAGAGTTTGCCGCGCAGACACAGCAGCGTGACGCGGATGGCAACCCCACTGAAGAACTTCAGGTCGACTGGGATATCCGCAACGAAGCAATCGCTCAGCAGGAAAAAGCAATCGAGGTTTGTGAACTCCGCATTCACAGAGAATCAGCAGCTTTGGACAAAATGGAGGATGGTGCTGAAAAGGATAAAGTCAGGGCACACATTGAAGATGTCCAGAGTATGGTGGGCGACATGGAGGATCGGCTTTCGGAACTCCGTAAGCCTCCTGTCAGCGTCAAAGCTGAGACGGAGAGTGGGATGAAAGAGCAGATCTCTGGTATCTTGGGCAACATCTTGGGCAGTGGTGCGTCTGAAGAGGAAAGAAAGGCGAAACTGGAACAGGTCTCCGAGAAGGCCAATGATTTGACTGGATTGGTGAAGCGAAAGAAGCCCAAGAATGCACAGGCTGAAGGAGGCCAGAGCGGTTCGGGATCCGCTGTGTCTACTCCAGCAGCGGTGTCTGCCGTTGGCGAGGCCTCTGGTTGCGGCTCAACAAACACTGCCAACAAGCGAAAAGTTGGGTTTGTTGATGAGGTTGAGGACGGCGATAGCGGCAAGAAGGCCAAGCTTGAGGGGGCGGGAAGCTGAATGGTGACACGTTATGCCTGGAACCGGGCCAGGTGCACTGGATTTTGCATGAACGCGTACATATGGCCAGCTGGATCGGAACGAGTCTCGCGCTGGATGGCGCTTGGATGGCGGATATGTCTGGGCATAAGCATGATGACTAGGCTGTCAGCAGTCACGTAATTGCGTTCAAAATGCGAGTTTGAATCCACTTTGAGACAGCCTCTGCTCAATGATCTCCATATCGCGATATCTGTACATCGAATATAAGGACAATACGTGGTGCCATACATCGTAGAACTACAGTAATAATAACATGGTAGACTAAAAACACGGGCACAGACGGGCTGATATCACGGGACGGAAAATTATTAATCCGTTCCACCGCCTCATGTGACATGTTCGCAGCAGTTGAAGTGCCGTGCAATTTGCGGCTCCAGTCTTTCTGTCTCTTCTCCATACTTTTAGTAATCGCCGGTCCACACTCTGGTCGCTCAAACGGCCACCAACAACCGCTTCAAGCCGAGTCAAGAGGAAGCGAATAGTAGTACTGTTCGTGTCCTCAGAATGGCCCTCGATCCATCTCCCGCCGCGGTCACTCCAGGATCTGTATGTCACTCGTGGACAGACAAATAGGCGAAACCATGCTTCGTTGCGTGCCCACCTGCCACGCCTTGGCCGGACCATCGGAAAGGCAGAATATTGGAGGGGAAATTGTGGGTGGCAGCTGTGGGGGGAAAGTCACCATCAAGACGTGACCAGCGAACGAGGTGGCACTGTGGATGAATTGATTGCTAGCACTACTACCCGGGTACGGACTGATCACTTTTCTCGAGCTCCCACCCCCAGATCCCCGAGCTCGGTCTCTTCGGTGTTTCTCTACCTTCTCCTTGTCACTTCAAGTGTTCCTTATCGTATCGTCACCTTGCAGCGCGTCAGTCTCCACCCCAGGCGTGCTGGTGACGAATATTACAGTCGAGATCTCCTGTTGCATGTCAAATGACCACCACGTTTAATCCAGTCCAGACTTCTCCAACGGAGGCCTCCGAGGACAGGAATTCGTCTGTCTCAGGCAGCGATGCCGAAAATGACACCCCGAACAATGGGCCGGATTCCGGCAATGCCAGCAAGAAGAGGAAGCGATCACTGAAAATATCGTAAGTACTGCAAGCAATCAATTGACAGGACGGAAGAAACCAACCATCGAGTGCACCTCTAGCTGTGAGCTGTGCAAGGCAAGAAAGGTCAAATGCGATCGAGTCGAACCGGCCTGTGGCTGGTGTGCGCGCAACAACAGAGTATGCGTCTACAAGGAGAGGCAAAAGCCCGGTCTCCGGGTAGGTTATGGCCGCGAACTCGAAGAAAAAATCAACCGGCTCGAGGCTCTGCTGCAGGTGATGGGTCGTCGCCTAGAGGAGCATATCGTTGAGCATGGCGATTATTCTCGCCATCGACCTGGTTCGGTTCGAATGAGCACCTCGCAACCGCCACAATTTCCCACGTATGCCCAGAACGATCCCCGGCCGTCAACTGCCAGCATCATGTCTCAAGATACTCCTGGCTCAGACCCGAGATGGGGTACAGCCAATGCTTACGAACGCATGCAGTACTCTCGGCCCCAGGATGCTATGTCTATACGTTCAGTCGTGGATACCACGAACCATGACGTGATGTCCCAGAGCGACAGAGCCACTTCAACTGCCTGGTACCCAGCCTCCACCCCGGCGCCCTCATTAATGCCGGATTCGGAACTTCCGCCTTATGACCTTCTATACACCCTCGTCGATTTGTTCTTTAAACATGTCAACCCCTGGTCGCCTATTCTCGATCGCAAAGCCACTTTCGATGCCTTGTTTGGTTCTCAGTCCATGGAGGAACCCGATCGCATACTTTTGCACGCTATCGTGGCAACAGCACTCCGCTTCTCCAAAGACCCACGGCTGACGCCAGAGTCCAGGAGTCAGTTTCATGAGATATCGCGCCAGAAGATCATGCTATATGCGCTCGATCATCCTTCTGTCAGAGCGCTGCAAGCTTTGGTCATCCTTGCTGTCGATGTTCTTGGGACATCGAACGGTCAACAGGGCTGGAACCTGCTGGCCCTCACGGCGCGCAACATCGTCGAGCTCGGACTGGATGTGGAAAGAGGCGCATATCTTGAGTCCTCGGCATGTCCATCATCGACCCTGCTTCAAGCTGCGCAGCCAAAGAACTGGATCGAGAACGAGGAACGACGTCGGTTATGCTGGATGACATTTGTGCTAGACAGATATGCCACGGTGGCAACGGCGGATGCCTTCATGCTGGACGAGAGAGAGATGGACCGATGCTTACCATGTCGATACGATTTGTTGTCACGAAATGAACCCGTGGAGACCAGATGGTACCGCCGCGGTTCGCCGTCGGAAACGATTGTGAATAGGCCCGAGAATTTGGGGAGCTTTTCTTACCACTGCGAGGTTCTAGGAATTTTAAGCCGCATCCATCGGTTTCTCCACCAGCCTCTTGATATTACCCGCCTCCCGGACATTCAAAGGTGGCGTGAAACCTACCGAGAGCTCGACGGTGAGCTCAACAGCTGGTTACACAATCTCCCCGGAGAATACGGCAAAATTTCCCAATTGTGCCATTCCGACCCTGGCAGTCGGATTTCCAATTGGATCATGCTCCATGCCGCCTTTGTCACGTCCGTCATTCGCCTTCATTCGTCCGCCGCCTATCCCACAATCAAGTCGCCGGTCTTTACGCCGTCATATCATGCCATCCAGAGGTGTCTCGGTGCCGTCGAGAGTCTCCGCGAGATTGCCCAGGACGTCCTAAATACAGGCATGCTCGCTCTCCTCGGCCACCCTTTCGCGTTTTCCCTTTGGGTCTCTGCGAGACTGCTTCTTGTGCACGCCGCGACGATGGAATGCGACGTGGATCCCAAAATCGGCTTCTTCATATCCACCTTGGAGCAGATGGGCCAGCATTGGCAGGTTGCGCGTGACTATGCCCGGATATTGAACGACGTTGTGCACGAGGGCAAGGCCGGGTCTGGACGGACATTTACTGCTATGAGAAGGTATGTTTTGTATCTAGCCTCTTGGTTTCGTCCCTCATCGTACAATCCTTTGCGCCGGCAAGGAATTGAACATGTGGACTGACCGACTTTCCTCCGCTTTTGTGCGAAACAGGTGTGCCTACGACCTCAATCTTCTGACGTCCCAACGTCCTCGCTCCGTCCTCGACCCGCCTGCTACACATAACGTCTCGCAGAGCGAGCTTGAGTATCTCGAAGTCTTCGACTTCTTCAACTACCCACGTGTTGACGCCATCGCCGGCCTCGGCTTCGATCCTTCAACCAATCCCTCTATCGCCATGGGTCCCGTAGTAGGTTTGCCACACCAGAATGGTAACGGTAACGGCAACGGGAACGGAACTGGTCCTGGCCCTGGAACGCCGACTCCGACCCAGACACCCTCCCAGACCACTGCCTCGGGGCAAAGCCACCCCCAACCCCATGGGCCTGCGCAGCCGTCGTCGCAGACTCCGTCGTATCGAGCCACGCCGGCGTTCGTCGTGGCGAATCCCGAGTCGGATTGGCTGATCTTCAAGCCGCCGTATGAGTAGTGCAGTGCCGTTCCCTTGCATTACTTTCTACGACTCTGCATATTTACACATTAGTACCAGTGTATGATGTTCATGACGTACCATCACGGTGTACAACGTTGTATATCATCTATAGCTTCGGAACGAAAATGGAAATCAAAACAACATTGTGAATCTGGTTTTGCTTCATATGCTACCAGCTTCATTTTTCTTCCACTCTCGAGGTTTCAAACACCCCCTGGCCGTCCCAGTAACAGTGATATGGGATGTCGCTCTCTGCTAGGGAGCGTTTCATTCCCTTCGCGCAGTCTAGAGGCATACAAGGTTGTGTATTTCTGCTCTTTCTTCAATTCTCGAGGCTTGAACCCCCTTCTAACCATTCACAAACAATGAGATTGTGACGCTCTTTGCAGGTGAAAGTTTCTTTCATTCAGACTACCCTACCCATCCGCAGTTGGGAGAAGATTCTCTGAGCTATATCGTTAAGCCATGTATATAATGCTGTGCTGTCACAAGTACAACAATAACCGAAGGCCCTCCTGAACGCCATGCTCCATGAAGGACAGGGGTATGAAAACCAATCCAATGCCATTGTCAACCCTTCCCCCTTTTTGACGCGCAGATGCTGAAGAATGCGACTTTCGAGACTCAGAACACACCAAAGACACAATACATCAAACTGGTCTGCCATAAAACTAGAGTAGACGTTTTCAAGGCAACGGCGCAGACGCTTCGCCGGTCGGCTCAGACGAGGCTCTGAGAGGCTCGACAGTCTTGGACGAACCTTGAGTCGGAGCCAGATTGTTTGAGTCGGTCAAGCCCTTCTCGACCTCGGCACGGGTGATGTTAAGCAGGTCGGCGGGCAGACCCATGCTCAGCAGATAATTGACAGAGTTTTTCCACTCGACATCCTTCCTCTTAGCACTCCACTTCAACTCGTCGGCCATAATATCGATGACCTTGGGCAAGGCGTGCAGCGCGGCTCGAGCATCCAAAAAGCTCAACCGGGTGCGACGGCCGAGCACGTCCACGGCGGTTTGGGCGTACTCGCTGCGGACTGCATAGCGAACTTCACCATCGATGAAGGGGTAAAGAGACGACAGACGTTGTCCGCGCAGCGGGTAGTGCTCGGTGTTGTCGGTCTCGGAGGCCAGCGCTGCAACGTCCCATGCGCGGTCACCGTAGTCAGTGGCCAAGTGCTTCGCGACATCGACGTCCAGACCAAAGTGCTGGATCAGGTTGATGAAAAGAGTGGTCGAATAGCCGTGAGCGCCAATCAGACGGACATGGTGAGTCTGGCAGCTGCCGTCCAGCAGGTTCACCGTCGGGTCAATTCCGTTAACACCACTGATGTCCGGAACATATTTAACTGGTTTGGGTTGGAGCTTGAAGACCTCGATTGCTTTGTCCACCGCGTCCTCGGCCATCTGTCGGTACGTGGTCCATTTACCACCGGCGCAAGTCAGCAGACCAGAGTCAGATACCGTGACCAGATGGCTGCGGACGAGGGATTCCGTGTTCTTGGATTTGGGGTCACGCACAAGGGGTCGGATACCTGCACACATAGATCCCCGTTAGTTGGTTGGTTGTTAAATCTAGAAAAACCAAGTTCAGAAAGTAGACGTACCTGACCATGCCGCAAGAATATCAGACCGCCGGACGGTAATGTCTGGGGTCAGATATGTGCGAATCTCGTCCAGAATCCATTCGATGTCTTTCTCGCCTGCCACTGGGTTGGCCTCAATTGCGCACGGCGAGTCAGTTGTGCCAGCGATGGTGTTGCCTTGCCATGGGAGGAAAAAGATGACTCGACCATCCGAGGTGGAGGGATCAATCAAGCCCATGTTTTGTGGACTCAGATAACCGGGAAGGACGACATGGACACCCAGACTGGGCGCGACAATTTCCTTGGTGGCAGGCTCATCCATACGTTGAATAGCATCACAGAAAGGACCGGTCGCGTTAACGATACCCCGGGCTTTTACCACAAAGTCCTCGGTAGGCTGACCATCCTTTTCGGAAATAAGATCCCGCACACGAGCCCCAGTCAGTCTCCCACTTGCATCTTTTTCCAGGCCAGTGACTTCGAGATGGTTCACAGTGGTAGCGCCATACAGGGTGGCCGTCATAGCCAACGAGACGTTCATGCGTGAATCGTTATGCTGGCCGTCGTAGTACACCAAGGCACCAACCAAGTTCTCCTTCTTCAGCATGGGGAAGGCGTCAAGAGCCTTACTTCTTGGGAGGAAATAGGAGCTCTCAATCCCTTCTGAACCCGCAAGCAAGTCATAGAATTTGGTTCCCGCCCAGAAGTAGGGCAACTGCCACCATTTCTCCACTGGAAGCATAATAGGAAGCCATGACGATAGATGAGGTGCTGTGTACAGAAAGCTCTTCCGCTCTCTTAGAGCCTCCTTCACCAATTGGTATTGGTTGTAGTCCAAATTCCAAACCGCCTTTTCAAGATACCGCACACCACCGTGAACGAGCTTCGTGGACTTGCTGCTGGTCCCACTGCTGAAGTCGTCCCTTTCCACAATGGCCACTTTCAAGCCCCTCGTAGCGGCGTCGAGGGCAATACCCGTGCCGGTAGCACCGCCTCCGATAACGAGGAGGTCATAGATCTCGGAGGACGGAGCAGACGAAGACTTTTTGAGGTCGGCAATCTGTTCGGCTCTGGACTTGATGTAGGGGAATTTGGGAGGAATGATGTCACCGTTGGCGTCTCGTTTCGGTGGTTTGGGGGCAAGTGTCTCTGCACCTGGGACGTTTCGAGGGCGGTAGACCAAGTACATAACCGTGGTACCAGCCACGGCAGCACCAGCGCCATATGCCAATGGCTTCAATAGCCGTCGAGAAGCAAATCGTGAAGCCATAATGGAGGAGAACGAGGAGGAGAGCGGCACTGTACTGACGATTGAATTAACTCAGTGGCCTTGAAGGCCGTGGAAAGTATTTTCAAGTAAAGAACTGCAATGCTTGGGGATGTTAACAAAGTCAAGGTGGAACTGCAGCTTCATTTATCCCGGACACTCGACTGCGGTGACAGTGAGCTCTCGGAGCATGAGGAGACGAAAGCTTCAAGACAACGTGACCCAGAGAGGGATTTGCCATTATTGCTGATTGACAGAGATTGGTCGGGACATGTAGAGGACCGAGCTCCTGGGCCAGCATCGGATCAGCTGGGTCTCCTGAGGCTCGACCTGCGTATCCCCAGATCTCTGCTGGGATCACGCCTGAATTTTGGGTGCACACTTTCACGCCTCTGATGCAAGACCAGACTTCCCTACCTGCGCTACAGATTGCGGTGGTTGCTCCTTGCCGAGCTGCGGAGAAAGGGCCCTGATGGCGCTGGAGATGAGATATGGATCCCGGCCAAACGAACGGCTCTAAAAAGCGACGGCGCCCTGTGCCTCGGGCTTTCAAAACCGAGGCTCCAGGACCGGATTCCACCGGATGGCCGACACCGAAGTGCAGATGTCATGTGGAAGCTTATATCGCGTAATGGAGCTTGTTGTACTCTTTTTTGATGACTTGCCCTGCGGTAACCATTTTTATTGGCTTCTCGTCGTCGGGCAGCCCGCTCCTAGCCCAAGGTTACAGAAGACTATCAGCGTTGTACTGGTAATGGATCTCGGTCCAGGCACTTGGTGGTGAGATTCTGGTATTGTGAGTACGACGGTGGTAATTTTCACAATTTTACCGGCAGGTATAACCAGCCTCACCGCAGCCCGACACATATGTATAGTTAAGTACTGTAGTAGCCACTGAGTCAAGAATACCCAGTAGTTGTAGTGGTCGTGCAAGACTAGGGTGTAGGCATTTTGTCGTTTCAACCCATCGTTGGAGGTCTGCACATTGTTTTCATTGTGGCAGGCTTACCTATGATTATGCAAATTCCATGCTTGAATCGGACTGTTGCAATACCCTGAGCTGAGGGGCAATGATTCAAGAGACGCAGGTACTGCTGCAACTGTGCCTTGGGCGATATCTTTGAAGGTGTTCGCTTATGTACCACCATGGGGTAGTGTTACTGTAGTATGATGTTTTAGGCAAGCTGGGTAGATGTTGATGGCAAAGGGCAGGCACACTCATCTTTATAGACCTGTTCTTTGCCAGTGACAGTATTGGCTCGGTAGCTTCTGTTGAGATCGTTATCTGTGAGGGTCTTGGTGGCCCTAGCAAGAGGGACCTTAGTCCCTATTCGACAACGAGCCAACGGCAATGAGAGAGCAGAGGACGGCTCTAGTTGCGATTCTCGATCGACTACCCTTGCATGGTGGTTGCTCCACGTGGCTTTGTTATCAGTGATGTACGTAGGATCGTCAGCACCAACCGTCTGCCAGTGCACAGGAAGAAACTGCGATACCTGCCATTTAAGGGAGAACAAGAATGTCCAGCTCTTTGCCAGTGCACAGCAGGTGCAGGACCGGTCCCTGTGTCAATTAGAGCCACAGACGCTAAGGCGGGGCCGGTGTGCTTGCCTTCTTGTGATGGCCCAGCCAATCTTGCAATTGCAGCAGCACATACCTACCTAGGTAGGTACTTGTCAGGGCCGGGACTGCCTCTTGGCTCACCTGCTTGAATAGGCTTAGCGGTGTTCTGTGTCCTTCCCTTCATCAGAGGCCATCTGGCTCCTTGCACTGACCTCCTACTAGGCGACTGAGCCAGTGACAGAGTCAGAGACA